GCTGGGGTGGCATGCCCAAGAGGAGGGCAGCGTGCTGGGGAAGGCAAAGGCAAGCAGCTGCCCTGCGCAGTGCAGGCTGTGTGCTGAGCAAGGGCTGGTCGTGGGCATAACCCTCCCGCCGAGGGCCCGGCACGGCGCCTCCAAGTTGAGGGAGAAGCCATCGACGGAGCCTCTGCAGGGGCAGATCCTGTGTGGGCTGGCGGATGTCGGCAGGACTGCGCCGCTCCTGCAGCCTGACCTCGCCGGGAGAAGGAGGTTTCCACCACGAGCTGTGATGATGACAGCTGCCGAGGCCGAGCCGGGCTGGGGCATCCCGGCCCCCCCAGCCTGGCAGCCCTGCGGGACCCCGGTCCCCAGCTCTCCGCAGCTGGAGATTTGGCCAGTGAAGGGCAGAGCCACCGCGGGGACGTGTCCCCCCCACGGAGCCCCCGTCCGCGCCCCAGCCCTCCTCACCCAAGGAGCTTGATTGCTTACATAGCCCAGGCTTGCAGTTCGTAGAAAAACAAAACATGTTTTTCACATTAAAATTTCCCTTGAAAAACAATGGTTTAAATCAAGCGTAAGAAAAGCAAAGAATCCAAAAAGAAAAAAGAAAAGGGAAATTTTTGTTGGAGCCTAAGGCAGCCCCCGGAGACCCTGAGCTCCCCTGAGGCGCTGTGCCGTGGCTGCTCGCGGCTGTGGGCTCCCGGCTGGGATGGTGCAGCGGGACGGCTCATGCTACAAGATACAGGCACCACGCTGCTGCCATGCCGCCAGCGACATCCCGGGCCAGGGAGATTGGAGCCGAGGGGGTGGCCGGCCAGGGACCGCATGCTGCCAGCATCCCTCAGACCCTGGGGCCGGCCGTGGCGAGGCTGGGGCTCAGCCCAGCCCGCTGCTCACAGGTTATCAGGAGCTGCCGGAGAGTTGCCGGGGCAAGATCCGGACCTGCAACCTGGAGGTGCAAGGCTCGGGGAGACGAGGTGGGGGATGTAAATCTCCTGATCTGTCTGTGAGTGAATTCAAAGGGAGACCGATTCAAATCCGCCGTGACATGACTGGCTCGGGGCTGGCAGACAATCCCTGCAGTGTTTGTAACAAATCTTGCCGCTTTCCTTTGAGTGGCCTCCAATTTATTAATTAAAATAGGCAATTATATATAATGTGGGGTGGAGGGGAGCGGGGAGACCAGCTGCACCAGTTATTCTCACTTGGCAGGAACCGTGCTGGAAAGCTGCTCCGGCTCCAGGAGGTGCTTGTGCTTTCAAGGGCTGGAGGCAGAGCCTGGGATGGAGCCCATGATCAGAGCTGCCCCCAGACCCCCCCCGGGGCCGTGAGTGGGCTTTAGCTACAGCGACCGCTTTATTTAGGAGCACAGGGCCCAGAGGGCAAGACCTTTTAGAAAATGACTGGCCTGAGTCACCAGGGAGTTGGCAGCAGAGATGGAGGCTGCGCCCAAAGTTGCCGGGATCTGCTGAAAGCGCTGGCTGCCCCCGGCCCCGGGAGGCAGGAGTGTGTGGGGCTGGAGGGGGAAGCCTTTTTGAAAGTGTCACCGTCCATCCCTCTGTGCTCATCAAGAGGAAACACAACGAGCCAGAGACCCCAGGCTTCAGCAGAGCCCTGCGCGCGTGGTGCCTGTGGAGGGGGAGTCCCATCGGCAGCGCGCCTGTGCCGCGCCATGCCTGCGGGCAGCAGCACCTGCGTGGTCGGGCTGATCTGAACGCCGCAGATCCGGCGTCAGCAAACTGGCAGGATTTACCCGGAGCCCCCCGTGCTCCCTGCAGGACAGGCCGGCATGGGGCTGGCCACGGGCTCCCCTGCCCGGTGCTGGCCACGGTGGGCACGGCAGGAACCGGGCACGGCAGGAACGGGGCCCGCACGCCCATCTGGTGCCACGGGGCGAGTCCGGCCGTGTGCGCGCACACATGCACACACACGCACACGTGCACGCACACGCATGCACGCCTGTGCCGGAGCCCGCCAGCACCTGGCACGGTGGCACCGTCTGAATTAAGTAACGTCTCGGGACGTGAGCTCATCGCCAACACCCACAGCCCAGGTGATGCGGGTGGCAGCACCGGGGGCCACGGGAATGGGCCTTGACTAACCCCCGCTGCATCGGCACGGGCTGCTGGGAGCGGTCCCTGCCCCAGGCACCGTGGCCTCGGGCAGCTCCCACACAGACCCCGCTGCTCCCCTCCACCCGACACCAGCACAGTCCAGAGCAGCACTGAGTTTTTTTCACCTTTCTTGCAAAGCCCTGGCAGAGAGGACCATCAGCCCCACGCTGCCTCTGCTCCCAAACACCTGCAGATTTTTCTGGCAGAGGCCAATGCATGGGCATGTGTCCCCCCAGGTGGGATCGCGACTCAGAGCTGCCAGAGGAGCCTCCCACCCCATCCTGTCCCCTTGCATGACAACAGGCCTGGGATATTTTCCACTGCCCTCGGCCAAATTCCTCCCTCTTTCCCTTCTGCTTTCCCCGAGCAGGGATGGTCGCTTTGCCTGCCTGGCTGCCTGGGGAGCAGGCTCTGTCTAACGATGAATCGATACCAATTCGGGAGGTGTCACCTCTTCGTCAGTCCTCTCGGAAGAGGGTGCAGTTTGCTTCTTTCTGCAGCACCGTGGGAAAATCCTCCCAGCTGCTGGCTTCCCAGGGTGACTCAAATTTGCTCCCGACAAGACCCAGCTCCCTCGGAGGCCGCGGGCAGGCAGGGGACAGCCAAGTCCAGAAACTCGATTCCTGGGGTACGCAGCCCCTGCACGAGCGATGGCAGAGTTGGGGCGCATCTGCCCAGGCACCCTCGCATCCCCTCGGGGAGGGATTGCAGCCAGGGATGAAGGCAGGGCAGGGGGCTGCCTGGGGACAGCGTGAACCTCCAGCCCATGGGGTCCCATCTCCACACTCAGCATCGGGGGGCTGGGCAGGGGACTCTGCACGAGCCCTGAGGATGCAGGCTGTGGGGCAGGGGCTGAGCGCTGGAGGGGCTGCAGCTCTAACAAGGAGCTTTCTACCTGTCTGTGCTCCCTGAGCCCAGGGACGAGGCAGCCCCGCAACAGAGGGTCCTCACCCTGGGCTGCCCCTCCCCACACAGACACATCCCAGTCAGCCGAGGGGCTCGGGGTGGGGGGCTGTCCTCCATTGCACCATACGGGAGGTGTTGGGGCCACAGGCCGCTCTGCCTGCTCTTATCTCCACGTGCATTAATATCCGTTGCCATTTGCATCCCGACGAGTGTTGCCACGTTCAGCTTCCACAGTTCCTGCGTCAGGGAATTCCAGAGGGACAAAGTCAGTGGAGCCGGATCCTTCCCTCCCCATCCCACAGGCACCCAGCATCCATTTGATCAAGTGGCAACTTGTCCTCCGACCGTGTAACAGGGCAAGGAGAAATGCATCCACGTCCTCGGCATGGAAGGGAACTTCCCTGCAGGGTGTGAAATGGCCTGTCCAGGGCCGCGGGCTCCGCTCTGCGGGCAGCTGGGCTCGGTCTGGCTCTGGGGCTGGGCCACGCCACGCTGTCTAGACCCACCTCCCGAGCAAAGGAGTTGCAGGACTCCCGTAGCAGTTTCCTCATCGGTTGTAAATAATTGCTAACGTGTCTTATCAACAGCTGGGATCATCAATCAGCGACTAAACAACTGCAAATTTGTCCCACAGTTGCAGTTTCCACACAGTGACCAAACCCTTCCAGAACCCCCAGACCGGTTACTGAGCCGTTATGCGGCCGTCTCCCCCCGTCCCCCTTCCTCACGCCCCGTCCACCAGCAGGGCCGGGTGATACCTTTGCTTGGGCGTCCCTGGGCTTTGCTTTCCAGGACTTCAGAGCTGCCCTATAAATCCCTCCCCAGCCAGCTCCACCACCCGAAAAAAGCCGGAGCAGCAAATCCCGGGCTAAAGATGCCACCTGCTGGAAGCAGGTCTGGTGCCGTGGGCCGGCGGGCACCCTGCAGCCCCACAACCCCAAACCCCACAGCCCCACCACGCAGAAACCCCAAAACCCCACCATCCCACAGCCTCACCACCCAGAAACTCCAAACCATCCCCAAACCCCAAAACCCCTCCATGCAGAAACCCCAAAACCCCACAAGTCCCACCACCCCCAAAACCTCACAGCCCCACCACGCAGAAGCCTCAAAACCCCACCATACTTCAGCCTCACCACCCCACCACCCAGAAACCCCAAACCCCTACAGCCCCACCACCCTCAAACCCCAAAACCCCACAAGACCCACCATGCAGAAACCCCACAACCTCACCGTGAAGAAACCCCAAAAGCCCCACCACACAGAAGCCCCCAAACCCCACAGGAACCCCACCACCCCCAAACCCACAGTGCCGCTGGCCCCTCGCACCAGAGACCCCACAGACCCTGCACTCTCCCAAAACCCGCAGCCTCGGCCTGAGCCCCGTGAGGATTTTCCATACGGTTCCAGGGGGGGCAGGGACCAGCCCCAGCCCATTTCCAAGTCATCCAGGGAAGGAACAACCCTGAAACATCAGGATTTCACCCGCCAGCCCCCAAAACCTTTGCAGCACCTACCAACATCCCCGGGGAGACCCAAGGGGAAACACCCCACTTGAGAGGCTTTGGCTGAAATTCAACTTCACCCTCATTTATGGCTACTACCACTTTTTAAAAAAAATCTTGGATTCACACTGGAAAATATTTTTGTCAGTGTTTTGGAGGGGGGGCTCAATCTCTCCCCATCTCTGTTTTAAACAACAACAACAAAAAAATCATTCAGCTTTTAAGTTCTAAAAGCCCCTTCCCACAATTTTATAAAAATCTAAGAAGGAAAAATAAAATATAAAATATAAAATAAAACAAAATAAAATAAAAGCACAGGGAATAACTCTGGGGTACCGCGACCCCCGCCCCGGCCCCGCCCACCCTCCTTATAAAGACAAGCTCCGCCCCCCCGTAGACCCCGCCCCCCGTTTCCGCGTTTCCGCCGCTCCGCCCGCTCCTGTCCCTCCTCGGCCGCCGTCGTGCTCCGCCGCGCGTCGCTGGGCGGGGCGAGGCCGCCCGGGGAGCGGGGGGGCGGGCGGGGGGAAGATGGCGGAGGCTTCGCCGCAGCCGGGACGGTTCTTCTGCCACTGCTGCTCGGCCGAGATCGCCCCGCGCCTGCCTGTGAGCGGGGCGGGGGCCCGGGGCGGCCGGGGGCGCGGGCCTGGGCGGGGGGGACGCCCCGGCGGTTCGGGCACGTGGGGGTGAGGCCTGAGGGGGGGCGGTTGGTGGGGGTTGGGTGGAGGGGCGCGGGGGAAACGGGGCGACCCCCGGCCGAGGGAGCGAGCGGCGGGGCTGGAGCAGGCCGTCCCCGGCCGGCTGAGGGGTCGCGGTGGGTCGTGAGCCCCATCCCGGCCCTCCCCCGGCCGGCGGAGGGGCTGTGCTCCCCCCCCGGGCCCGGGTACCGCCACCCCGCGGCTTTGTCCGCAGCGAACCGGAGCTCCGTGGGATAACGGGGGGGGGTGTCTTTTTTGTCTCCTTCAGTAGGATTTAAATGAGCGTGAGAAGAGCTTCGCGGGTGATAATATCTAAGACGTAGTGAGGCGCAGAAGGAATCCGAAGGCGCCGCTCCCAGTCCCTGATGCCAAAGTGCTTTGTAGGCGAGGTGCAGCGTGTGAGCAGCCGTGCTTCCACCACGGAGTAGCTCCCCTGCCTCTGAGGAGGCACGTCTTCCCGGTGCAGGCAGAAAAGGAGCGTTGGCTGTTGGAAAGGAACTGGCTGAAACATCGTGGCGGGTCGCTGCTGGATTTTCTTTTGGTCGCCCGCCAAATGTGACGTGTTAAGTTCAGTTCAGAGGATCTTACTGCTCTCTGGCCTGAAACTTTTCACAGTGTCTCGTCAGTGCAAGGCATAGCTTTTTCTTAACACTTAGAGAATTTTAAAAGTCTCCTGGCTGTGAGCATAGGTGTTTCTCTGCGGTGGTTGATTCGACTTTGCCGTCAGCTTGGTTTCGTGACGTGCTGTGTGTCCTTTCGCCCTCTCCATCAGTCTTACTGGTTAGGTGAGGGTAGGCCTTGCTGGTAAATGTCACAGCTCGTATTTAAGTGTGAAGACAAAACTCTTGAAAATGCTCCTGCTAAATACATAAGCGGGCTGGAGAAGGTGGCTTGGGAGCTGAAGGTTGCAACCTAGAAATATCAGTTGTTTATTTTTGTCTAAACACCTTGTGTTGGGCTTGTGCCAGCAGAGCACATCTGGTGGTGAATGCACCCAACTGTGGTGGGGAGCATATAACTGCTTTTGTTGCTTCTGATCTAGTTAACTGCTAGTTAATGAACTTGTTTTGGGGGTCCAAGTTCATTCAGTTTCGCTTACTGTTAGCAGACCCAGCTATTGCAGATACCGTAGCATGTGCCGCAAAAGGAGCGATTCAAACAGCCTGAGAAACAACAAACTTTGACATTTATGCTGTTCCAGCTGCAAAGGAATTTGCTGATCCCTGTGTTCAGAGTTGTCTGTAAGCACACACACAAAAAAGCCTCCCTTAAATAGGAGAGTCGAGAGGAGTTAGTTGCTTGCTGCTCAAGCGTGGCTCCCATCAGAATTTACCCCCGTGGCGTATTGGTGAAACATAAACCAGTAAGGGGGTATTTCAAAGGCAAAGCTTATTGATCTGATTTTCTGTGATCAGCACAGGAGTTTGCGTGTGTTGGTGACCAACTTGGAGAAGAATTTGCATGGTGTGGAAACGTTCTTGAAATCAAACATTGTGTAGATTGCATAAATGCAGTTATTTCACAATCACAAATCTAGAGAGTCCTGCACAGAAGAGAGAGCAGCAACTTCTCTTGAGTCTGTTTCTAGGTCTTGGTGTTTGCTGCTCCCTTATCTCGCTGGGCAGGCAGGGGCAGCGTTGAGTGGATCGCTGGCGTCGCTGCCTTGTGCTTGGGCTTATCAGGTTCTTCTGTGGTGGCTGGAGGAGTGATTCCAGGTGTCTTATCAGAGCAAGCCCGTGTGGCTGCCATCCTCTCTTTTGGGGAGTCTGTTGACTTTAAGGGCCTGCTTATTATACATTCAAATGTAGCAGTAGTAAAGGGAATTGGCATTATTTTTAGAAGCTCTTAAATTTCTCTCATGCTGAGCCTGGCTTTGCCAGCACCGGGTTTTAAGCTGTTGTGTTTGCCCATGGTGGCTGTTCCGCCTCGGCCATGGTTGGGGTTAGCTACAGGGTCTGTCGCTTCCTCTTCTGGCTGGGCAGCGCTGTGTGGTGCTCCTTCTCAAGCACTGAAAAGTGAATTAATTTCTCTTCAGGATCATAAACGTCCTGGGCTGCTGCTCACTACGACAGTCTGGTTGTAGAGTGTAGATTCCTCACTGACACTGGGAATTGCAAGGAAAAGTGGCTGTTGCAAACTCCTGGGGAATCCTGCTTCTGTACACATGGGCTGTTTATTCCAAGAGTTTCAGTGTTAAAGGCTAAAGGGTGGCAGTAGCTTTCTGTAAAGAGCACTGAGCGTGGGAGTGTAAAATTCTGGTATAGTGTGTTGCAGAATGACCCTCTGCATGGTGTGAACCCCAGACTACATTGCTAACAGTGTTCCGTTCAGCCCATCCTCAGCAGCACTGACGCTGCGATTAGCCCGTGATGCAATTTCCTCCTTGTTTCTTTCATTAGGACAGTTTGGACCTTGAGGGGGGCAGGGACCCCCCCAAACACACAGCTGTTTATAGACTAGTGCTTGAGTGCTGCTCTTCTGGGAAGGACAGTGGTTTTGCTTTCACTTTACCCAGCACTACATCAGATGTTATCTAATGCTTTGTCTCTGCTGGGGATTAATTAGTGTTATCCAAATCTTTTCTAAAACCAAGTTCCAAACAAGCTCAGGCTTAGCAATTTGCCTCACTAGACTGGGGAAGGCAGATACCAGTGGTTTGGGGTCTTTCTGGCTCTGTAGTTGTGGCATGCGTTTGGGACAGTGGGCTGCAGGACTCTTCTACCCCATCACACTGAAGGCACGCTTTGCAGCTTCTACATACCTTTCTTTTCTCATTCAGTATTTCTTCTCCCATAGGACTATATTTGCCCACGGTGTGAATCTGGTTTTATTGAAGAACTTCCTGAAGAGCCAAGGTAATGCAGTGCCCCAAAGGCTGTTGCTGGAATGAATTCAGTCTGCTTTGCCCTTTTCCTTTTTCTAGTTAAAAGGCAATGTTGGATACTGAATGCACCATTTTTACTACTTCTGCCCAATACTTGACTGATCTTTCCTCACTATGGGTAGAGAATGCTTAGTTTGCATCCACAGGTAAATCAGCCATGGGAATGCTGAGTGTCATATGTTGCTAGTAAAGGGTGGGGGAGGAATGGGTTGATTTAAAACAAACGAAAAAAAAGTGGTAGAGAGGCTTTCCCCATGGCATGTGGTAGCTCTGAACTGGTTTGAGTCATCAGGGTAGAGATAACCCTCAGAGAGCAATCGCAGAATGGAGAGTGTATGTATGCTTCCGTGTATAATTTAATAACTTAGAGCATGAATGGTGAAACATTTTGACGGAGACTTTGGACTCTGCACTGGAGCAGCTGGGATCTGCATTCACGTGCTTTACTGCTGACTCAGCAGCCGGGCTACTCTCTGGCAGTGTCAGAACGGGCAAGAGTAGGAGCAATGTCTTAAAATGCTCTAGATACGTTTGCCAGGCCTTGGCTGTGGCTGGCTTTGGGACAGGCGGTGTGCCGGCAGGCCGGCGGGCGTTCAGTGCAGAGGTACACTCGGCTGCGCCCGGGCGTGTGTCGCTGCCTGCTGAGAGAGGTGGTCTCTACAGGCTGAGGTTTCTGTACTGATGAGGTGACATTTGGTCTGACTACACCAACCTTAGAGGCTGAAAGTCAATCCTGGCTAATCCGAACTGTATTGGTGTTTTGCTGTGACCTTGGGAGAGTTGTGTAGTTGCTGAACCTTAGGGGTTTTTGTACCATGAATGTCAAAGCGTAAACCTGGATACTGGACTGTAAGTGTTCCTGCAGCTCTCTAAAAGCAGATGCCTGACAGCATTAAGAGTTTTCCTAATAATCTGTCCCATTTAGTCACATGCATCTGCAAGATAGAAGTTCCTTTGATTCAAGATTAGACTTAAGCATGTTTGGGTCATAGTGACCATGGTTTGTACTTTAAGTCTTCTCTTCCTGGTGCTCCAGAGGATTAGCTGATTTCTTTGAGGTGGATTGTGCAGAGAATCCTTGCTCGACATCATGGTTCAGTCACTTCTCTGTAGCTTCATGAAATCAGAATCTAAAAGGGTAGGGAGAGATGGGTGAATATGTGGGAAAATGAAGGCTGCAGGGAGCGAAAAATGAAAATTGATATGGACAATTAGAAAATGGGCAGCTGAGGGTGGACTAGGTCCTGTATGGAGCTGACCCTGCCCTGGGGCGGGAGGGAAGGTGAGCAGATCTCTGCGGTCCCATTGAGCTCTGCCTCTGCACAAAAATGGTCACTTGCTGTGCGCTGTTATCCAGTAGTTGTGTCAGATTTTCCTGTGGAACTCGTCCCTTTCTCCCCTCTGCTGGGAGAACCTTTCGGTAGCACCCTCCTGAGTCTGACCAGTGCTCTTCATTCTTCACAGGAACACTGACAATGAGACCAGCTCCTCTACATCAACCAGTGATCAGAGCAGGCATCCTTTTGAGGTGAGTACATCCTCTCTATCTCTTCCAACGCTTTCTGTTTTGCCATTGAATTAAAGTATTTTTCCATTAGTACAATGTTTAAATGTTCCCCAGATTATGACAAAATTTGGGAAAGGAGGTATTAATATCATCCTCATGCTGCTCCTGAAATCTCTGCATGTTGTATTTTTACTGCATGTTTTTAATAGGACTATCCCTTGGAGCTTATTCTTGTTGTGAGGGGGCTAAGCTGGGGTTTAGTTAGCTGTCTGAGTGTGTTGCTATGCACTGGCCTCAACTTAAAAGGCAGCAGTTACAAGCAGCAGCTAGAGAGAAACCACAGAGGCTGTAGTTATTTCTTACCTTCGTGTGTAGTCTCAGCCCATGCCTGTTCCTCACCAAACTGCCGCTGAGAGTGCACTGATCCACCTGCAACAAGGCTTGTGAGTCGCTGGGGATCTGAAGAGACTAGTCTGTGTTGGAAGGCTGGTGAAATACCAGGCGTGAAAGCAAAGAGTTATTTCTCTCCTTGTTACAATCCGTTCTCTGAATTCTCTCCCTCCCAGAACGTGGATCAGCATTTATTCACCTTGCCGCAGGGCTATGGGCAATTTGCCTTTGGGATCTTTGATGACAGCTTTGAGTTTCCATTCGGGTCCAACGTGCAGGCGGAAGACAACAGGGACTCTGAGAACCGGCGGGAGCGAGAGCATCAGTCTCGGCATCGATACGGCGCGAGGCAGCCCCGAGCCCGTCTTGCCACACGCCGTGCCGCTGGCAGGCACGAGGGAGTTCCCACGCTTGAGGGGTGAGAACAACAGCCAGGCTCTTGAGGAGGAAGCCCCGTTACCCTTCTCTGAGTTAGCTGAAATCAGCCTGTCCCTTGTCCAGGGTCACTCTTCCATAGGTGCCCAGCTTTGCCCCTGTGAACTCGCACTGCGGGGTGCTCAGGCCTCGGCTGGGCCTCCAGCTATGGGCAAGCTCTGTCCTTGGGTTCAGAGGGGCTGTTTGACCTGAGCACAGCGGCCCAGACTACACTGTGGCCAGGCATTCCAGCCATTTAACCACAGTGAGAAAGCACGCCCTGATCCTTACCATCTATTACCAAAATGTTGAACTTGGTGTGAGAGAAAGCGCTGGACAACGAGACTAGTGTTTCTTCAACTGCAACCTGGAGAGCCGCTTGCCATCATGTCAGACATTATCCCCTTGTGAATAAAATATCGAAACTTCTCTTTGTCAGTGAATGATCAGTTCATAAGATGCAATTGCTACAAGATATTCTTACTTTCCTCCATGATGGTGCGACAGTGTTTAGCCACTCCTTCCATGTCAGGTTTCTAGGCTGGGAGCTATCAGACAGTAATTCTTACATAATCCTGGTTTTCTTGTTTTTCAGAATTATCCAGCAGCTGGTCAATGGAATTATTGCACCTACAACAATACCAAACCTAGGACTAGGTCCCTGGTGAGTTGGAGGATGTACTGCTCTTTCTGACAGTGTTCTTATTTGTACTCCATGCTGAATTTAATTGTTGTCCTTATTCTTAAAGGGGAGTCTTGCATTCAAATCCAATGGACTACGCATGGGGTGCCAATGGCTTGGATGCAATTATTACACAGGTAAAATGGTCATTATCCTCCTGTGCTGTGCTGCAAAATCGTCAGCACCTGTTGTGGTGCCAGGGGGGTGAACCACTGAGGGTGCAGAAATGGGAGACAAGGTCCCTAGTGCAGGCAATGCAGGGTTCAAGTGCCCTGGTTCACTAAATGAACAGATGCCGTGTGCTGTTGAGCTCACATCTTTCTGCCTTCTGTGGCCTATTGTTTTTTCAGTTACTAAATCAGTTTGAAAACACTGGACCGCCGCCAGCAGACAAAGAAAAGATCCAGGCCCTCCCCACCATACAGATTGCACAGGAGCACGTAGGTATGTATATCTCCTCCAGGGAATCGTTCACAAAGAGCTCTGTGAAAGGTCTGTTTAATGTTTTCTTGGGATTTTAATTTTGTCTGCTAGTACCTTCAAGGCCTAAAACATTTCAAAGAGGAGAGAAAGCTGAATTATTGCTCTGTTATACTCTCACACACGCAAAAAAAGAGCCATGTAGACTGGATGGATTTGCCCTAGGGAGGCAAACTGTTCTGAAAAGTTCAGAGCGGATAGAGATGAAAAAGCAGAAGGGGGGGGAACAATGAAGCAAACCCAGAGCAGTGAGAGGTGGGGTGATGGTGGTAGGAACTGCTGCACGACCAGCTTTGCGCTCTGCAGCGGTGGAGCAGCTGTGGGGGAAAGGGGAGAAGGTGACCAGGTCCCGAGTCAGGTGCTTTGACTGTTGTTCTCTCCTTTATCACTTAGCTGTGTTTTGCTTTCCCTTTATGCTACAGATTCTGGGTTAGAGTGTCCTGTGTGTAAAGAAGACTATACGGTCGGGGAAAACGTCCGACAGTTACCTTGCAATCACCTATTCCACAACAGCTGTATAGTCCCTTGGCTGGAACAGGTCAGTGCCGTCTGAGCAGGTGACATGGGGTTTGTAGCACTTGGGTGTTTTTTCTGGTGGTTCTGTCCTCCTCTGTAAATATTTTCATACCTCCATGATGAGGCCTAAGCATGAGCAGCCTTTGATCAGAGGAAGGAGTGTCATCTTAGCCTTTTCCTTGAGCGCTGCTCCTGGATCGTGTTTCTAATCCTGTTTCCCATATTTCTTGTTTTGTTTTTGTCTGCTCTCCAAAGCATGACACGTGTCCCGTGTGCCGGAAAAGCTTAAGTGGACAAAACACTGCCACAAATCCCCCAGGACTCACGGGGATGAACTTCTCATCATCCTCTTCCTCCTCCTCCTCTTCCTCCAGCTCACCAAGTAACGAAAACTCATCGAACAACTCATGAATCTTAATCGAACCCTCTGTCCCTGGGGCCCTGTCCCTTGTCCTCCCTTCCCCCCCACCAACGTAAGCAACGAAAGGGGCTTCCAGAGCAGAGTGAGGGGAGGGTAGCAAGGGGGAGGCAGGGCCCCCAGAATTCCCTTTTGAGTTCTGAAGACACGGAGACTCTGGGTCCTTCAGAGATGAGAAGCCTCAAGTTCTGTGATGGGGGGGAAAGAGCTCTGTCTGTTAATAAAAACATTCATTTGCCACGTGGACTTTTAACCATTGCAGTGAAAGGCTGCTGCACTCCACAGATGGGAAACCCGAGGCGCTGAGCTAGCGGTTGCAATTCTGAATGGAAAGGTTGTTTGGTTTTGAATTTGAGATTACTTTCTTTATTTCTTTTGCTCCTCCTCCTCCCCTTGGATACTATCTCTTCTGCTTTGGAGATTGAAGTCTTTAAAATGAAAACGTAATAATACTGCCTCCCTCCCAGATCTCCAGCTGGGGAGGGCCAATAGTTGTCACTGAAAAAATGAACTCTTGAAATTAGACCCCCTTATCCATCCCTTCCCCATCTCAAGTCCCATTTATTTTTCTTTATAACCTCACCCTTCTGATACTCAACACTGAAAGGGTTTTTATAATTTTAAATTATTACTGCTGTTAAATAAACGGACGTTTCAGCTCAATGAGACGTTATGCATGATTTGAGAAAAACTACAGGGTAAGCTCTCCGGAGGCTGCTGTGCTGAGCTGTCCCGTTTCACCCCTGGGCAGGCTGGGCTTGTGCGAGCCCTCCTGCGTGCCGAGCACAGGCGTTCTCTGAGCTCCGGGCACCAGACCCCGGCGTGACCAGCACCCCTGCCTGCGTTGCCAGCCTGTGGAGCGTTGGGTGGTTGGCTGCAGGATTGCAACTGTAAGCAGCCTTGCCTGGTCTTTTGTACTTTTTACACCTTCTCCCTGTTGCAGTCCTGCCCTTCTCTCAGCCTGAGTGGACTTTTCCACTGTGTCGACATCAGGACTGGGCGTGCATCAGAGCAAGGACCAGCCAAATATCATTGTGATAGAATAATATACAGGAAAAACAACATTTTGGAGAAAAATGTATTTCAAAGCTACTTAAAATACAGCTGATTAAAAAAGAAGAGAGACGCAAATATCCAGGTGTGTTTGTGGCTCAATATCTGTGACAGAGCTGGAGCTTAGAGAATTAAAAGACTGACAGGAGCGGGTAGTGCCCGACCTGCTGCCTGTGTCCGTGCTCACCTGGGCTGCAAGGCACGAGGCACAAAAACCCAGGTTCCCTTGGTTTGCAGAGGCCCAAATCTCCAGTGGGCCCTGGCCAGCTGCGCGAGAAGCTGGGGCTGGGAGCATGGGGCAGGGGTGGGACCGTGTGTGGGGGGTGGTGGGTGAGGTTCCTGCTCTGCTGGGGCCTTGGGGCAGAGCCCGCAGGAGCAGCAAGGCAGGAACGCTGGTCCCCTTGGTACGGGACACAAGTGATTCCCCCCTTCCACCCCCCCCCCCCCCGATGCCACAGGGATGTGGGGCAGGTGGGGGGGTCCCCCCGACACTCTTATTGGGTGCTTGTGATGGTGCTGTGCGCCCCAGGCCATGGGTCGGGACCTTGCTGTGACTGACACCAGAGCAGTTGATGGGGAACCCACCCCTGGGGGGCTGTTGATGGGATGGACGGGGAGGTTCAAAAGCCTGAGGGGGGGGGCTCCCGGCATCCCCCAGCATCTTCCCTGTTTTTTGGGTGGCTGGGGAAGGTTCTGGCCTCCCTCCCTGGGCACTCAAGGTCCCAGCACCAGCAGAGCGTCAGTGGCTTTTTCAGAGCAGCCTCACCCAGGACCTGGTGCCTCTGAGGGGTGGGGGAAGGCAGGTACCTTGTTTGGGGTTCCTTGCACCATTTCTGAATACAAGAAGAAAAGGTTTGTTGGAGAAAACATCCCCAGCGTGGATGGCAACAGCCTTTGCCAAGCCTGCCGGGGCCACGCGGCCAGCGCTGAGCAACTCTTCTGGAATGTTTTTCCTCCTCGGCTTTGCCGGCCCAGCCAGGGCAGCCCAGCGGCACCTTTCATCTCGGCGGGCGGATGCCCGCGGGACGAGGGTTTATCTCAGGACTGGTATATCAGGGTTAATAGCTCATCCTCCGCCGGAGGTTGAGCCAGAAGCTTCTGCCACTGGGATCCTGGGCCTGGGAGGTGGGTGGCAGCAGGAAGGTCTCTGGCTGAGCCTGTGTGTGCCCGCTGGCTGGGCCAGCATGGGGGAAAGGCTTTGCTCTTAGTCACTGAAACACAGCTCAGGAGACCTAGAAAAACCTTCCTCTTCCCGCCATGTTCCAGCTGGTGGCTGTGGCGCAGGGTTCTTGACTCCCCCGGAGCTCAGCGGGCGATTTTTCACGCGTGAGCAGTGCTTGGGGTGGGTTTTGAGTGGGCGAAGTGAAGCCCGTGGTGGGTGCGTGGCTGCTGCTGCCTGCCCGGCCGGGGCCAGTGCCCGCCACGGTCACCACACAGTTAACACGGTGCCTGTTCCGCAGACACCTTTGGAGCTGGTTGGGTAAGAAATGGAACGAGTTTGGTGGTTTTCGCTGGGGCCATCACTCACATCTGACGTGACGAAGTGACCAGGCTGCGTGGCCTCGCCGCGGCGGGTGTGGAGGGTGGCGCAGGAACGTGCCCTGGCCGGGAGGCCGAGGCACAGGTGCTATTTCTGTCCGTGCTCCCCGCCGGGCAAGGGGCTAGTCCTCGCCACTGGCCGCCTTCCTGGCTCCATCTCTGCTGGGGAGGATGGAGCGGAGCTGGGCTGGGTGGGCCAGGACCAGCCCGGAGGCAGGGGGCTGCATTCTGCATTTCAGGTCTCAATCCAGAGTGTGGATCGGATGCCAGCCGCTTGCGTGGGCGTGGGTGGCCCAGGTGTCCCCAGAGCAGGTCTGGTCCCTTCTGCTCGCACTGTCCTGGCTCCAGGGCAATGGGGAGCAGGGTCTCAGCTCCCCCCAGCCCCAGGGCCGTGTCTGCCCCAAGGTACAGGCTGGCTCCTGCAGTGCTGCCCGGCACCCGGTCCCGCAGAGCCCACTTGCTCTGGCTCCAGGGACCCTCTCAACCCCTCGTCCCCCTCTGCCTTGTCCTTTCGGGTCACCATGGCTGCATCCCCTTGCGCAGAGCCCGGCATGCGTGTGCTTTCCTGCAGCACCAGCACAGAGTCCAGGCTCTTCCCCACCACCAGCTGTTTTTTCCTGCTCCCCACTTTGTGCTGCTGAACAACTATGGCTGCGTTTTCCTGTGGGTGAGGTTTTGGATTGGGTGCATCTCTGCCTGCACATGCAGGTGCGGGTGTAGGTTGATGAGGAGCTGGACACGGTGGGGGACCAGCCGGGCTCCCCAATAGTGGCAGTGGGGACAGCGCTGGTGGCTGCAGCTGCGACCCCAGGGGAACCAACCCCCCCTGGCCCGAGCCAAACCCACCATCGAAGCACCAAGACCCGCTCCCCATTCTGTACCACGAACACAGCTTTAATTGCCACAGGTGCCTGGGCACGAGACAAATACAACCCACCGGTACATCCCAGCCCTGCAGCCTCCATCCCCGCCCCAGCCCCTCAGAGACGCCGTTAGCAGAGCACCGGCCTCCTGCTCCGGGCTGTGACGTTGGTAGCCTGGGCACATGTTGGCCACGCTCCCCCGGGCTGTGCTGCACCGGTGGGACAGTGGGGAGAGCCGTGTCCCTGCACGGCTGCAGGCTGCATCTGGAGCATCTGCCTTCCACATCTATCCTCTGCCGTGTGTTTAAAAATAAAACAATAAATAGCAAAAAAATAGATATGTACATAAATAAAATAACCCCTTTTTCCATTTTTTTTCCTACAGGACGGTCCAGAGCCGCCCGGGGGGGGGCTCAGCTGACGAGCATGGGGAGGAAGTGGGTGGAGAGGTGCTGCCGGTGTGTCTTGCCCCCTCGCTGTGGCCTGCCCTTGCTATTGAGGGAGAGGAACATGGGGCGGCCCCGGTGCTGCCAGCGCAGCGATGCGTAGGTGTTGTAGCCGTTCTCCTCGATGCGCTCCGTGAACTTGCAGTTGGGGCTGAATTCCTTCTGGCAGGAGAGGGAAGGGGCTGAGGGGCGGCTGCGCTCAGCCGGGGCCTGTCGTTGCCCTGCTCCGGCGGGGTCGGACCCCAAGAGCGGGTCAGGGCAGGACCCCAGCTCCTCCCCAGTCCCCGGAGGGCAGAGGGGCTCTGTGGGTGAAGTCCCCCACGGGGGAGCAGGCCAGGGCATGGGAAACCAGGAGCCCGCTCCTGGGCACTGGTCCCAGTGGGTTTGGGACCCCCCGTTCCAGCTCTGCCCTGCACCTCTGACCCCGATCCAGTCCCTCCCGGGAGGCACCGTCCGACCTACCGACCCGTAGAGCCTCCCCTGCTTGTTCATGGCCAGGTAGAAGCCGGTGTGCACCGCCCGGATGGCCACGACGCCGACACGCACTGACCGGATCTCGACGATGCCTGTGGGACAGGGAAGTGCGACGGTGAGCCGAGGAGGGATGGAAAACCCCTCCGAGGGGCCCTGCCCCGACGCAGGGTCTGTGGCTGCAAAGTGCCCCCCCGGAGGGACGGGGCTGCTGACCCCCGTCCAGCACCAGAGCAGCTGGAGGGACAGCAGGAACCAGGCTGCAGCCCACACTGGGAGCGTGAACCTCTGATCCACTGGCAATTTGATCTTTATTCCTCTCCACCCCAGGGCCCAGCCGCTTTCCCAGGAGCCAGGCAGCGCGGGAGCAGTGCCAAGCACACCCTCCGCTTGCCCGGAACAACTCGTCATGCTCTGCCCAGTGCTGACCTCGTGTTTATCCCCCCTTGTTGGCAGCTCTGCCCACGCATCTGCCCCGAACACGCCTGCGGTGCCCTGGGGACCCAGCCCAACTCTCCCAGCACCCGGCTCCCTGCGCACTCAGGGCACTGAGGCCGGCACGGCCCTTGGAGGGGCAAAGTGTGTGTGGGGGTGGCAGCAACGGTGCACAACCACGTTACGGTGGACGGCAGGACCCGGGCAGAGGGCGGCCGTGGATGCCGGTGCCAATGGCCTGGCTAGCACAGGCACACAGCCCTGTGCTGGGGACCGCGGGCGGGAGGGATGCGGCGGCACTGCAGGACGCGGGGACGAGCCTGGGAGGCGGCTGCAGCCGGGCTGTGGAGCCACAGCGGGGCCCGGCCGCAGCTGGGCTGGCGTGTGCCCGGCCGCCGAGCTCCTGGCACAGCCGCTAATGGGAAAGGCATGAGGTCGGACAGGGGAAACACCCAGAGCATCGTCAGGGCCTCGGGATTCCTGCACCACCTCGTGCCCACCAGCGCCTGGCCAGCCCCGAGAGGCGCTGCCAGCCACGCCGCCCCGCACATGGTGCTGCAGGAAGGGGAGAAAGAATTTCCAGTGGGCAGAGGTGCAGGCAGGGTGTGAGCCGCAGCAGGAGTTGCCCAAAGGCACCGTGGCCTGGGGCTGCCTCAGGCCGAACAGGATGGGAGGATGCACAGAGGCTTTGTCAGGCAGCAGCACGCCCACCACAAGGGGCTGCAGCCCTCGGGCAGGGGCTGTCACCAGGAGCCGGCATTGCCTGGACATCACCTGCCTGGGGGCAAAGCAGGAGCAGCCAGGGTGGGCACAGCACCCGGGCAGTGTGAAGGCTCCCGACCATTCTGCTCCTTGGGGATGATGTGTAAGAGGGGATTTTCAGCCCAGCTGCTGCCAGCACCCAGCCTCAGCACCCACTGGGACCCGCAGAGCCCAGCCCAGCGAAGCCGCTGACAGACAGCAGCTGTGGGGAAGGGCTGAGCGAATGCCTGCAAATCCATCCCACTTGATCACTGTCTGGAGCTGCCACTATTTATAACAAAGGACTTCTGCTTTTCTAAAAATAACCCCCTGCTGCCGTTCCCGGCGCCCCGGCCGGCTCTGCCGTGCTTTGCCTGCGGGTGCCCGGCCAGTGCCTGGCGCTGTGCGGGGGGGACGGGTCCCTGCAGGCGCAGGGCAGCAGCCCAGGGCCCAGCAGCAGCCCGGAGGCAGCTCCCAGTGCTCCTAGCGTGGCTGGGGTGGCTGCAGGGCTTGAGGCAGGGGAAGCCCCGGGAGAGCCCCTGCCACCCTGCAGCCGCTGGCGGGGCTGGTCTGGTGGCTGCCGAGAGGGCTGAGGAGCAGAGCCCCAGCTCAGCCCAAGCACAGGTTTTCTGCCGCGCCGATAACCAGATTGAGCCCCATGCGACAGCCCGGAGCCACTCCGCCTGCCAGTCCCCATTGCCACATGGCCGAGGGAACGTGTTGGGGCACTTGGCAGTAGCAGCACGCCTGGTCAGGACTTCCGACAGCTTCTGACACCGCAGGAGGGTTCCCTGGGCTGGGCTGGGCTCCCTCGTCCTGCAGCCAGCCGCGTGACCCCCTCTGCGCTGGCCAGGAGACAGGGCAGGACGTGGGCTGGGGGATGCTGCTCCTGCCCACAGCATCCTCCCCGTCCCAAGCCCTGACACTTTGCCAGAGGGTCCCCGGGGCTGGTTGGGCATCCCCCATTCCCAAGGCCCCCAGCACCCCCACCCTGCCAGCCTGGTGCCCCCCCTCCCTGTCACAGGGTGCCGGGACCCAGCACCCAAATTGGGGTGAAACCACAGGTGCTGAAGCTGGGCTTGCAGCCCCGGCCCTTGCCGCAGCCGTACCACGGGTGCCACGTCCCCTGGGGACCCATGGCGCTGTCACCTGGGGGGGGGCCGGGAGGTGGAGCAGGTGGGTGCAGAGCAGAGGCAAGATCCTGGTGCTGGGAGCCACCTCTCCGCTGGTGCAGGGACCCCGGTGCCAGCCTCCGCAGCCGCCTCTCCTCACCTCCGCACACGGCCCCTCCCGAGGGCTGCAGGGTGGAGCAGCCCCAGCCCCAGCCCCAGGGGAAGGCCTAATCCTGCCTGCTTGCTCCCGAGCTCCAGATCGCAGCACAGCCATGGCAGCGCTGACATCCCACAGCATTTGCCCCCTCCGTCCCCCCCGAGAGGAGCTGCCTGGCCCCATGAGCCCCCCGGGCCCCTCTGCAGGAGGATGCTCTGCAGTCCCCCCCCCGACAGGGCTGCTCCGCTCCCACACCAGCCTCATGGATGCTCAGTTCTGACACCAGCAGCATCCTGAATCTTCCTCTGTCCCTCCTCCTCAGCCTTTATCTTCCCCAGTACGTTTACAGGGAACGAGCAGCTCTCCCTCAGGCAGTGCGGGATGAACATAACCCGAATCGCAGAGCAGGGGAAGCCGCCCCCCCTGACTGCACCGGCAGGACGAGATGGGACTGGGAACACCCCCCGCCCCACGGGTGACCCCAGGCGTGGGGCAGAGCTGGCGAAGTGGCGCCGGGTCCCCGGCCAGAGCACGTCGGTGTCCGCACAGCTCCCGCTGCGCAGCCGGACCCCGGGAACGGGGCTCCCGGGGTTGTGGGCGGCAGGAGCCCTTGGTGCTCGGGCGAGCTGCGTGTCCCGGCCAGCCATCCGTGGGACGGCGGGGACGCTCTGGCAGAGGTTTTGGTGGCGGAAGGAGCCGCGGGCGCTCCCGGGCAGGGCACAGCGGGGTCCTGCCGCTGTCCCAGGGCGACTCGGTCCAGTCTTCGCCCCCACCCCACCCCCGCCGTGCCCTCCGCCCCGTGCCCGGCCCCGGCAGCGCCCGCCTCTGCCGCAGCCTCGGCGCCCCGGTGGGACGGGGCTCTGGCGTCCCGGTCCCCGTCCCCGTCCCGGTCCCACTCACTGCCCGGCCGCTCCCTCCAGCGCGTCCCCTCCACGCCGCCGCCGCCGTCGATGCGGAGGAAGAAGCGGGTGGCGGAGAAGAGCCGCCGCCAGCGCACGTCGCCTTCCAGGTGTCCGTAGCTGCGGGGGGGCCGCCGGCCGCCCCAGGCAGCGCTGCCCGCCCCCGGCCCCGGCCCCGCCAGCACGGCGAGCGCCCCGGCGAGGCAGGCGGCGAGGGCGGCGGGGCCCCCGCGCCTCATGACGGCGGGCGGCGGGCGGGCGGCGGGGCGCGGCGGGGCGGCGGGCGGCGGGCCATGGCCGCGGCGGCGACCGGCCCCGACGGCGCGGGGCGAACCGGCGGGCGGAGCGGGGGCGGTGGCGGCCACTGGGCGGGGACGGGGGGCGGGGCCTCCCATTCATAAATCGGCGCCCCGACGGCTTGGGCGAGATCTGGGTCTCCGGTCGCTCGTCGGCGCTCGCGGGGCGCCCCGTTGGGGCGGGGAGCGCACGCTGCAGTCCCCCGCAGCAGGTGGCGGGCGGATAGGGGGGCGCAGGGCAGCCGTGTCCCCGGGGCTGGTGCCCGTCTGCGGCCCGAGACGCGCCGGGGCGGGGGGCAGCGCCGGGACCCCCCGCGACCCCCCGCGTTACGCTCCCGTCCCGTCCCGTCGGGGCGTCCGTGACCGCCAGGGGGCGCACGGTGCGGCCGCGCTGCACCATGGGGGTTGTAGTCCGGAGGTGGGGTGGGGGCGGTGTCGCTCCCGCTCCCGGCGTGCACCGCGCGGCGCCTGCGCAGTGGGTGCGCGCGGCGCGGCATGGCGGCGTAGCGGCGGGGCATATGGCGCTGCCGCGGATGCAGGCCGCTCTGCTGGGCCCGGCCCGGCTGCGGGGCGCCGGTGAGGGGCCGGGTCTGAGGGAGCGGGGCGCGGGGGTTCCCCGGGGCCCTGCCCCTCACACCCCCCACCCCTCGGGCCGTGGGGTTCCTGTGCCCCTGAGCCCCAGGACAGAGCTGGGGGGCGGTGGGGGTCTCTGTGTCCCGAGCTCCTCTGGGGGCTGTGAGGGTCTTTGTGTCGTGAGCCCCCCGCCACCAGGGATAGAGAGGGGGGGTTGTGGGTGTCATGGGGCGTTGTGCTGTGAGGGTAGAAGGGGGGCGTCACTGGGGACCTGTCCCGGCTGTGGGAGAGTCTGCCTGCTCGGGGGGTTGCAGGGGTCCTGTCACCCCGTGCGACAGCCCTGGGCTTTGTGGCTGGGGCAGTGTTCCCTGCACGGGGTTGGTGCAGGGGGTGTCGCTGCCCCTGCTGCTTGCTGGCACAGAGCTGCCCCCTAGCCCTGTGCTGGCACCGCTGCTGGGCTTGTTGGGGCCTACGAGCTGACCTGAGAAAGGCTGCTCGCCCTCTCCCCCCGCTCGCCCTCTCCCCCCGCTCGCCCTCTCCCCCCGCTCGCCCTCTCCCCCCGCTCGCCCTCTCCCCCCGCTCGCCCTCTCCCCCCGCTCGCCCTCTCCCCGCTGCCCAGCCAGGCCATGGGGCAGTGAGCGGTGCAAGCAGCGAAGCCTCCTCTGACCTCCCGGTCTTTGTGTCTTCCTGCTGCAGGGATCCCATGGAGCGTTCTCAGGAACTACTCCTCCGCCAGCACCAAGGAGAAGGCGAGCAGAAATGCCATCAGTGAGAGGACAGAGCTGCTGGAAGGTGCGTCAGGGAGGGGAGAGCTGCAGGGGTTTCCCTTGTTCAGTGTGCTGGAAGGTTTTCTAGGAGTTTTCCTGTTATGTGTAGCCATAAAGAAGATACTTGGGCCTGGAAATACTTGTAGCCTGGGCAAGGATGTGGGGCTTCCCATGGCCTCCCTGAGCATGTTCTGTCCTGTCTTAAGGACTTGGAGGCCCATCTTAGCCACAGGGAGCATAGAGTTGCTGTAAAATACAGGGTGGTCCCAAAGGACAGTAGGAGAGCCCCTCAGAGTGTGCAAGAGCCCAGCAGACTGACCTGGAATGTGCTCTAGCTGTGGGCTCACTGCCTGGGTGAGCTGAGGGCATGAAGTCCCTGTAGAGAAGCCCGGTGAATTGACCAGGCAGCAGGTTAGACAAGTGTGAGCTGGTGCTTTTTCCCTTGCAGTGATGTTGGGTTCCCTGGGGTGCTGGGGTGGGTCACAGCGCATGAGTGGATCCCAGCAAGACAGCAGTCAAAGCAGCTGGTTGCTGGGAGGAGGGCTGGCCAAGGAGGGAACACGTCCCGCTGTGGACCCCCTTTTCCTGAGCATGTTCCTGAGGCCATGGCAGGACACAACCTTCTGCCACTCCTTGCACCCCTTCACCTCTCCCCGGCTGTGTTTCCCGGCAGTGCTGAAAGCTCGAGTGAAGCAGCTCCAAGCCAGTAATGTCCCGGAGGTGACGATCAACAAAGTGGAGCTGGCCCCGCTGGTGAATGACAAGTACCAGGATCCGCTGCAGAAAGCGGTGGCTCCCAGCCCTGCGGAGGAGCAGCCCACACCCAGGGGAAGCGATGAGAGCCCGGCCAGGCCCAGCAGCTGGGTCAAGAAGATGAAGAAGGAGGCATACCTCCAGCAGCTGAAGGTGGAACAGAAGTTACCCAGTACTGCCTTCATGTTGGCTCTGGAGGTCAAGGTGAAGGCCAAGAGGAAGGGCAAGTCAAAGGCCAAGAGGAAGGGCGAGGCGAAGGCCAAACCGGAGGGCGAGGTGAAGGCCAAACCAGAGGGCAAGGTGAAGGCCAAACCGGAGGGCGAGGTGAAGGCCAAACCGGAGGGCGAGGCGAAGGCCAAACCGGAGGGCGAGGCGAAGGCCAAGCCGGAGGGCGAGGCGAAGGCCAAACCGGAGGGCAAGGTGAAGGCCAAACCGGAGGGCGAGGTGAAGGCCAAACCGGAGGGCGAGGCGAAGGCCAAACCGGAGGGCGAGGCGAAGGCCAAACCGGAGGGCGAGGCGAAGGCCAAGCCGGAGGGCGAGGTGAAGGCCAAACCGGAGGGCAAGGTGAAGGCCAAACCGGAGGGCGAGGTGAAGGCCAAACCGGAGGGCAAGGTGAAAGCCAAGAGGAAGGGCGAGGCGAAGGCCAAACCGGAGGGCAAGGTGAAGGCCAAACCGGAGGGCGAGGCGAAGGCCAAACCGGAGGGCGAGGCGAAGGCCAAACCGGAGGGCGAGGCGAAGGCCAAACCAGAGGGCGAGGTGAAGGCCAAACCGGAGGGCAAGGTGAAGGCCAAGAGGAAGGGCGAGGCGAAGGCCAAACCGGAGGGCGAGGCGAAGGCCAAACCGGAGGGCGAGGCGAAGGCCAAACCGGAGGGCGAGGCGAAGGCCAAACCGGAGGGTGAGGTGAAGGCCAAACCGGAGGGTGAGGTGAAGGTCAAAGCTAAAGCCAAGAAGAGCCTGAAGAGTCCAAAGGCTGAAGTGGCTGTAGCCTGTAGCCAGAGCCACGCTGGCTCCCGCAGTGTCTATTCCCACATCAAGCCCAGGATGGCAGCAGTGAAGGGAGGTGCAAAGGTGCAGAGGCCTTGGAAGGTGCTGGAGGGCAAGGACAGCAGCCAGCACAAGATCCTGCAGCAGACTATTCAGTCCAACCTCGAATGCTTCCTGTTCTTGCAGCAGCCGGAGGAGGCTGAGAGGTTCCTTCTCTTGTACCACAGCTCCCCTGCGAAGAGAAAGTTTTTGAATGTCAATGCATACAACATCGTGATGCATAGCTGGGCAAGAAAGGTACCGAGCTGCGGGCTGCTGTCCTGGTCTGGCTGTCAGATTTTCTGGCTGACCAAGGGGGAGAGAGGGGCTGGCTCAGGAGAAAGAGCTTCATGCTTGTAGACACAGTGGCCACAGTTTTATCTGTGTTTGTCACATCTGCCTTCAGCAAGTGTTCAGGGAGGTCTTGGCTTCTGCTGAGAGGGCCAGAGCTGATATGAGGCCACTGAATCAGGCCACTGATCCCTCTGAGGTGGCTTTGAGGGGAGGAAGGGGATGGGGCAGGATAGACATGGCTAAATTTCCACAAGAGCAAAGGGACATGGGATCTGTGATTTGGGGCTGCTGGTGTCTGTGTCCACAGCCCCCTTCCCTTCTCATCCACAGGGCAGCTTGCAGCACATCTACCAGCTGTTTTCCATGCTGGAGGCCGCCGGCCTCCGGCCCAGCCTGGACTCCTACGCAGCACTGCTGGAGTGCATGGGCCGGAACCAGGTGTCCCCCAAAGCCATCCGGAGGTAACGCACTTCGCCTGCTGCAGGGTGCCCCTGAGCAGCATCTCCACAGCCTGCCGCTTCGCTGCACTGGGAGAACTGGGAGTTTGCTCGGGGGAGGAGATGCACTGGTTGGGGGTCAGGAAGACCTGCCTCTGCTGAGTGCACATCCAGATGCTCCGACCCACTTCTCGTGGCCAGATTTAGGGGCAAGCCGAGCTCCCACAGTTGGGCCCTCCTTGCCACCCCCAGCTGCTGGGGAGTTTGTCTGAGATCTTGAAGGGAAAGGAGATGTAGGAGGTGAGAACAACCTTGCTTATGGCCAGACCTGTGTCTGCTCCCCCCCAGAGCTCACAGAGCAGCTCTCTTCAGTCAGGTATTCCTCGCTTGCTCCCATTCTGGACATCTCTCTCCCACTGGCCCTTTCATTGCTGCCCAGTAGGAATGGCTCATCCATTGTTTTTTCTAGCACCTCCACGAATTTGCCCTTCCTGGTAGGCTCAGCCAAACAGCTGTTTTTTGCAGGGTGCCGACTCTCTGGAGGAGCGTGATCAGTAGATTCACGTGGATTTTATGGAGTGTAATGGGCAGAATAGGTGTCAGACCCAAAGCAAGGAGCTGAAGGAGCCCTGTGAGATCCCAGCAGGCTGAGTCTAGGGGCAGTGCTTGGGTCTGGTAGCGCAGCCAGCTGCTTTGCCAGAGGGTGGAGAAAGCTTTCTGGTGATTGCTAATGCTGCACAGGCACCCTTAGATGGTGCAGGGATTTATCACTGGCTTCGTGTGTCCCTTGGCTGGCTAACAAGTTCTAGATGCCTCTGAGTGAATGTCTTCCAGTCAGCTGATTTAGAGGTGACTGGCATTGACTTTCCTGCCTGCGTGCGTGGGTGTTGCATCAATACAGCAGTGCACCTGTAGGGCTGTCTATAGGCAGATGTTTGTAGCACACCTGCACGGATGTGTCAACCCCAAGCCTTGCCAGGGTGTGTGTGTGTTTCCCCACAACTGTTTCTCTTTGCTGGTGCTGTGTGTGTGGGTATGAGCTCTCAATTCCCTTCCTCTCCCAAACGTGCTCTCCCGGTTGGACACGGCAGCAGCATGGCCTGGAGTGCTGAGTGTGAGATTAGGGCTGCTTCTCACTCTGCTCCCAGACTGCAGGGTCACTTGCAGGGTGGAAGGTGGGAGATGCTTGTTTTAACTGGGCTGCTGGGGGTAGTTTTCAGGGAGGGTGGCTCTGCAGAGATGTAGAGCTGTTCACCACTGAAGCTACTGCCTGCTCCCAAATGTGCAGCTGGGGCGTACGCAGTAGCAGGACTCACAGCATGTTGCAACTCTGGCTCAGGGCACTGTTTGTCACCTCTTGGGCTGTTAATGCTTTCCCAAAGCTGCCAGGGGCTCCCTCCTGCCCATTTTGCTTTCTGTGGCTGCTTGGGGTCTGGGCTGGGGCCTGGCTGATGCTGCTGTCACCCAGGTCTGCCTGTCCTCTCTCCAGTGTCACCCGGCGCAGGCCAGGCCAGTCGGCAGGTGGGGCTCTGGGCCCTGCTGCACCCCAGATCCCGGCTCCAGCCTGGCAGAGCCAGGAGGATGCAGTCCCACAGCATCCGTTGTACAGCTGGGGAGTGGAAGATCTTGGTGTGTGGGGCGGATTCTGGTTCCCAGCAGTGATGGGAGCTGCAGGGAAGAGATCTTCCTCGCAGGCACTGTGGCCGCTCCTGGTGCTCAGGCTGTGCCTGCTGCAGCCCTGTGAGCTGTGCTCCTGTGTCCTGGTCCCCCGACTCGGTGCATGAACTGCAGTCCCCTGCCCCTTTGCCCAAGCTGTGACCAGCCCCTGGGTTCCCTTCTGCTGCCTCAGCCAGAGGGGAGAGCAGGGTTATGTGGGGGTGAAGGAACCTGCCTGTTCTTGCTCAGTCTCACAGTGGCAGCAGAGCTCAGTCTCCCCACCCGTGTGTGAAGGTGAAAGCCGCCTGCTCAGCAGAGGTGCGGGCTGGAGGGGTGGATAACTGATCGCTGTAACCTGAGGCGGGTGACCTTGTCGGGATGGGCTGTGCTCTGGAGGCAGCTCCCACCTCCCGAGAGCTGTCTCCTGGCTGTGTGCAGAGGTCAGGGAGAGATCCTGCAGACAGTGTCCTGCTGCCTGGCTGCCCCGCAGTCATGTTCCGGGTGGACTGAGGCATCTGCTTTCTGTGGGTTTCCCGGTTATGCCCGTTTCTACACCATTCTTCCCGCATCTGGGGCTGGGCAGACAGCACAGTCAGGCACAAGTTGCTGCAAGGGTTTCAGCAGTCACTACGTGGAATGTGCTTTGAGACACATGTCGGAGAAAGGAAGAGGCATCTCAGGCCAGGTGCATGGAGCACATCCCGCTCCCCAGCACTGTCAAAGTCTTTCCAGCAAGTGCGAGAGGTTGCACCCTCCTGCAGCTGCCCTGGCATGAAGGGTGGTAGCCCCCAAGCCCTGCTCTGGGAGAGGGTTTTGTTTTTGTGCCTGCCAGGGTTTTGGGAGGGGTGGCTCTTTGTCCTGGTGGTGTGTCTCACGTGGGTCTGGGTGATGCTGTTGAGGGGACAAGTGAGGAAGCTTGTACAGTCAAGGCTCTTGGATCTTCAAAAGGGGTCACCCCCATCTGTCTTCTCCATGCTTAGTCTTCTGTTTAAAACTTTGTTCCATGTCTCATTATGTGCTAACTTCTGTCCAACACACACAGTCCCTTGTGGAAGATAAAGCCTGTCTTATCTGCCCGTCCTCAGGTGTGTGAAGCAGCTGAAGAACGATGGCTTCCATGTGGATGACCTCTTCCAGAAGTGCCTGTTTGAGGAAGATGAGAAAGAGAAGGTGCTGAGGGCCATCAGAACTGTCCAGCCCAAATACAAGCTGCCTCCTCCACCCAGACCCAAGATCTGCAAGTCTTCTTTGCTCCGGGACTTCTACTCCAAAGTAAGCCATAGAGCTCAGGGATGTATCTGCAGCTCAGAGAGGTGGTAGAGCTGGCCAGATGGTGTTCACAGTTGTCCTCGGGTCCAGCTCAGGACTGTAATATGGGAAGAACTTTTTACCCTGATCTCTTCTCAATGGTCCATGCAAATCATCAGGCAACTCCTTGTTCTGAGGAAGTGAATAGTCTTACCAACAGCCTTACATAGGAACAGAGAAGACAAGGGCTGGCGGGGGGGCTGGAGATGGTCTTCATATGCTGAGGGGAGTGCTTTGGGGGGATGCTTGACCATGATAGAGGAACAGGGCAGCCTCTGGAGAGGACTGCTACTCCAGATTCCCTGGGTTTTCTGACCAGAGACCTCAGACCTCCGGACTCGGAGGCTCCAGAAAGGTGCCTTCATCAGGACTCGTACCACATGCCTCTTGCAGGGAAGCTGGGAGAATGAGCATGTCTTCTCTTCCTCTGACATTTGGCGCTTCATATCTCACTCTTATTGCAGAAGACGACGGTGTCATACCCCAACCTGGACTTCTCCGTGCAGGAGTTGCAGGAGCGCTTTCAGCAGCAGCTGGAGATGGAGCTGGACAACACCGTAACCATTCAGTCAGTGGAGTCAACCAAACCTCTGACCCCACAAGCCATTAAAGCGGTAAAGCTGAGGGAGTCTGGGGGCTGCACATCTGGAGGGAAGTGGGGCAGTTCAGCCCTTGGGACCTGTGTGAGAGATGCAGGAGTCAGTGGCCTAAAGAGAGGGGCAGCTCCCTGGTGACATGCTCACCACCGCATTACTGCTTTGATTCTATTTCTGTGCAGCGCAAACTGCTGGCCACCCTTCGTTCCAAGTGGCATAACTCCATCCTCAGAGCCCTGCAGAAGTCGAAGCACAACATGTCCAAGCCCAGGACAGCATCAGCGTACAACACTCTCTACCCCTACCTGTGTGTGCTGCCAGACAAGGAGTATGTGGGCATCATGCTGCAGGTAGGACCCTGCCCTTGCGGAGCCACAGGAATGGGGCTGCCTGAACAGGCAGAGGGCTGCCACAGAGCACCAATGTCCCTCTTGGGCCAGCAGAATCAGAACATGAGCCTCAAAGTTTGCCCAGGTTATTAGGTGCAGGCTCTGATCCCTGTGCTGAGCCGCCAGAGAAGCCCTTGCTCTCTCCTGGCCATGTTTCCTTCCTCATCATCTGCTCAGCATCACAGGAATCAGTATCTTTCTATGCTCCCCACACAGGGGCTTTAACTCCCACTTTGTGTCTCTGCTCTGTCTTTCCGTTTCTCCCTCCTTAAGACCCTCTCTGCCTTCCCCTTTCTCAGATCCTCAACACCATCTCTCCACACGGAGAATTCCTCTCTGTCTTGGCCAGAGAGCTGGGCTCTAAAGTGTACAACAAGTACATCATCCAGAGGAAGCTGCGCAGCCGCCAGCTGGAGAAGGTGCAAGAGATCTATAAGGACTACGTTCACCTTCTGGCAAATGACAGCCAGGTGGGTATGCCTGGAGGGGAGAGGGCCCGCAGGTTGCATGGGTGGAGATGGGGCAAGGCAATTTGTTCACCTCCTTGCAAGGTCCAGGTTCTGGGCACCTGCTGCTGCAGAGGCCACGAGAACCAGTAAAGCCCCATCTAGCACTCAGCAGGCCCCCTGCCCTATGGCAGCAGTCAGGTCGGTTCTAGCATAGCAATGGGTATTTCTGAGCTGAAAGGTTTTAAACCAGCAGAGTTGATCCCTTGGAGCCAGGCATCCTATGCAGGAGAGCTCTGGGGCTTGATGGGGGTGCGCTTTGCAGGGCAGGATGGGAGGGGAGAAAGTGGCTAAGGCCACCGATCTGGACAGATCAAGGGCTGGATGAGCAGCTCGTTCCCAGAGCTGCGTGCACATGGCGTGGTGGGGAGGCAGATCTGCAGTCTGAGAGGGGGAGGGTCAGGATGCTCTGGGGACAGGGTGTCAGCACAGGGATGTGGCAAGAGAAAGGGCTTTGCAGTGCCACTGTCCTGGCCTGCAGCAGAAACAGGTTCTCGCTGTTGGGCTTGTCCCAGCCATGTCAGCAGTTCTTCCCCAAATACCCCTGTCAGGGGGGACTTCACAGGGATGCAGAGACAGGAGGGTCCTTCTCAGAGCCACATTCCAGCTACACAGGTCCCATCCAGCAAACCCCCTGGGAGCATCATGGCTGGCCCCTCCAGCTGACCTGCTTTTCTCCTTCCACCTCGCAGCCTGACAAGTACTTGCCACGGGAATATTGGGAGAAGCTGGTGGCCAAAGCAGGCTTTGGGCCTTCCCTGAACTTGAAGGACGGCAGCTGGCCATGCGTACTCATCATGCGCCTGGGCATGCACTTGCTGGAAATCCTGGTGCAGACTGTCAAGGTGCCCAGGAACACCTTCAACACTCGCCTGGAGCCCAGGCTTATCCCCGTCCTCTACCACATCTACTCCTACCGCAGCACCTGGCAGGTGAGCCTCATCCTGGGGCCTCGAACTATGCAGGTCACCTCTTCATTGGAACTAGGTCTTTGCAAGGCCCTTTTCCCTCCCTGCTGCCTTTCCTGCTCAGGGACACTTTGAGGAGCCTCTGGTTCTGTGCGGACAGTGTCCGTCCTTAGCATGGTCGTTGTGTAGAGGCTGACTGACCCCCATGCTCTTCTAGATTCTAGCCCTAATCTTCTACTGCTGACCTTCACCTCTCCAATTCTCCTCTCCAGGTTGGGCTGATAAAGCCCCATCCCATCTTCTCCCACATTATGTCAGACGCTGCAGAGACCATGCTGACCTTTAACTCCTCCGCCATACCTATGCTGTGCCCCCCGGTGCCCTGGACCTCCCCCCATTTCGGTGCCTTTCTCCTGAGTGACACCAAGTTTATGCGCATTGTGGATGGGGCCATCCAGCACCAGCTGCTCCTGGACCAGTGTCCTCCAGTGAACCTCCACCCTGTGCTGGATGCCCTGAACCAGCTGGGCAACTGTGCCTGGAAGATTAACCAGCCAGTGCTGGATATCATCATCTCCATCTTCAATGACAAAGGCAATGAGAAGTTGGACATCCCACCGCCCATCTCTGAGGCCCCCAGGCCTCCTGCTGCTCCCAGCAATTCCTCTGCCTCCAGCAAGGCCCATAAGCACGAATTGTTGCTGTGCAAGAAGAAGACAGCTGAAATGCACAGCTTGCGCATGGATGCACTCTATAAGCTCTCCATTGCCAACTATGTCAGAGACAAGGTATTCTGGTTTCCTCACAACATGGACTTCCGAGGCAGGACGTACCCTTGCCCACCTTATTTCAACCACCTTGGTAACGATGTCACCCGGGCCATCCTGCTTTTCGCAGAAGGAAGGCCACTGGGACCCAAGGGCCTTGACTGGCTGAAGATCCACCTCATTAACCTCACGGGGCTGAAGAAGAAGAACTCCTTGCAGGAGCGGCTGGAGTTCGCCAATGAAATCATGGAGGAGATCCTGGACTCAGCTGACCACCCGCTCACAGTACGTGGGGAATGACTGGCAGGGCTCTACGGGCTCCTGGGGTGGAGTGGTGGGGACCCCACACTGCAGGGGATAGCATGGGCTCCAGGAGCCTGCAGCTGGCCCCAGGCGGGTTGGGAGGTTCCCCTTCAGTGACCAAGCTGAAAAGCAGGGAAGTTCCTCTGTGTTGGAGTCCAAATAAGGATTGTCCAAATATGCTAAGGAAAAAAGGATCAGTGTCTTTCATTTCAGAGGAGACTTAACCATTCCTCTTATTTACCATAGCTTCTAGAAAGTAAAAGGAAACGGACATCAGATCGATTTTGAAACAAAAACATTTTGAAAGAGAACATTTTGAGAGCAAAAAGGAAACCAAAGCATTGCAGAGTTTTTTAAATAGCACATTTCTATCTGAAAACACAATGAAATATTAGGGAAGTGGAGGCATTGTGAGGGGAGGTGCCTTGCCTGGGATATCCCGGAAGTACAGGGGGCTCCTGCCTTTGTTTGGGGGTGTCACGAGAGCACTGCTTGCTCCTACCAGCCTGTGCTTTCCTGTTCCCAGGGCAGGAAGTGGTGGATGAACACTGATGAGCCCTGGCAAGCCTTGGCGTGCTGTATGGAAATTGCCAAAGCCTCGAGGTCCCCGGATCCAGCAGCCTACATCTCTCACTTCCCAGTTCACCAGGTGGGAGCCCAACAGATCTGCATGGCCTGTGGGGCTGAGCTGGGGGAGGAAAACGGGCAGGGAAGGAAGCTCAGGGCAGGGCAGAAGCATCCAGGTCTCCAACGCTGCATTTACTACACTGTGTGGTCAGGCTTTCTGCAGAATGGGAGTGCAGGCTGTGGGCATCTTGGCTTGAGAACGTTGGTAATTTGCTGCTGCATGAAGCCATTAATGAGCCAGTACAGTCAAGTGCTGCTTTGCTTCCTTTGACTGGAGCAGAGCCTGTTTGGGAGACCACTGTCAGCTGCCTGCAGGGTGAGAGCTGGGCCGCTCTTACCTTCCTCAGCTGTGGGGACAGGACTGGAAGTCAGCCCAGCCCTGGGTGGGTGGGATGTGGCGTGGTGCGTGGCAGCACCTGCCTGTCTAAAGTGCTCAGGGCTGTGCTGAGGCTTTAGGGGCCTTTACTCCGCTCCTGTTCCAAGGCTGAAGCCAAGCAGTTCTGCAGGAGCCAAAGATGGGAGGTCTGGATCTCTGAAGAACAGCTGTTCTGTCCCCCGCATTCAGTGCCGTGGCTGTCACCATGTGGCCTGTCCCTGCTTGGTCCCAGACATGCCCACGCTCTGAGCAGGGCAGTGCTGTGGCTTGGGTGCTGCTCAGCTCTCTGAAGACATCTGTCCTTCCTGGTCAGAGAGGAGCCAGGCAGCTCCCAACAGCCAGCACTCAGCCCTTTCTCCCTGCCGCCTCCCAGCAGGTCTGCAGCTCTCTGCAGCCACTGCCCAGCCAGCTATCTGTCTGCACCGATAAATCCCCTTGCTGCATGGGAGACAATGATTAATTGTTTTCCTGGTGAGAGGGGTTTGCTCATTTATCTCCTTAGAAGATCAGATGGCCATAATGAAGTGTGAGGGGGAGAATGGGGGTGTATTCTGCCAGTAGCAATGGTCTGGAATATGTATGAGACAGTCTAAACTGATACTGTTATGACAACAAAAGATCAAGGGAGCAGTGGGGGTGTGTGGAGGGTGCTGTTAATGAAATTCAAGCAAGGACTTCTTCTGGAGGGCACCTGAGTCTGTCTCCACCTGAGTCATCAGTGCTTGGTTAACAGAGGCAGCTCTTGTGCTGCGGCAGGGCTGCCGGAGCCCTGTCAGTTCCCAGCTCTGCAACTTGCTGCACTGCGGGGCGCGGGGAGGAGGGGGAGAGGGGAGCGGGGTTCATCCTGGCCGCAGCTCCAGGCTCCCTTTGGCCAGGCCAAGCCCAAGCAGAGGAGGAGCAGGGATGGTCCAAAGCTGCACATCACCCGTGAGAAGTGTTTCTGCAGGTGCTGTTTGGGGAACAGCAGGACCTTCTCACGCCATCGTTCAGGTCCTGCCTCACCCAGGCTGATCGTGGTCCTAGGAGGGCTGTCAGGGGTGCTGCTGTGACAGATCAGGCGGCCTGCCTCTGTAAGCCCAGCTTTGGGAAAGGCTGGGTCGGAGCTGGTTTCTGTCAGAGGAGGTTTTCATCAGCCACAGAGCAGAGGCAGCACAGCTAGCTGGAGCCTCGGAGTCAGCTGTGGCTTGCTGAGCGATCCTCGGCTTGGCCTGCCGCTTCCTGCCTCTGATCCTGCTCTTGGGTTTTCTGAGGTTGTTTTGACTGCTGGCTCTTGGGGCTCCTTTTAGCATCCCAGACAGATTTTCTGTTTTTCAGTGTTTCCACAGAGCTCTGCTGCCTTTGAAAATTCATGGAGGGGGCAGTGTGATGTGAAGTTTTCTTTTTTTAAACCTCACAGGCAGCAGTAGTTAGTGATGAGACCCAGACAGGAAAACTAGCCAGAAGGAAAAGGAAAATTGGTGTGGCTTTGGCCACTGCTGGGAGATCAAGTGCAAACCTGTCTGAAGGGGGGGTGGGGAATGGCAATAACCTTCCGAACTAGGTGTATTTGTGCTGTTGGGCAGGGGTGGAAGAGCAGGCCTCCATCCACACACTAACGCCTTGTTTCCACCCTGCTCTCTTCCCACACACAGGACGGCTCTTGCAATGGTCTGCAGCACTATGCAGCTCTTGGCCGGGACCTTATTGGCGCCATGTCCGTCAACCTGATGCCCTGCAATGTCCCCCAGGATGTCTACAGTGTGGTGGCCCAGCAGGTAAGGCACACTGGGGACACAGGGAGGCATACTCTTGGACCTGCCTCCCCCCCTTGCCAGTGTGTCACACAGGGTCACTCCAGCTCCTAAGGAGAAAGGTCAAGGGAAGACCAGCGTGCAGAGGGCTAGGAAAGCGTGAGCTGGTCAGAGGCAGAGTCTCTCCTTCCCCAAATGGGAACCACTGCAGCAGCTGCAGTGGGGATCTGACGGGAGATCTGTCCTCATAGTGGTAGCTATGAGAAATCCACTGCGATTTCTACTGTCCTCGCTTCTGCTGAATGAAGTCAGGGAGAAGTAGGGTATAGAGGTGGAAGAGAGCAGAGAGTATTCCTCATCTTTTGGTCACAGCTGGCTGGCCTGCAGGTTGTGGGATTTTCTTGGTTTGAGCTGGGTAGGAAGGAGCAGGGAGAGATTCAGCCCTTGGCACTGCTGCTAAGTGTTCAGTTTTCCTGGCAAGATGTGATGTGAAATGAGCCTGCTGGGAAGTGTGCTGAGATCTACCAGACTCATTCAACTGGCATCGAATCCCTGGCTCTCCCTTCTAGAACTCAGCACGTTTTATCCAGGCAGCACCGCTCCACAGGGCGGGAGGAACACACAGAGGGTGCATGGTTTCCTCAGAATTGTCATTGGGGGTGGCAGAAGCAGGAGAACCTGAGTCCTGAGCCACGGTCCGAGCACCATTTCCTTGTGTTGTCCGGCACCACCCGCCTGCCAAGTGACACTGCTCTGCTGAGGCAGCAGTGGAAAGCTCGGGTCCCCATGGGCATGGTTATCTGTGAGGCCCACGTGCCTCTTGACTCTTTCAGCAGATGATCTCTGTTAACCAGGGCCGGTGAAGGTGGGCTGGGAGTTCAAGCCAGGCAGCGCACAGCTGGGAGGGTCTCGTGCTCCCCCTGACTCTCCCAGCCGTGGAAGGGGCTCACGTGGGGCTGACCTCCCGAGGCGCTCTCCTCCGCAGGTGGAGGAGTTTCGGAAGAAGGATGCTGAGCAGGGGGTGAAGATCGCCCAGGTGCTGCAAGGCTTCATCACTCGCAAGGTGGTGAAGCAGACGGTGATGACAGTGGTGTACGGCGTCACACGCTACGGCGGGCGGCTGCAGATGGAGAAGCGTCTCAAGGAGATTGAAGAGTTCCCTGAGGTAGCGTGCCTGCCCTGGCCTCCCCCAGCAGTGTTTTGCTCTGCTCTCAGTCCCTGCACTGCCCTGCCTTCCCCTTTCCCACCAGATCTCAGCTAGCAGAGGGCTGTGCAGGTCTGATCCCCCCCCATGCCTGTGCCAGGCCGGAGAGCTGTCTGCCAGCACTTGGGGAAGGATTCTTCAGGTGGGGCTGCTCCTCATCCTTCCTGGGCCCAGCTTGGTGGCATGACAGCCTCAGCTGGTGTTTCAGATGCAAAATGAGGTTTGTGGCTGTGCTCTTCCCTCGAAGTGGCTCTTGTCTCCAGCAGAGCTGTTGGAGGGTTGATCCTCCTGATGCCTGTTTCTCGTTCTGTGACCCCACTGTGAGACAGGCCTTGCTGAGTGGGTGATTTGCTGTGGCAGGTTGGTGCTGGTAGTGTTTCTGCTGTGTGTTACATTCCTGGGGCAGATGAGGCAGCAAGAGCCTCCTGTTTGTCCAGGGATGTTACATGGAGATCAGCCTGTCCTCAGTCAAGGAGCCGTCTGAAATGCTGATCTCAGCCTCCCTCCGTCACAACCCACAGACAGCTACAACAGCTCAAGACTTAGCACAGTCTGTGATGGAGGCAATTCTGAGGCACCAGAGAGCAGAGAGATCCTCCCTAAGCTTACCCTAGGTCCCATCGCTTTGCTCCGCATCTTTTGCTGCCCTTTTGCCTGACCCCTCGCTCTGCCTCTGCTCTGTGCAGGAATACTTGTGGGAAGCGTCTCACTACCTCGTAAAGCAGGTGTTCAGTGGTATCAAGGAGATGTTCTCAGCAACTCGAGATATCCAGGTAAGGTGCCTGTTGCCTCTTATCTCTGCCTTTTCTTCTTCCCTGGCCCACCCATACACAGACCAGGGGATGCTCCATGGCAAGAGATGGTTTTTCTGGGTCCTGGCCCAGAGAGGATCCTCTTGTCCCAGCCCAGAGGTGTGGGATTGCGTGGTACAGGGCCAGATACCCCTATAAGTGCTGGACTGTCACAGTCAGTGACAGGAGTCAGGGTTGCCTGTGCTGGGAGGCGATGAGGTCTCCCAGCCACCCATACTAACTTCAGCCACTTTCTTCCCTGCTTCCTTCTGCTAAAGACCTGGCTGACGGAGAGTGCCAAGCTCATTGCCCAGTCGGGACGGACAGTGGAGTGGGTCACGCCGCTGGGTCTGCCCATCATGCAGCCCTACTATCGGTCCAAGTCCACTGTGGTAAGTACCTGGTGTGTAGGACTCGTCTGCCCCTCCCTCTGCCATGGTGGGAAGCAAGGAGAGGCCAGCCAGGCTTCGAGGCAGCAAGCTAAAGCCCAGCAGGTCGGCATCACCTGCGGGTGAGCCTGCAGAGCAGGTAGGATCTGTGTGTGCAGGCACATCCTCCAGCCTCGTCGCTCCCTGCAGAGACTGGAGCGTGTGGGTGGGCTGGTGCGGAAGCTCTGCGGCTCCCGTCCCACTCAGGCAGCTGGGGCACGGGCCCATTCCCCGCACTGAGGAGCCTTCCTCGGGGCTCGCGTGATTCAGTCTCACTGCTCTCGCCTCCCACGCGCTGCCGCGCTGACTCACGTCTCCTCAGCCCGTCTCGTCCTCGCAGGCGCTCACCTCCAGAAGCCCTTCTCTTGGCCCTCACAGGGGTGAATCAGCACATCGCTGGGAAGGGGTGCAGGATGCCTGCCAGCATCCTCGGGAGGGGGAGCAGGCAGGGTGTCACTGAGGAGTCACAGCTGCCAGCGTGACTGGGATGCCCTGGAAAGGTCCCTGCCCAGGCCCCTTCTTGCAGTCAGGGATGTTTCCTGCAGAGCAGAGTAGCTCTTGGCACAATCCCCTCTCCAGAAGCACAGGGCAGTGCGGTGTGACAGCTGATCCCCTTCCTCTCTCCCTGCAGCTGAATTGCAGTATGCAGACCTTGAGTGTGAAAACCTCCAACAACAACCAGTAAGTATGAAACCATGGTCTTTACTGAGCCCCTGCTGTCCTCAACCTGTGCTTTGGGGTCAAAGCCTTACCATCAGTGGAACCTGCCAGTGAGCGCAGAGCTCCTGGTATCCCCCCTGAGCTGCAGAAAGCCAGCCAGAGGATCCCTCCAGGGCTGCCCCCATCGACCCCAGCTCTCGGCTGGCACCAGCTCTGTGCTGGCTCTCCCGTCTCTGGCCCTGGGAGTGCCCCAGCTCCTCCCCTCTCCCACTCTGTGCTGCAGGAAGCCTGATACAGTGAAGCAGAAGAATGCCTTCCCACCAAATTTCATCCACTCCCTGGACTCCACGCACATGATGCTCACAGCTCTGCACTGCCTCAGGTAGGGAGCGGGCAGCTGGGGCTCTTCCCTGGCTCCAGGGCTCCTCTCTCACCAGGGCAAGGTTTGGGAAGGGGGGTTTCCCTGGGGGGTGGGTGGGTGTTTGGGGTTCCTGGCAGACCAGGGATGAGAGGAGGCAGCAGGGCAGGGACAGATCGTGGGGTTAGCCATCTCTGAAGATCTGCAGGCAGTGGGCAGGGCGTCCCCCTCCTTACGTGGTCCCTGCTCACGTCCCTGCAATAAGGTCTACGTGGGGTAGGGGACATCGCAGAGCGGGGGGCTCAGCATCATTTCATGGCACCTTCTGCTGCCCCCCAGGCAGGGTCTGACCTTCGTCTCAGTTCACGATTGCTACTGGACTCACGCGCTCACCGTGGACATCATGAACCAGGTAAAAGTGTCCTTACAGGAGCTTGCTGATCTGTCCTCTGGGCACGTGCCAGCCTTTGCCTCCCCTGGGCTTTGCTCCAGAGGCTGATTTATTCACCCGGGCAAGGTAAACCTGGGGCACTTACTGGCAGTTGCAGCTGATTTCCTGGTGCCATAGCCCCATCTCCTCCCACCCTTCAGGGAGTGTCTGTGGGAGAATCTGTGCCCATAAATCAGCGCTGAAGCCAGCGCCTGGCAGAGTCGGTGCCTCTGTCCTGCCCTGGGCTCTGTTCCCTGGAGACTGATAAATGGGGGTTGGCCTCTGCTTCCTTCCTCCCTAGGCTGATTCCCTTCACCTTTGCCTGGCAGCCCCTCTTCCCTACTCTTGCCCACTGCTTTCCCTGCCCCTCACCTCTGGCCTGTCTTGGCTGATGGAGCACTGAGGGGAAGGAGGGGAAAATGCCTGTTAACCTGCAACTCACCATTGCTCCCTGGGTCAGATCTGTCGGCAGCAATTTGTGGCTCTGCACAGCGAGAAGATCCTGCAGGATCTGTCCAAGTTCATGCTGGAGAAGTACTGCAGGTATTCCTTGCCTGTTGGCGAACCCCCACCACGCTCCTTCCTACCCACACCGATTCCCTCTCCAGGGGGTGGTTGTGCCCAGGTGCTCGCAGGTTGTGTCATCTGCCTGGGGGTTCCTCTGGAGGGAAGTTGTGCTTCCTTCTCAACTGATGCCCAAATTGCCTTAGATCTTGGTGTGAGAAACAAGGTGTCTGCATCCTTTTGCTACAGAACTGAAGTAGGATGTGGTGCTGGAATGCCTCAGTGGGCCTGGGGCAGGCCATAATGCCTGTGCCTTGGGCTCCCCGCTGTGAATGAGGCAGTAAGGAGCGGTGAAGACGCGTTGGGTTGGCCCAGTGTGTGGCCCTGTTACCGCCGTAGAGCTGGACAGCACAGACCAGCCCAATCCTGGGCAGGGTCTGTAGATGCCTCAGCACCTGCCTAGGGCTGCTGAGGCAGGGGTTGAGCTCCTGCTCCCGCTGCAGGGTGTGTGATGTCTTTTAGAAAAGCTGAGTCCTGTTGTCAGGGTCTTGCATGGGTTAGAAAGAGGTGGGTGCCCCTTTTTCCGGAGCTCCCATGCTGATTTGCTTTCCTTCTGGTTCATCCAGCCCCGGCAGAGAGACAAGAGCCCTCTGGCAGAAGAAGCTGATGGAGCAGCTGTCAAATGTCCCCAAGACAGGTAGGAGCACAGGACAGGAACCATGAAGCTCAGGAGCAGTTTGGAGGCAAGGGGAGTGGCCCCCGAAATCGCTGAGCTCACGTGGCATCTGAAGTTGGACATAGTGAGGGTGTAGTGAGGGTCTGGCCAGCCATGCTAAAGCTGTCCCGGAAGATCAGGTTTTCCTGCCTGTGCTGGGCTGCAGAGCCTTGGGGCAGTGCTGTAAGATGTTCCCCTGTAGCCTCCCTGAGAGCAGTCCCTGCCTTCCCCGGAGCTGAGCCCCTGGGATTTTCCCCAGGTTGACCCAGCTGATCCCGCTGTTCCTCTCCCATCTGTTTCCAACCAGAGGCATTTGCCTGGAGATGAGTGAGGTGCTCAGCATGGTAATTGCAGGGATCTTGATAATACACATGCAATGGGATTAAGACAATTAGTTTAACTCCTTCTAATCTCTCGGCCCTGCCTCTGCCAGTCCATCTGGCTAACCTTTGTTCTGCCTTTGCAAAGTGGAACAGGCCAGTGCTCTCTTGCTGTTGAGCAGCCGCTGTGGTCAGCCCCAGAGGCAGCACAATCCAGTGGCAGGGACGGTTCGTACCCTGAGGCTGCGTGCTCCTCTCTTCCTTCCCTGCCTTGCTGCTGTTATGCTCTTCTGTCTTGCTCTTCCTACCACTGTTCCTGATAAATTTGGAGGGACATCAGTTCCTGGAAGACCTCTTAAGATCTCTGCTGCCTTGACCCAGCCTGCCTCAGGGGCTGCGCTGAAGCAGGGCTCGGGGCAGCTTTTCTCCCCATTGCCCCATCTCCACCCTGCCCCTACTCTCCTCTGACCTCTCCTCTCCTTCACTTCCCCCAGGCAAATTCAACCTGAAGGAGGTGATAAATTCCACCTATTTCTTCAGCTGAGCCCAAATAGCCAGCGGGGCCCTGGACTATGCCTGGAGTGCTGGTTGCCTCAGAAGCTGCGGTAGGCACTGGCCTGCGAGGCTCCTCTGTCCTGCATCTCCTGGGGAAGGGGTACAGCTGCCAGCCCAGCAAAGAGACCTGCCTAGCACTGAGCTGCTGGGGCAAACTGGGACTGCGCAGGAAGAGCCACGAGGGGCTGGTGGGGGAGGTGGGTGTCTGCACTGTTCGCTGTTGCTGCCTGAGTCCCAGGCCGGGGCAGAGACCATCGAGCCCTGGGGAGGGCTGCATCTCCCTGGTGTGGGGCTGAAGGGGTGATGGCTCCCCTCAGTCCTCACCCTCTGCCTGCCAGTGCTGGGAGCTCCAGAGTGTGCCTGGCTGGAGCCTGGCCTGGGCTGCCATCCCTCTCCAGCAACAGGGCTCAGACCTCCTGGAGGGGCGGGCAGCCAGCTGGGGTGCTGAGCCCTGTCACCGCTCTCCTGGGGCGCAGCCTCGGTGGCCCCTGACTCTCATTTCCAGGGATCGGTTTAACTTCTGCTCACTGGGTCTCAGGCAGGGAAAACCACTAACACGGGGGTGGAGATGTATGATACTGTAAATAAAGTGGTTTTTGAAATACTAACTGGGAACCATGGCCTTCTTGGCATTTTTGCCCCAAGTCTGCAGCCTGCCTGGGCTCTCACCTCATTGTCCTGGGGAGGTGGGACTGGTGTCCCCCCCAACTGCCACTCTTTTGCTGACTGGTTGGGCTTCAGTTGTTCACTGAGGTGTCACCTTCTGGAACTGCTTTTATAGCAAAAACAGACACAACTTTCTGGCAGCACGGTGGGGCCGGTGGAGCCCCTGTGGGAGCAGGGCTCTGGGGGGCTGAGGGCAGCTGCCTGGCCCTGGCGTTTCCAGGCAGGAGGCTCCTGCCTCAGCGAGGCTGTGCCCTTCCAGCCTGCGCTTCGCGTGCCACGACGGCGGCGGCTGGTGGTCAGAGAGCTCGCAGCTGGAGCTGGGTGTTGGGCCCAGCTCTCAGCTGAGCCCTGTGCCCACCTCCAGGCTCCTTCCTTGCTGATGCTGGAGCAGGGATGCAGCGCTGCCAGCAAGAGGAAGGGGTTCTGGGAGGAGGCTCTGCACCGTGTAATTTTTCTGGCAGGGAAGCCGCTCTTCAAAGGCCAAAGCTGCCTCCTGCAGCCCAGCCTGGGGCTGTGCCCTGGGCAAGGGCAGAGGGAGCAGCCGGAGCCGTGGCAGGGAGGGATGGTGGCCAAGAAGCAGAGACGGAGTCGGGCGTAGCTCTGTCGGCTGCTGACGTTTATTGCACAGGATGGGCAGGGGGGAACGGTGGGCGCTTGGAGCCGGGCCCTGTCCCGCCGGCTGTGGGGCGCAGGGCTGGCACGGGGCCCCGCGGTCGCTGCATACATTCAATGTGGAAGGCTCCCGAGCGCTCGGCAGAGGCATACGTGCGCGCACACACACACACACACACACACACGCACACCTGCACGCACACACACGTGGCCGTAGGGGCACACACACGCACATGGGCATACGCAGGGTGGGTGTTCCCCACCCTTTGAGCCGGGGGTGGCCCCGGGCTCCAGCGTTCGTCTCTGTCCTAACGCTGACCGTGGGGAGGTGGGGCCGTGTCACCCCCCCCAGCCCCAGGGTCGGGCTGGGGGACAGCGTGTGCGTGGGCTGCTCGCAGTCTCGGGGCGACCGTCCCTCAGACCCACCCCCCCACACACACACCTCCCCAACTTACCTCCAGTCCTGGACCATCACCCCTCGCCTTGGGTCTGTGGGAGGGGAGGCAGGGACAGGCGCAGGGGCTAGCCAGCGTGCCTAAAGCCCCAGGGAGGTGTCCTGCGGATGCACACATACAGGGGTGTATTCAGGTCATATAGCTCATATACAGAGTTGATCACGGGGGATGATGCAGCTGTGGCTTCTATGGGCGGCTGGGGGCGGCGGGGCTTCGCCCTGGGGAGCGGGCGCTGGGGCCAGACTTTGGTCAGTGGAGTGGCGATGCAGGCAGGGGCTCAGCCCGGCCCCCGCCGTGCCCCCCTGCTCACCCCCGGCAGCCGCCCCGCTCCGCGGCGTGCAGTGGGGGGAAGCCGGGGAGCGCGGCCGTGACCCTCACCCGGCGCAGGGTGGGCACAGGGTACGGGGGGCCCGGCTGCCGCAGCTCCCCCCCCCCCCCCCCCCCCCCGCAGCACTCGGCCCCGCGCGGAGGTCACAAGTTGGAAGACAGCCTGGACTTGGCTGGGTCCGTGTCGGGCGTGCTGGCCGCCGAATCCTTGCGGGCCGCCGCCGAGTCCTGCGGCAGGGCGGGCGGCCCCACGTGCGCCGAGCCGGCGGACGCCGGGTGGGCCGGGGCCCCCCGCGACGGCACTTGGCCCCGCAGCCCGGGCGGGGGGCCAGGGCCCGGCGAGGCGGCAGCCGGGCCCCCGCCGATGGAAGCACAGGACTCGCGGGCCGAGGCCGGGGGGCTCTGGGTGCTGCCGGCCCCCAGCCCCTGGGGCAGGGAGGGCTGCGAGGCCGAGAGGGGCCGCGAATCCTGGCTGAGGCTGCTGGTGGGCAGCGCCTGTGTGCTTTTGTGGGCGGCCAGGCGCTGGGGCGAGCCGGGCGGCTGCTGCTGGCTGAGGGAGAGCTGGGAGCCCAGCTGGCCTGGGGCCCCTCCGTAGGCGAACGTCCGGCTGGCCAGGGGGCTTTGGGACGGCGGGCTGGCCGCGGCCGCAGCGAAGGCGCTGGTGGAGACGGGCAGGGCCCCGGGCTGCGCCTGGTCCTGCGAGGGCGAGGGGTTGGCGTGGGGCACGGGGGGCTGCGGCTGCTGTGGGGGGCTCTGCTGCAGCAAGACGGGGGAGACGGCGAAGGGGCTGGGCACGGCCTGGGCGTACTGCAAGCGGCGCATCATGCGGGGCGAGCCCAGGGCCATGGAGCCCACCAGCGGGCTGGCCATCTGCGGGCAGAAGCTCATGGCGACGGCTTGCTGGAGGGTGGCGATGGCGGAGGTGACCTGGGGCTGGACGGGGCTGTACATGGCCGTGTGCTGCTGCAGCTCCGCCTGCTGCACCATCTCCCGGTCGTACTTGACGATCTCCTGGATGATCTCGTTCTCCTGGTTGTTGAAGACGCCCGAGTTGAGGTCGTGCTGCACTTTGTGGAGCAGGATCGAGTTCTTCTTCCCTGCAGGGGAGGGGGCCGGGATGGGGACCGCTGTGAGACCCTGTGCTGGGGCTACGCTGGCCGCCCACCCCAGTTACGGCTGTCCCACGGCACCAGGACAGCCCCCAGGCTCCCTCACCGCCCGAGCCCCCTCTGCCTTACCGATGCGGTCGAGGCGGTCGATGGCCACGGTCTCAAAGGCCCGTCTCATCATGGGGTACTCCTCCAGCACCTCATTGAAGTTGTCCACCGAGAGCGAGTAGAGGCGGCAGTAGGTGTCTGCCCGGACGCTGGCCGTGCGCCGGCCGCGGGTCAGCAGGCAGATTTCTGAGGAGGATACACCAGTACTAAAATCAAAACAGCACCAGCAAGGACTGGAAACTGGCAGGCGATTGAGTGGTGGGTGCCCGGGACAGCGCATTCTGGAGCCTCTGGGAGGGGTCGCGGGCTTAGCCCCACCAGCGCTCACCTCCGAAGTAAGAGCCGTCGGAGAGTTTCATTTCCTTGTTGCCCTTGGTGAGGATGCTGACCACCCCGTGCTGGATGAAGTACATCTTCTTGCCGATGGTGCCCTCGCGGATGATGTAGTCACCCGGCTGGAACACCTCAAACTTCAGCTTGGTGAGCATCGCCGTGACAAAGTTGGGGTCCGCGTTGGCGAACAGCGGCATCGAGGCCACCAGCTTGCGGCAGTTGAAGTTCACAATTTCCTGCAGGGGCAGGAGGTGAGGGATCGGGAGGCAGGGATCAGCTTCCCCGGGGCAGGCTCACGGACAGAGAGGTGCCAGCACACAGACACACTCGCCCTCGGCGCTGCAAAGCTGGAGCAGGAGGTGCTCGCCCCCAAGCACAAGCACTGCAGGGGCCGGGGGGACTCACAGCCTCCCCTGTGGCGGGGAGCAGGGGAGCTCTCGCGGGAGGGGGGTCCCACCCTCCCTGCAGCACCCCACGGCCACCTCCCTGGCCCCCTTACCTCACGCAGGGGCTCGTTGAGCTCCCCTAGGATGCTGTCCTCATCGAACATCTTGCCCTGGTAGCGGTGCTCGTAGTAGTCATGGATCTTCTGGCGGAAGTCGGCAGGCAGCTTGTGGAAGGACATGTACTGCTCGACCTGCTTGTACTGTGGGGAGAGATGGTGTCAGCGCCCAGCCGGGCTGGGGCTGTGGGGCCAGGACCCCCCACACACGGCCCTGCTACACGTGGTGGGTCCTGGGCCCCACTCCAGCACCCCGTCCCTGCCCCACAGGCGGTATCGACACGGCGCTGTCACCCTGTCTGCACCCACTGTGGCTCCGGGGGGGGACGCGATGGCCGGGCGCAGGATGGGAGCCGTGGTCCCCGTCCAGCCCAGCCTTACCTTCTCCTGGTACTGGCGCCGGGAGGAGTCCAGCGACTGGATGAGGGCGGTGGCGTGGCCGATGAACATGGCGTAGCAGGTGGCCCCCACGATCATGCTCAGCATCGTCAGCCAGATATCCGTCATGCTCTCGGGCGCCTGCTTCCCGTAGCCGATGCAGAGCATGTGGCTCATCGACTTGAAGAGGGCGAAGGAGTACAGCTCACTCCAGGAGTCATTCTGCAGCGACAGGGGCGGCGCTCAGCCCTGGCTGGTGCACGGCTGCTAGCACACGCGTGTGCATACATGTGTGTGCACAGGCATGCATGGGTACAGCGCCTGGCAGGTGATCCAGGCTCTCTGCCTGCATCTCCCAACAGCGCTCAGCAAGAGGATTTGCTTGGTTTTGGCAGCTTCACCTGGCAGGTGAGATCCAAACCAACCCAAACACCAGACACGGCTGGGGCTGTGGCCGTCCCGCAGCACTCTGCTTCTCCCCGGCGGGTTTCTGCACCTCACCGCCCGCCTGGCTTCGCTTTAGGTAGTCAGGCTGGGGGTTTTTAAGCTGGTATACAAAAGCACAGCTTCGGGCAAAGCCCAGCGTGCCCCCAGCAGTGAAGCAGCCATGGGAGGAGAAGTATGAGATGAGGAGGATAGGAAGGGGAGGAAGCCAGGCGAGGGGAATGGAGCAGAGATGGCAACACCGGCAGAACGGGACGAGACGGATGGAGACAGAAGAGCCATTTGTATCATGCTGCAGGGCTGAGAGGGAGCAATTAGAAACGTGGCCCATTATTTATTAATAGCAGCTTTGCTGTTAATGAGCAGGAGAAGGCGGCAAGGGATGGGGCAGAGCACCGTGTCAGCGTTTTCCCCCTGCCCAGATCGACCCGCTGCCCCAGGTCCCATGAGACCTCACCAGGGAGACCGTCCGTGCTCGCAGCACCGGCCGGCGCAGGGCTGGCATCTCCTGAGGCTGGTGGAGAGCGGCCAGACAACACAGGGATGGACGGTGGCCCCCGGGGTGGGGGGGCCAGGCAGAGCGCGGCGGAGTTGGGGCCAGCACTCACCACCATCCCGTTGATGGAGACCCAGCAGTTCTGGGGGAAATCCTGCAGCATGGGCACGAGGAACTGGAGGCAGCCGTCCCAGTGGCAGAGCAACAGCATCATGCCGATGAGGTTGATGATCCTCATCACCGCGCTGGCCAGGTCGTAGGTCATGTGGAAAATCTGCAGATGGAGGAGCCGGGGCGGGATGGCAGAGGGTGAGCATAGGGACCATTCCCCTCCCTGCCGAGCCCCGCTTGGGCCTCTGACCCACGAGCCTTGGCCCAAAGAGCCCCAGCCCTCCCCGAGGAGGCTGCGCTCCACCTGCCTATTTATAGCCAGCAGGATGCCGCCACACTGCCGCCCCGGAAAGCGCTAATGGCTGTGAGCTTTGATGAGGATAAGCCAGCGCTGGCGGATGCTCAGGGAGAGCCAAATGCTCTGGGCACTGGGGAGGGAGCGGTGCAGCCCCTGGGGCAGCAGGCACTGGGGGCCGGGCTCAGCCATGGGGTGACTTTCGGTGAAGAGGGTCCGAGGTGCCCACATGAGGGTGGGGCTGAAGGGAGACCCCCATTTGGGGAGAGCAGCCAGGGCGGCTCCACACAGTACGCCCAGAGGTCCCAGCCCAAGGGGCCAGGGCTGTGTCCCCGCCACGGCCGGTGGCTACGAGAGCATCGAACACTGAGACCTATCAGCAACACACAGCTGTGAAGGGGCGTGCGGCAGGAGTGGGCCTTCAGCAGCACCTGAGCCCCCCCTCACCCCCAGCACCCGTCAGAGTGGGGCTTCCCCTCCACTGCGTCCCCAGTCCCAGCCTGGCCTGAGCACCCATTGCCCCCGGGCACCCGCCCAGGCAAACCCAAGCTGGGAGAGACGTGTCCTCCTGTTGCAAACTGAGCCACGGGCCAAGGACTTGGTCCTTTTCCCTTACTATTTTTAGGGTCCAGAAAAGGTGAGTTCAAGGGAGGGAAAAAAAGAATGAAAATAAGAAGTTAACCCCCTTGTAATGAAATCCCCAGTCTCCCCCCACCGCTGCAGATCCAAAGCCGGAGCCCTACAGCATCACATGAAGCAACTGCACGGCCAGGGCACGGGCACGGGGTCCTCCTCCTCTGCACCCCCCTGCCCAGGCAGGGCACAGGGCGCGGGCGGCAGAGCCAGGGTGATGTGCTGGGGAGGGACTGAGTGGACGGCGAGGGCTGGGGAAGGGGCAGCCCTAGCCCCATCTCTGCCAGCCTCAGGCATGTCCCTTCCCCACTGCGACCAGTGGCGATCGTCCCCCGGGGCAGGCACTCACTATGCCTCTCCCAGCTGCCACCGAGGCTGCTGGGGGCAAAATCAGGCACATTCAGCCCCCCTGGAGACGCTCCCAGAGCATCCACCGGCCCCAACCATGGTGGCCCAAGAGCAGGTGAGGTCCCGATGGGGATCAGGGCCACGCTCCCTTCCCATCCCCTGCAAGCGAATGTGATTACCAGGATAATCTGTGCAGCCATGCCCGGGTTTAACTCGTCCCCGGGGCTCTCCCTGCTAAGTCCCATCTGAAAGTGAAAAGGGCGCACAGCTAGAGGCTGGTGGGTTGGGATGGGGGTTTGCAGGAGGAGCAGGATGCTCCCGCAGCAGAGCCCAGCCCCAGAGGAAGAAGCAGGGTGGGATACGGGCTGGGAGATGGGGGCAGACTGACCCATTCCCCCCACCCCTCTGCCCCAGAGCAGCCCCCAACAGCACTGCTGGGCTTGGGGGACAGCCAAACTCAGCCCTTCCAGCCCCTCGCATGGGATGTCCGAGCCCCCATGGAGCTGTGGGAAGAGCTGTGTGCCGGGGTGGGGGGCTTCCCATTGTAGGGTCAGGCCAGGACAGAGTCAGACCCCTGACGCAATGGGGCTGGACCTCGAGGGGCTGCTCCTTACTGAGGGGGCTGCCAGGCACAAGCCCCCAGTGCCCACCCCAGCTCGCAGAGCGGCCACGTGCCTTTTGCAGGGTGGAGGTGCAGGAGGGTCTGGTGCCGTCCCCGCGGCCACTGAAGCCAACGTCACCATGCCCAGGCTGCAGCGTGCCCAGGCTGCACCGCAGGTCCCTGCTGTGCTGCCGGACACCCGGCCAAGAGCTGCACGTGCCCTCACCGGGCCTGGGGACAGGCAGTGGCAGAGGAGGAGGAGGAGGGAGCGAAGGCGCTTGCCGCCTCTCCAGCCCGTGGGTGCGCAGCCAGCTCCGCGCTGCAGCGAGCACCAGCACAGCCCCAGCCAGTGGAGCTGCCCACATAGCAAAGCCGAGCACGTCCCGTCCCCACACAAAGGCACGTCCCCCCACAGCCCACATGGCCCCGGGTGCTCCAAGCCCGGGCAGAACCCTTCTCCCTGCCCTGGGGACACAGGGGTGCTGACGACCCCAAGGGGTTGGGGTTCCCGCAGCCTTCCCCGGCGCTCCCCAAGGCCTCAGCGGAGCAGGGAGCGGAGCCAGAGGGGACAGGGGGCTTGGGGTGTTGAGCTGAGCGGGGGGACGTGGTTAAACTGCTGTCGGAGCACAGGGCGGCATGCCTGCCTGTGCCTGGCCGTGCTGGCACCCATGGGTGGTGCCACACCACGGCACCAGGACTGGCTGTGCCAACCCTAGCACACATGTGCACACACACACACAGACAGGGCAGGGCTCGGCGTGCCCTGAGGAGCCGGAGCAACCACCTTTGTGCTGGAGCAGAGCAGGAGCACTCTCATGTCGCAGCTCGCCCACTGGGGACAGAGCAGAGGGAAGGTGGGGGACACCCAGGGGTGCCCAGAACCTGACCCCCTCATCCAGGGAGGGTCACAGCCGCTAACCTGCCCCACACAGCCCCACAGAGCCCATCCAGCCCACTAGCTCCAACCCCCGGTGCCCTCACAGGGGCCCATCCTGGCTCCTGCTCTCCCCAGCTGGCCCCTCCGCAGCCAGAGGAGGGACCCACCATGGGGCTGTGACCCACGGGACACTTACCTCCTCCCACTGGTGGATGTAGCGGATGAGCCGGGAGAGGCGGAGGAGCCGCAGGAGGCTGAGGATCTTGGTGAAGCGGACAATACGGAGGGCGCGGGCCGTCTTGTACACCTCCGAGTCTATGCCCTTCTCCACGATGAGGAAGACATAGTCCACGGGGATGGAAGAGACAAAGTCCACCACAAACCAGGTCTTGAGGTACTTCTTCTTGATCCTCTCGGGGTCCAGGATGATTTCCGTGTTGTCCTCAATGACAATCCCCGTCCGGAAGTTCAGCACCAGGTCCATCAGGAAGAAGGTGTCAGAGACCACGTTGAACACGATCCAGGGCGCCGTGGTCTCCTCCTTGAAGAAGGTGATGCCCACGGGAATGATGATCAGGTTGCCCACCATGAAAAGCAGCATCGTGAAGTCCCAGTAAAACCTGGGGAGCGAGAGGATGGGGGGAGGGTGTCACCAGTGCCCTGCAGCCAACCCTGCATCAAGGGGACCCAGACACCGTGCCCTGCCCTAAGGGACCTGTGCTACTGGGGTGCCATCACCCTGATGCCACCTCGGACCCAGGGACCACATCCTGCTCACCCCTCCCCTTGAAACTGTCCCCAGGCCTGATCTTGCAGGCCAGCAGAGTCCCTGGTCCAGGTAGGGCTGTGCAAGTGCAGAGGGAGGTGCAGGATGAGGCCGGGGGTGTCCGCTGCGGGGGGCTCTCCCCACTGCACTGGTTTGACTGGAAATCTACTCTGAGCACCCAAACCCCGGCAGGTCCTGGGGCGGGGGGAGGACGATGCCACCAGGTGCTGGTGGGGGAGACCCTCCCGCCGAGCTGCCCGGGGGCAGCCCGTGGGCTGGGGACCACCCTCACCCCCCAAACCGCCTGCCACAGCGGGGCCATCGCGCTCTCCACAGGCAGCGCTCAAGGTGACGGCCGATGGCAGGACGGGAGAGCCCGGCCTCCCCCACCGCTGCCCTGGGAATATCCCCCACCCCTCCCCAATCCCAGAGCAGGGACCCAAGGATCCCCAGGCGAGGCTGCGGTCCCGGTTTGGGGGGGGCAGCGGCTGAGTGTCGGACCCCGGCGGCGCGGCCGCGGTGGAAGGAGCCGCGGCAGCTCCCGGCGCAGCGGATCACGTACGGCTGCAGCTGGAGCCGGCAGCGCCCGCGGCCCTGGGCAGGCAGAGGGGGCAGGTGGCCGCCTTCGCCTTCATCTCTTCCTGGGCTGCTCGGCTCCGCTGCCGCCACCGCCTCCGCCCTCTCCTGCCTCACCCCCGTCCTGCTCCCCTTCCTCCTTGTCCCCGTCTTCTGGGACACCTGTGACCTTTCTGAGCATCTGCAAGGTCACAGCAGCCCCGTCCCGGCAGGGCCGGGCGGAGGGGACCACAGCCCCTCGCTCCCCCACGCCCTCGGGGGCGGGGGGCAGGAGGGGAAGATGCTCCCCGGTGCCACGCACACAGACACGCAGGACCCTTGCCCACACGCCGGCACAGCCCACCCTGCCCGCCCCAGGCAGGAGCCCCCCCCGGGAGCTGCAGGCTGCCGGGCAGGGGCTGCCCTGGGGGATGAGGGGGAGACCTTCCGCACCCAGGGGCAGGAGATGGGCTGGATCCACCCCCCCCACCCCCGCGCAGATTAGCGCAGGGCCGGGAGGAGTGGAGCATCCCAGCTCCTGACCTTTCTCCAATGACACCTTCCCCATGTGAGACGTTGCCGTGGCAACCGTGAGTGATGTCACCGCTGCACAACGATGACTTCACACCCAGGGCTGTCTCCAGGGTACCCTCACCAGCTGCCAGCCGGGAGCAGCGGGCTGTGCTCCTCCTGCACCCCACGGCCAAGCTCTGGCTGTGGGTGCTGAGCGGCTCCAGTGCCCCGTGACCCCCCAGGCAGCAAGACTGCGGCTGTGGGGGGCCCCACCGGATCCCCAAGCTCCAGCCACACGGCACGATCCCCCAGAGATGCCAGCATCAGCAGAGCCACTGCTGGGGCTGGGGCAGCCCACGGTGTCAGCACCGGGCTGGATCTGTCCCGCAACCCCCCCAGCAGCTCGTGCTCCCGCTGCAAACTGACCCTACTGCACAAAGCGAGTCCCACGGGGGTATTAGCCATGCAAAGCTGTGAAGAACAAAGATTAAATAACCACACCAGCTGGGCAAAATTCTCCACAGGCTCAAATCCCTTTGCAACCTGGCTGAGCCAGGGCAGAAGTCAGCCTGCTGAGAAAGATAAACTGCTCCTGATCCCCCCCCAACACACACGACTGACTCTGTGCAATCTCTTTGGGGACCTGGGTGTGATGCCAACACTCTCTTCCTCTGAGGGCAGTGTGTGCGTAGAAAAAAAGATCCAACCCAGGCTACTAAAAATATCTGAAAACAAATTAATTAGGATCCTTGGCACCCCCTCCTTCGCTCCTGACCCAGTTGAATGGCAGCGATGCTGAAAGCCCCTGCGAGTGGGGGCTGCTGCATCCCCACTCCATTGGCTGTCCGAAGCCTGGCACAGCGGGGCTGCCCCACAGGTCCTGCCCAGGAGCCGAGCCGGGGCTGAGCCCCTCTCAGAGTCCCAGGGCCACTAGCACACTTCTGCCCCTGAGACCCCAGGGCATGTCCCTCTGCAGAGCCACCACCTCTCCAGCACCTCCAAAACCCTGTCGAGACCCCAAGGCTGGAGAGGCTTGAGGCAATCCCAACGGCCACACCAGTAAAGCCTCCCTGTCTGCCTGCTGTTAGGGACTGGGAGGGGGGCCAGGAGACCCCCCCCGAGCCATCCAGGGGGGCCACGGGACACCAGGGACATCCCCGCTCGGCTCCATCCCTGGCACACATTGCTCCGGGGAGGATCCAGCCACCTCCACACGCCTGGTGCGATGCATCGCTCCCCTCTAGGGTAATCCCATGGACTGGGCACCCAGCCCCGGCAGACGGGGCACCCCGAGACCCCGCTCTGCAGGAGGAGCCCCCGAGGGCTGAGCCCCTTGGCCTGGACTGGGGCCCCGGCTGCAAACAGTCAGGCTGCCCAGTGGGCGGGAGCTGTGCAGGATCGGGGCTTCGCAAACTCACACTAAATACTTATATTCTAAAAAACGAGGTCGTTCTAAGAAGTGGGTTAAGAAGCCAGTGACAGAAGTTTGCCTGAGGCAAGTGAGCAGCGAGGTGCGGTGCCCAACGCGCCATCTGTAGCCCCACAGCCCAGTACAGCCAGTTGTGATGAATGGCTGGTGCTGCTCTTCCCTGGAAAAGCCTTTTACCCCAGGGCTCTCAGGAGAAGGGAGCGGGGATAAAGGCTTTGCAAACTGCTCAAGGACCCAAACCTTTGAAATCTCCCCAGACAGCAGTCACAGACTTTCTCCCCTGATGACTTTCAGCATCCCCCCAGGTCCAACTGCCCCACATCGATGCTGCAGAGAGGGAGAACAGTTCCCTGACCCCCTCACCAGAGGGAACGGTGACACTGGGACCAGCAGCAGTGCTGGACCACACATTGGGAGTGACAGCAGCTGGCGAGCCTGGTCCCTCTGCTCAGGAGCCCCAACAGTGGCACCAACAGGTCAGTGGCACATCCAGGCAGCAGCAAAGCCCCAGAAGCCGTTTTCGGCCCGCAAGAGGAAGGCTCCAGCCAAGCAGCACTGGGGACACGTCCTCTGGATGCAGCTTTGCCCCCTCAGGTTCAGGTGCAGGACCAGCTCTTGCAACAGTAATTCACCAGCAGCGAAAACCCACAGCTCAGCCCCAGCCCCGCACCTCACGGAAGGCCCCGAGTGCTGGGCTGGCGGGGGGCGATGCCGGTGTCGCTGTACCAGGGGCCCCGCAGCGACTGTGGGGAGATGGGCACCATCACCACCAGTGAATCACTGCCTGCGCGCAGCCCTCTGCGTTACCGATGGGCCAAATCCTCCTCCCAGGCTTCCGCAAGCCTCTCCCCATGCGAGGAGGGGAAGGGATGGACCCTGGAGCTGGAGCACCCATTCCCAAGGCTCCCACACCCTGGGAAGTGCCCGGCCCCCCTGGGAACGTCACCAGCCTCCTCAGCCCTGTCCCCACGTGCGTCTCTGTCCCCGCAGCCCCACAGCACCCCAGCCCCACACACGGCCCTGCCTGGCTCCTGGGTGTGGGGTGTAAAGATGGGAGCCAGAACAGCAACGTGACCCAGGTCACTGCGAAACCAGGACTGGATGTGGCCCCCCAGCTCCCAGTCCCACGCCAGGAACGATACCCCAGTTGCAGAAACACCAACAGAAATAACAAAAAAGTCAATGCTAGCTGGGTTTTTTCCTCCTATCAATAAAGATCAGAAATGGCAAAGACAGAAAAGACAACTGAGCACAGCACCCAAAAGGAGATGGCTCTGCTCAACACTGTCTACTTCAGTGCACAATTTCCAAATCTTTTATCAGATTTGCAGCTCAGGATCTCAACCAGCCACCCAGGCTGCTTCCTAATAATTCAATATTTATGTAAATAGCACCTTTCATTCCTGGAGCAAGTCTGCCCCTGAATTTTGCATGAATAATCGCAGCGCTGTGTCCATGAGGAGACAGGATCTCTAAACGACTCCGATTATGAAATGATGTCACATATGCAGATGGGTAATGATTTTATCTTAAGATGGGAAAATGGGTTTTGCAGGGCAAACACAGCTGGGTTCATGCTCCGTTAGCATTACTAGATAAACACATTTTTTTTAAGGCAGGACAATGTGGAATAGATGGACACGCGCTCTCAACATGCACAAGCAGAGCAGGCTCCTCACAACCGGGCTCGCAGCCCCACGTTGAGCCGATCCTGCTTATGGGCATGTTTGTAGACCCAGATGACGCCGTGGCTCTGCCTGCAGCTCCTCCCCGCTGGGCAGGGAACTCTCCTACGCCACTTGCAGCATCAAAACACAGGAAGGGGCTCTTCCCCAATGGGTTTCAAGTCTTGAGAGCGACTCCGGGAGGGATGGAGCCAGTGCAGGGCAGGCCAGCCAGGGTGACTCCCCAAGGTCACCCTAGCGTGGACTGGTGCCCGCCCACTGCAAGCACCAGCCCGGGGAGTGACACTGCTCCGCTCCAGGGAAGCCTCCGAGGCCTCACTCCCACCGCGGGTCACCGCAGTGAGACCCTGCTCTCGGCAGCACCGCGGCTCTGCCAGCTCGGAGGAGCAGCGCAGGCTCTGGCCCCGGTGCAGGCGTTGGGGGGACGGTGGGGCCAGGTCCTCGCTCCACTCCCAGCCTGTGGCTGCTGAGGATGAAGGGGAGCACGGGCAGCGCAGAGGGGCTGAGCCCCCTGGCTCACCAGCCCCCTGTGCCGGGGGACCCCCCCTGGCACCTCCACACCCGCTCAGTCACGGCAGGGACGGCAGAGCTGCCTCCGCCGCGATGGCCACGGGGTGCTGCCGCCCCTCACCCTGGCTCTGCGGCAGACCCTGGTGCCCAGCTAAGGAAGGGGCTCCGGCAGATACCTCCAGCAGGTTAACGATGGGATCGTCTGCTGCAAGGGCGCAGGACCCCTGTGCAGGAGGTCAGCCCCGTGAGGAGGCTGAGGGCCCCCACGCGCTCCTCTGGAAGGTGCCAGATCAGCCCAGGAGCAGCACAGAGGGTGGGAGCGGGAGGTGCAGGCGCCGGTGCCTGATCTGAGCCCACACAGCCAGAGCAGACCCCACCACTCATGGCCACATCCTCCTGCCCCAGGAGACCCCAATGCTAGTGGGGACCCACCAGCACCAGCGGTGAACAGCGTCTGGCTCAGCGGCGTCCCCCACACCAGCAGCCAGTGAACCTTCCCTTCAGCCTCCCCAAACTGAGCACTGGACCAGCGGCAGAACAACTCGGAGAGAAGCTCCTTGTCCTCCCCAGCCTCTGGCCAAAGGCCCCCCAACACCTTTGAGGTCACTGAAGCCGAGGGCCCCGATGGCTGGCTCACTGGCGATGCCAGTGGGGTCTTGGAATGTGCTGTGCCACCTGCCCCAGCCATACATCCCTCCCAGCAGCTTTTGTGTGACCTGGGAAGCATTTGCTGCTTCTGAGCTTCCCCAGGGCTCAGGGGATGGAAAGGAGATGGAGCTGCAGAGCTATTCTCCCCAGGTTTGTTATTCCTCAGCTGGAAGCCGCACAGGCTGGCTCTTGGGGACTCTGATCCTCTTGGAGCGACATGAATCTCTCCTCAAACTCCCTGAATCTGAGGGAAAGGATCAGGCCTCCTTGGGGGAGGGGGAGCCTTCACAAAGCTCTGCTTGTCAGCGGAGAGAGCAGGGTGTCCTCCAGCCCAGACCCCCGGCCCTGTGAGGGGAGGGGGACACCTTCCCCTGGGGTGGTTCGGGGGCAAAACCAAAGCCCAGGGGGGCTCCAGAGGGTCTGTCCTGGGCCGAGCCGCCTGAGGCCCCAGGAAGGACGTGGGGATGCCCTTGCCCGGACACTTCCTTGTCAAAGCTGAGGGCTTCTGGCACCCCCGGACCGAGAGCCACCCCGCTGGGGAGGGGGATGCCCAGGCGCCAGCCCCTCCCTGCACACAGGCCAGCAGCATCCGCGCTGCCACCGCCGGCACAGCTCAAGGTGCCCTCTCCCAGGGCACGGCTCGGCCTTCCCTTCCCCCGCCGGGGGGCCGGCCCCGGGCTCTGCTCTACCCCTCGACCCCCATCCCCATCTCCTCGGGGTCCCGGGCTCCGCTCTCCCCCTCGACCCCCATCCCCGCGGGGTCCCGGGCTCCGCTCGCCCCCTCGCCCCCCATCCCCATCCCCGTGGAGTCCCGGGCTCCGCTCCCCGCCGCGCACCTGAAGTCGCTGTAGGGGTGGATGATCCAGGCCCCCGCCGACTTGACGCGCTCCTGCTCCCGCTCCACCGCCTTCTGCGAGCCGAACATCCGCAGCGAGAACTTGTTGACGCCGGGCTGGAGCATCGCCCCGAACTGCCGCTGCATGAAGCTGGCCTGGCTCCCGCGGGCCTCCTCGCCCGCATCCTCGCCCGCGCCCTCCTCGGCCGCTTTGGCCCCGCCGGGGGACCCGCCGCCGCCGCCGCCGCCGCCGCCGCCGCCGCCGCAGGAGAAGGAGACCTTGGGCTCCCGGGGCGGCTCCGGGCCGGGGCTGCGCGGCGGCTCCCCGCGCCGGCACTCACCGTTCGGGGACCCCTTCCCGCCGCGGCCCCGCGCCCGCCCCGTCGCCGTCGCCGCCCCGCCGCGCTTGGCCGCCTCGGCCGCCGCCTCCTCCTCGGCCGCCGCCTCCCCGCCGCCCGCCCGCATCCTGCCGCTGCCGCCGCCGAGGGCCCCGGCGGCCGAGTGGCGCCCGCCGCCGCGGCGGGGGCGGGCCGGGGGCGGGCGGCGGGGCCGGGCCGAGCCCCGGGCGGCTCCGCAGCTCCCCCCGCCGGCACAAGCCCTCCCCGGCGGCACCGGCGGGCGGGGCTCTCGGTGCGGGGCTCCGGAGCCCGGCGGCCGCCGGGGCGGGAGCGCGGCCCCGTGAAAAGCCCCGTTCGCTGCGCTCGGGCAGCCTTCACCCCTCCCCGGGGTGGGGACGGACCCCACAGCCCCGCCGGGCACGGGGGCTTCGCCCTCCCACAGCCCCGGGGACCCATCGCCCACCTCCCCAGCCCAGGCCCAGCCCGTCCCCTCGCCCCCAGGGCTGAGCCCCCCCACCCCCCCACCCCCGACACCGAGCCGGTGGCAGGAGGTGCCCAGGGTGGGTGCAGGGGAGGGTCGCAAGGATGGGGACCCGGGACTGGCACCTTGCGACAAGGCGGCTCCTACATGTCCCAGAAATAACAGCGGCCAGCAAACTGCAGCTGGACAGCATCGAGGCGGATGCCTGCACCCACAGACGCAGCCGGGTCCGATGCTCTGTGCGCCGGGACCAGGTCAGGGGAACCAGCACCTCCTGCCCCACCGCCCCAGGTACGTGCTCGTCCCACTGCGGCTTCCCCGGGCTGCACCGGAGCGAGGACACCGGGTGAGCCCCGAGCACTCGCCAACGGCCCTGGACACAGGAGCAGAGCCCCGGCGGCATGGGGCATGGCTCTCACAGACCCACGGCAGGCCAAAGCCCGTCCCGGGTCAAGGTGCCCCACGGGCCAGCAGCCAGAGCGGGTGGCACCATCTGCTGCCCACGGTGCAGAAACACAACTGGACAGCGCACGCGTCCGGCAGCCACGCCAGCCACAGCCAAAGAGCCCTGCTCCCTGCTCGGGGCGCGCAGCCGCAGCCCCTCTGCTGAGCCCCACGGGAGAGGACACCCCAAAAGCTGCGCTCCAGGCCACGGCGGGCTCACTCTGCAGCGTCACCCCCTCGGCTTCACGTAGCCACTTGGAAGAAACAGCCCGTTTCTCCAAACAGCCCCTGAGGGCAGCGCTGCCCCCCCCCAGCCCACAGAGGAGCCCCCAAGGAGCCAACACTGCGGCTTAACGTGAGCAGGAGGCTGGAGATGCCGGCACGAACAAGTGAGGTCCCAGGGAAGCAGCAGCTGGGGGCTCACCCCAAGGCGTCGAGTGGGACCCCCACCGATGTGAGAGCCCAGAGCACCTGCTCTCCCCCCAGGTCAGAGCAGGGCAACACGGCAGGGGCCTGTTCACACCCCGGCAGCGCCACAGGGCTCTGCCTCGACTTACATGGCAGCTTCCGTGGGCGAGCAGGCCTGGCCGAGAGTGGCAAGATGCTGCTCCATCCCCTCCCCAAGCTGTTTTCCCACCCGGTGCCTGCCCTGCCAAACAAAAGGCATAAATGGCGCTTTGTGCTGCGGCCCAAGAGCCGGGTCAGGCAGGACCCGTAAGCCTCGTGAAGGAAATTAAGCCATGCATTGATTTTTCACGAGGCCGGCTGCGAAAGGCTTGCATAACCCACTTACGTGCCGCAGATCCATGCTGCCTGGTCAGCCCCGGGACCAGCCCAGCTGATGACACACTGAGGCAGCAGAAATGCTCTCAGGAGGGACAGGGCCATCGCAGCCCCAGGCTGCCGGCACCGCTGTTAGACATGCGGGCCACTGCACTGTGGCCAGCAACTCCCCAGGCACAGACCTGCACTCGAGAGCCATGCTCCTGCATTACCCCTTCCCATGCAGGGAGAAGCATTTGGCTACAGGGCAAGGACACAGCCGACACCATCACCAGACCCAGGGGCTCACTTCTCCCCAGCCCCACTCCAGGAGATGCCCAAAGCGCAGAGCTCAGGCCTGGCAACAGGAAAGGGACCCCCCCATCACATCCTCCATCCAGGCACCACGCTGCACACAAAGGCCTCACACCTTTGCTCCCCCACACAGGAAAGGGCAGGGAGAAAGAAAAGTAAGTCCCGGGAGATGCACAAGACACACAAACAGGAGGAGTCCTGCAAGGGCTCATGTAGAGTAGGGACAATCCTTGGCCCCACAGCCACCAAGGAACGGTGCAGCAGGACGAGGTGATGCCTCTCCCCAAACTGGCGAGTGTGCCCCAGCGACCAGCGCTCTTCCAGGCTCTGCAGAGCAGGGAGCACCACTCGTCTGCCTTCACAGAGGCTCAAAACCTCCTGGTCTGCAGCCAGAGCTGGCACCCAACTGTGAGACACAGAAATGAGTCGGCAGGTCAGGCCATGCAGGGGTCCAGCCCGTAGAGGGAAGAAACCAGAGTCCAAACAAAGGTGGAAAAAAAAAAAAAAAAGAGGAATCATCTTTATTTGTGAAGTGTGTTAACAGATGGAACAGTTCAATGCTACCCAGAAATAAAGGTATTAGACTCCACTGAGTGTTCGCTCTCAGGCTCCTGTCACGCAAACATCACAATGGCTCAAGCACAAGAACACATGCTGTTAAACTGCACCCCCCGCCCCGCACCACCTAAACTCCCCCCCACCCCTGGTTCACTCTGCCCCTATCCCCCACCATAGCATTCATGGGTTGCTAGTAAGTTAAGATCAATCATATCCATCCCGTGTCCAGTTCTGACGCTGCCTCCTGGTTGTCTGAGTGACTAAGAACAGCTCTGGAGAACAGATTGGGAATGTGCCCGGCCCTGGGAATGGTGCTGGGTGGGGGTCAGGGTGGTGCAGCTCACACCCAGGAGCATCCTTCGCCCGCTCCTCCCCAGGAGCCGCGGCAGACATGCCTGGTGGCCCTGGCCCTGTGGCTTACAGGATACGTGCTGCTCCCATGCTGGAAAAGGTGCAGCCTTGCTCCAGGTGACGCATGGGGAAGACACAGAAACACCTTCCTAAACCCCTCGGTCAGATCAGGTCATCCCCAGATGGTCACCCAGGCAGTTTCTCCCTGCCCCACACCAAGAGGGCAGGGGAACAGACCTGCTGGGACCACGAGCCACACCAGCCACATCCCACCGAGCAGCACAAGGAGCTGTGCACATTGCACTGCCTGGTCAGGTCTTGTCCACAGCTCCTTGAGTGGCCTCAAACACTGAGGTGGGGCAAGGAAGGCATTTCAGAGCGGCCCTCCCCAACACACCCTGTTCTTCCCAGAGGCAAGGAAGAAATAAGTTGTACTCCCACCCACCCCGTCTGTACCAACACAAAGAAACCTAGGACAGAGACAGCCAGTGACCTAGACTACCAGAAACATGGGATTTACATTTACAGGTAGAAAAACCCTCCCATAACTCTTTTTTTTTAAAAAAAAAGTGTATTTTAGATTCTACATCATAAGTTTCTTTAGAAAGTGAATTAACTGAATCGCAAGGATGCACTAGAATATTTCATGGTGCTATTTTACCAAAAAAAAAAATCAGAAGAAAACCAAAATTGTCCAGATGAGTTCTTCATCTACATGTCACCTGTCAGGAGAGAAAGAAAAGCCAGTTAGATAACCCAGTTGTATCAGTAAGGCTGCACTGTGCTAAAGGGGTTTGATGGAGTAGTACAGGACAAAGGCTCAGTAAAGCTGTAGGCCAGGACCGGTCTCCTGCTCCAGCCCAGGGCAGGAGCTACCGGGCAGTCCTGACCTTCCCAGGCTTCACAGCCCCACGGTAGAGTCCAGCACTTCGCTCTCCCCTCACCAGTTGGGGCAGGGGCCAGACACCCCACCGTTCCCCACAGGCAGCCCCAGCAGCTTTGGCAGGTTCCTACTGACAGCCTTTGCCTGAAATTCACCACAACACGTGTTTCCCCAGGTCCTGCAGTACAATGTTGGGCCAGAAGAGCCCCTGCCTGCACAGATGCTGCCACCCCCCCAAAGACCCTCTGCAGATGCAGCTGACAGAGCGCTCTGGCCAGGGATGCAGCCAGGCTGCTGCAGGAGCCCTGCGCTGGGAAGGGTGAGAAGCCTGGCCCCACAGCCCTTCCCAGCTGCACCCCCTGGGAATGGCACTCACCCGGGCCCTGCTCTTAGTTAGCATTTCTCTGGCGGACATTCTTGTCCTTGTGGTTTGTGGCATTACTTTTCCTGGAAAGAGAAAAGCAGCAGTGAGGAAATAAAAAGCACAAAGCCACACCCTACCCACTAATGTAATCCAGTGCGGAGCCGCGGACGAACGACACGCCGAGACGGGTTCAGTGTGGGAGATAGAGCATCAATCAATGTGTCTCTTTATTGGTCCAGGGTACATATATTTATACAGACAATGATAATTATTATGCCTACTAGTCACTAGCTGATTGGCTTAAGCTCTAAAGGTCGTATTTGCACGGTCCACCTACTTGCAGTTAGCTTACAGCACAAGCTTCTCATAACACTAAGTTTCTCATGCTACTATTTCTGATTCCTGTTGACTTGTTTTCGATACACGACAGTACCGTAACACAATGTTTCTCAGACCACCGTTATCATAACACTAGGTTTCTCAGACCACTATTCCTAATTCCCCTTAACCTGTTTTCGACACACCACGGTACACAGGGCTGAAGCGTCCTTGACATTCCTCATGTATCAGCAGCTGCGAGCAGCTGCAGGCAAACCCTAGTGAGGCTCAGCATCAGCAGCTAGAGCAGGCTCTGATCATACAATTGCTCGGTGGGCTCAGGACTCTTGTCTCTGAGCCATTCTCCAACAATCCAGGTCGAAATAGATGGTCAAGATAAGGAAAAATGAGATTAGTTACCAGAACAGTGTCAGTTTGAGACACTGGTGCCGTCCCCAGTTATATGTGGTTTATACACAGTCCGCATTAAAGGAGCCATGGCGGGGAAGTCTCCCAGCCAGCAAACTAGGGTGTTAATCTCACACCAGCTAGCTTTTATATTCAGAGCAGATTCCCTGGATGGATGTGATCTGGCAGTACAAATCTGGTTAAATATGAAAAAGCAAGGTACTTACAGTGGTGCAGAACCTCCATCATCATCTTCGCATTCAGGACCACACAGAAAGAAAGAAAGAACAGCATCAGGGAAGAGCACGTAAAAAGTAATCTCTGCCACCTCGAAAACTCTGGGGACTGCATTCCAGACAATTTACTGGATACTGCTGCCTGCACAGGACTGAATCCAAAAGGTTCTCTCATCCACAGGGCCCCGCAGAGCAGTGGGCTAATTCTTACTAGAGCACTGCCACCCCCTGCGTAGAGTTTTAAACTGCTTCTCATCTAAACTTAGACAAGACACAAACTTAAGACATAAGCTCCTGTTGCTTGTGTTGGCACAGGGTAGGTTTGGCTCACAGGGTAATTAAATCACCACCACCACCCCCCCCAGCAACTGGCAGAAGTCAGGTCTGGAACTTCGTTAACCCTGAGGCACACCTGAGGCTACCCTCAGAGGCCACAGAAGTAGAATTACACAGGGAAGCACCCAGGCAGTCTTTAAAACAGCACCGCTGACCAGTAACATGTTTAACATTTGCACCCCACGTATCCTCAGCACACCAGTCTCTCCACCACCAGCACTTAAAACTGGAAGAGAGAATCACAGACCAACTGGTGAGACAGCACAGCCGCCGCTGACCTTCCGGCTGTTCTCCCCCCCAGCACCAACTCGGGGGCTCCCAGATCTGAGCAGACTTCAACAGCAAGTGAAGGGGAATTCAAACAGGCTGTTTCAGGAACGAGGCTTTACGCAGCAGCATGCCCTTCTTCCTCCCCACACATTTTGTGAAGTCAAAATAAACACGCTGCACACCACGTTCTTGCTACACTGAGAAGCACAGCTAAGAAAACATCTCTGCCAACACATGCCAAGCCCTGGGGCCTGTCAAGAGCTCCTTGGAATCTGCCACCTTCCAGCAGAAGGCTCCCCATCATCTCTTCCACAGCCCAGGCTCCCCTCAAGCGGCACAGAGCAGCGAGGCCCACGCTCCAAGCACTGGGACTGCCTTGGGCACCAAGATCTGCTCACAGCTGTTGAGAGGATGGCTGCAGAAACACAGCTGGAACTATCTTCTACTCACCATTTGAGGGCGGACCCAGCAGCAGAGAAGGGAAGCGTGGAAAGAGAACACCAGCAAAGGACACCACACCCTCCACAAGCCAGACTCTCTCCATCCCAGGCAACAGGGAGCAGCCAATTCACAGCCACGTACTGTGAGGACCAGCACTTCTCCGAGCTGGCTCAAAGAATTACTGCTGCCTCCTCAAGAGGGGCAAAGCTACAAAGACTTTTGGGGAGACATAACCACTTTACACCAGGAAAGTGTGAAGCTCTGTATGCTTGTCAAGCAGGTATGATGTTGCGTCCTCATCCACAAGCACTTGGGAACCTGAGCTTAAGAGCTCTGGCCAAGGAGCATCAGGACACTTCAGTATACACACCCTGTCTTCATGTGTCAAAGCATCTGCTACAGCTCTGACGGGTCAGGACTCGACATGATCTGGACCAGGCTGATATCATCAGAAACCAGATCACTCCACACACACAGGCTGTAGGTTTATTTGCTAGAAGCTGCAGCTACAACATCCTTAAGACTACATCTGCCTTCCAGCCAAGAGTGTCAGAGGGCAAAGCATCTGCTTGTAAAACTGCCTGGAGTAGAACTCCCCAAACCCTGTAGTTAGGGAAGAGATATTTAGTTTTAGTCCCTCAGCCTACCTGATGTGCTGCTCCCTAGCAGAGCACTAAGGGGCCTGACCCAGCAAGCAGGAAGGATACCAGGCATTTACACTTCATTGTTAACTGGATCAGATAAGGGAGTAGCAACTGAGCTAACACAATGCAGATTGTTACTGATAAGGAAAGGGAGGAGCCGATATTTCCAGAACAGATTAAAGATAGCACTAGGTTTCGAGGAAGTCAGAGTCAGTGTGGATTTGATGACCCAAAACAGATTCATGAACTGAACCTGAATTAAGCTAAATGTGGTCTTGTGGAACCACTGACACGGTCCCCTGATTTAGAGGCACCATAAAAGCTCTGCTGCTTATTCAGAAATTAGTTTCTCCAGAATGTTAGCTGCCAGAGAAAATCCAGTCCTGCAGACACTCACGTGAAACACTTGAGCAAAGTGCAGAGGAACTGGTGAGACAAAAGGTCAGGCTGACCTGCACTGAATCTTATCTCACTCCAGACCCAAAGCACAGCTTGAAGGACTGTCAGAAACAGTACAATTAATTGCAACTTTAGCCATAAAGTAGCCTGGTTAAGACTGCCATGGCTTTACAAGTGCCCTGAGAAGGAGCCCTCAAATTAATGCTCAAGTACTCAAAGTTATCAACGAGAACGTTTTGCCTACACCCTATGAGTTACTTGGTCTCCCCAGAAAGATTTAACCCCAGACACCTCTTACCATCAAGAACTTCATCTGGCTTCCTCCTCTTCTCATAGATGAAGATGATGGTGACAAGAACGAGGACTTCTGCTACAATACCCAGGAAGGGCCAGAGTGCTGCCAGGCGGCTGCGTACGCGCAGGTTTACCATAGCGTCACCAAAGCCGTGAGAGTTGGTGGCATTGCAGCGGTAGTCACCTGTATCTTCCTCAATATTCAGTTTAAGAATACGTAACTCCGTCTTGTTGCCACTGGACTTGATTATGTATCGACCAGAACCATTGATGATGGGCTGGAGGGAGGGACAGACAGACAGACAGCTCTCAGGGCAGTGCTGACACTAGGGGAGCTGCTCACTTACCATGCATGGTCCTACCACTACAGAAATCCTCCTTGCCATGGCACTGAGGAGGCTACTCTGAAATAGCTAATTCTGACGAGACGAGGTCTGCCAGCTCTGTGCTGGGAAGTAGGGTCGGCAGAAGGGGAGAAAGAGTATGAAACCACAACACTTACCCCTTGACCATTTTTGTACCAGACCCAAGAGGTGGCAGGGGGGAAAGAGGGATTCTTGCAAGTCAGCACACCAGTGTCCCCCTCATTCCCATGCTCAGACTTCTTGTATGCAATCACTTGGGGTGGAACTACGGCAAGAGAAAAAGAAAATCAGACCCCTCATAGAAAACACCTAGAAGATTTGTACTCCCTGCAGTTCAATTAACCAGGACAGCGTTACCCATAAAGCTTGACTTCAGTTTAAGAAATGTGTTAATAGGTCTGTTCCCCTCACTTGCCCATTGTTTGGCATTTTCAGAGAGGAAAGCACATCAAGCTGCCTCAAGGAAAGCTCAAATAGATTTGTCCACCAGGTATCACACCTCTCCCATTATTCTTGTGGGAACATACCCACAGATGGCTGATTTAATGCAATGTCTAAAAGCTGACCCTACAGACACTTTAGCTGCCTGATAAAATGGAGCTGCCCCACAAAGCAAGTCTGGAAGTACATGTAGAGTCCTTCAGCCTTATCAGTAAGGGCTAAAAGCAGCTTTTCAAGTTGCTGAAAAGACACCAAAGCAAAGCGTTCAGGAGATGACAGCTTCCCCACTCCCCTCCTCAGACCCAGAGCAAACATATGAAGTTACCTGAAACGTTCACTTGTACTGATACCTCTGGGCTTGTTTTGTAGACACATTCATAGATGCCAGAGTGGTCTTCTATCTTCCCCTTGATTCTACCAAAAAACAGGATGTCAGACAAGCATTCAGTACACCTGACTTATCCACAGATACCAGACTCTACACCCACAGAAACAGACATCCATAAACATCAGCAATCTTCTCCACAGGCAGTTTCTCCCATTCCAGCACCAGTACTTACACTGCATCATGTATCTACAGCAACCCAACTCTCAACCCTTCTCTCCCCAAACACCAAGGATGGCAGAAGAGGATTTCACATGCACCAAATCTGACATGGGTCTGTCAAGTCACTGATCACCAAGACTTCCTGATCTTCTGTCCTGAATCCTGAAAACCATCAGCTTTCACCCCCTAACCCAGAGCATTCATCCCATCAGGGCCTCTACAAAGGCAAAAAATTTAAGACCTAGCCTGTTAGATATTACCGATTAAAAAAAAAAGAAAACAAAAACAGGAGCACCAGGACAACATTACACCATCACCAGGTGCAGTGTCATACATACACTTCAGAAGTGGCAAACTCCATGCTCCTCCCTCTTGCATACAAGCCCCAGGCTCATTAAAAATAAAATAATTAAAAAAAAAAAAAAAAAAAAATCACACCCTATTGAGCAAAGCCAACAATCTGAAGTGCAGCAAGAGAGTACTCTAGTCTGCACAACCCAGGACATGGCCACACATCTCATGTAAGACATCAGCCCTGCAGTTCACCTGTAAAAGACAGGCAAGGAGCTTAGGACAACTGATTCAGAGGATGCTATTTCTCCCATGAAGGAAACTCATTGAACCACATGGCAAAGCAGTGGCAAAGAAACATCAGTCTGGGTTACTCTGGATTGATCCAAGCATAGGGATAACTCTCCCATTTTCCCTTTTGTAAAGCTGCTGCAATGGGATTTAGTGGATTATGCTGCACTGCAACAAACATCTCATTCTGCAGCTTAGTAATACCCACACGAGGGAAAGGGCAGGCAAAGTTTCAGTCCCATGGCTGCACTGGGACAACAGGCTGTTTGTTAGTTCTGCTGTGCGTGGTGCTTCCCACTTCCAAAAACCACTCAGCTAAGGAATTGAGGTCACGCGAGGGAGGCTGGGTTATAAATACTTTAATCCTTGTTCAGCTCCCTGTTGCTATGGGGAGACAGGCACGTCGGCACTGCGATACAAAAGGACATGATGCCTCTACAGCTGCTGGGTCAGTGCCAGCCAGGCCTGACTGTAATCAAAAAGCAAAGCTCACTGCACTGGTACAATAAGGCTGGTATTCCTGCTTCTGCTCAGCTACACCCTGCAAAGAGTTTCTGAGCATTGACCATAAGTTGCAGGCAGCTTCCCAGCTTGGTCTGCAAGAGCCATTGGACTTTGGAAAGGTACATAAACCCCAAAGGCAGAGACAACATACACTGGAGTGTCTCATTCCACACATGGCCTCGGGGGAGCAGGGAGCTGATGTCCTGCCCAGAGCTGGGGTCCCCAAAGCTCTGGGAAAACAGCTGTAGCAGCAATGTCTGTGCAGATGGGCCAGGCAGCAGCCCTAGCCGTGTCACCCGCTGCACCTGACAAACCAGAGCCCAGCTGAATGCCTGCACAAAAACATGAAGCAGCAGAACTCTCTTACTAAGAGGATATTTGTAGGATATAACTTTCCCCTCCTCCTCCTTTTTGCTCCCCCCTCCCCATAAAAGAGAAAATGTTGAGCCTTACCAAAACTTTGCTTAGCTGGTCTTATGTTCTAAAGTTTAAAAGCCTATATTTTCAGCAAGACTGCAAGAACTTAGTTTCAGGTTCAGCTGACGGGAAACATTAACTGCCTCTGGTAAAAAAAAACCTGTCCCCTGTGTTCAGATTCTTATCTGACTTTGCCTCTGACACTCACATGTAACTGGTGGAAGCACTTGAGTCCGCGTCGGTTTGAACTATCTCGCCCCAATGCATCCATTCGTGACCCTGGATGGCAGGGTAAGTCCCAGTCATGTTACAGGTGAGGATCACCATGTCAGAAGAATTGTTTATGTGAATTTTGACATCTGGACCTGCATTCATAAATAATTTGACAGAAGTTAACATGTGGTATTCCAGAGGTCACGTGCCTGGACAAGAACCTTTAATGCAGACAGTTACCAAAACCCACAGCTCCTTGTCTCTAGCATAGCTTTCACTTACCTTTGCCACCAGCTTCCTACCAGAACTGATGATACCAGCATAGGAGAGGCTCAAAAATGGGGCAACTGGGGCCTGACTGCACCTAGCCATAACCGATGCTGCCCCTGCAGCTGCTCTGCCATGAGCGGGATCACTGCTGCGGGCTCTGGACTATTCCGAGCCTCCTGCTGTCCCTCCAGCAGCACCAAGTGTTCAACGAGCAACGGCCAAGGTCATGCCGTGAAGGGTGGTTACAAGAATATGGCTCTCTGTTTTTATGAGCCACTACAGCACTTGCTGTGCCAAGAATCTGAGCAGATTTAGACACCTCCAGGTAACCTAATGGATGTCAGTCAAGACCCTCTTTGGTGAGGGGTAGCAAACAAGACTATGTGAGCAGTATGTGCATCATCTGATGCACATAAGAGATTAGAGTTATATTTTCTCCAGGGAGAAAACAGAGAACCATGATTCCAAAAGGTCTCGGGCCTCCATGTGCCAAGTAGTAGTAAATTATGCAACAGAAGATGACTCGGGCATTTCTGCTTGCAGGAGGCACTCCAGGAAAACAGCTGCCATTAGAAGCACCATTATACAGCCCTGCACTTCCTACCCTTCCTCCCAGTCTCAATCTCGGAAGAAACAGTTTTTGCACAGGGCTGACGTGCATTTTGGTTTTCCTCTTACCCAAACTCCACTGCAAGAAGGTTCTGCTGGAGTTCTGTATTCCCTAGCACATTTACACTGAAAAGACTGCTATGCTGCTCTGCTAATGTCAGGATTCTGGTAAGATCTTTGGAGGATGTTCAATTCCCCCACACTGGCCCAGGTTTCTGCTACTCAGAGCAGCTGCCTGTTAGCTCCAGAGTCTGAGTGCCAGCTCTGCAAGCAGAGGGAATCTGGCCACTTCCACAGGACAAGCAACTACATCACACTCAGTGTCACACACAGACACGGCCATTTCAAAAACGGTTGCATCTCAAGAAACTCAAAGCAGGTTTTGTTCCCCACAGCTTGTATCACTAGCAAGAAAGGAAGCTTAAAGCAAGGCTGTTCACAGGAGCAGAAGCTGTACGAGCTGTAGGGAAGGGACGGTTTGTCAGTGGTGGTTAGGGCAGAGTCTACCGCAGAATCAAGACTCTCAATTCTACAAGCCAGCACCGGGACTCGGAGGCACTCGGGAATAAGCGGTAGGTTCCAGGTCTTTGGCTCCGGAAAAGGCACAGGATTGCCGAAGGGCATTTTGGTTGGGAAGCCACAACCCTTTTTGAGCAAGGTCAAGTCACGGGTGGTGAGGGAGATGACAGAGGGTGGGAGTCTCTCAGTTCTACAGCTGGGGTGGGAGGGTGAGGGGAGCTTTCGGGAGCCACAGGACACGGGTGCAGGGGTGAGCATGGCAGGAGACTCAAGACACCGGTGTCCGAGCAAGTGCCAAGGCCTCAGCATGGCCACTCACGTTCGATGACAAAAACGTTCGCCTGGGAACGGATCCACTTGACTTTGGGGCTCTTCGACAAGTGGTTGCGGTCAGGGTCGTTGCTAGCCCGGCACTCATACATGCCCGAGTCGTCGCTTGTGAGGTTTGCGATGTAGATGGTACTGGTAGAGTGCAGGTTGTAGGTGGCGTTGATTTTGACACGGTCCTGCCGTGCGCCATCCCAGAGCTGAGCATAGGTCTCATTTGGCTCATTTCCCTCAAACCACCACTGGATCTCAGGGATAGGATTACCAATCGCCTCGCAGTACAACTCGACGCTGTCCTGAGTCAGTCTCTTTTGAGACAGCGGTGACTTTATAAAACCAGCTATGAGTTGAAGAGGTATTAGTGCAAAGTGTTAGTGCAAAGCAAGAATTCACCCTCTACAAGCAAAAAAAGAATTCAGCCATTGAGAAGAGGCCACACAATCTCCAGAGCAGCATGCTCTTCCCTCCCTCCCTCCCTCCCCTCCACGCTCTCTGAACACAGCCCAGCTCAGACAGGGCAGTTATTTTTAATTGTTGCATCTCCAGCCAACAACACCCTCTGCGGCTGCTGCAGAACCAGAGCACACAAACCAGCACATGTTATTTGCCACTATCCAAACAAGAAACTCACAGCAGTCACGGCATGGCGAGGGACGGTGTTACAGCACAACGCTCACTGGGACAGACCAAGTGCCAGCAGTGCTCCCCCAGACACTTGCCCGGCCCCCACGCATTTGCAGTTCGGGATGAAGACAACAACATATTTTTGTTGCAAGGGCTTATCCAGCCTCTCCTGGTCCCCACACCAATTCAGCACTGGCCGTGCTGTAGCAAGGCGCCTGTCGTGACAGAGCCGGCACAGCAAGGTGCGGGGGCAGCACCCGGCACACAGCCCGAGCCCCTGCTTAGTCCATTTAGTCGGGACGACCGTCATGGGAAAAGTGCCTCGTTACCCCCCTCTTGCCCCAAGGAGGGACTCGTCCATTCCTCCTCCCTGCACACACCCAAGGTCAGTTAAACGTGATTCAGAGCTGGGGGGGTCCTGGAGCCCCCCAGTCACTGCATGGGGACCGGAGAACACGGTGCACCACTGCACCCGCCGTACCCTCTGGGTGGTCCCATCCGCCAGCCCCCACCGCACTGCAGAGGCTGCTCCCCCCACGCTCCGTTCACTGACATGCCCAGCAGGTACCTTTAAACACAGGATTAAGATAACAACTTTTCTGAGGGGGAGGAACGTCTTGCACAAGACAGTGCTAGCCAGGTGAGAAAACACGCAGCGCTTGTTGTCATACAAACAGCGAAATCAGACTTTTCATCTTGGGCGAGATAACTCTGCAGAGCTAAATTAGTAACAGACTAAAATCCTGAGAGGCAGCTGCAGGCCAGGGCAAGGGTGTTTTTCAAACAGCTCTTGCAGCGAGAGGCCGGAGGGTTCAGCTTTCGAAAGCAGACAGGCCAAAGGTGGGTCCGCGGGCGCCGCGCTGCCGAATGGTGCTGGGCTCAGGCTCCCGGCCAGGCGCGGCTCAGCGGCCGCCGCAGTCCCCAGCCCTCCCTGGGAGCAGCCAGGATCTATCCACACCGCTGCGGGAAACTGCATCACTCGTGAGTCGAGGTCACCGGCGTGACTCAACCTCCGGCAGATTTAAGAAGAACTAGTTAAGCTTGCGACACGTCCTTCCTGCACACCGACTGCGATTCGGATGTGCTGGAAGCAGGCTTTCGGGGCATCCTGCGCACCAAGGTGGCTTCCAGGGAATTCATTTACGTGGTTATTCAACACTTAAAAAGTTCACGATTATATGTAATCCTCCATATATGTACCACAACACACAGGCACAAAGGAGGTACGTTTGGGGGCAAATGTTTTGTTTGTTTTTTGAATGTCTGAAGATGTTTTAGTAAGAAATCCTATGATTTTTTTTTTTTTAAGTGTAGAAACAAATCAGTATTACAAAATCAAGTTTGCCCAAACTCAAAGAAAATGCAAGTTAAGTCTTCAAGGTAAGCTTCAAGAGTTCTAAAATAAAGCAATTCCACATTTCTCAAAGGAAAAAATAGCTTTACATGCTAAAGCTTTAAAAGTCTAGAAGAATAAACATGCTCAAACAAGGAAGGAGAGATCTGACCCTCATGTGAGATCAAGACAATTTTAGAAGGTGGCTGATGCGAATTTTAAAGTGGGAGGTGACAGGGGTCCCAAAAGACATATGTGGGTATCGGCTGTAAGCAGCTTTCCCATACACTGAGTTTCACTTCTACAACTGACCTGTCTGCCAGATGGGTTTTTTTACACCACAGGCCTGTGATTAAACACTCCCAACCACCTAATTTTGAGGAGTCATGGAACTGACTACAGCACTTGTAGAAGCCTGTCCCATTTTAACTACAGCCTGATTTAAAATGGAAGCTAGTAAAGATCAAGGTTTTTTCTTACAGATACAAGGTGATTATTGTATGCTGACAAAATAAGCTGTTGCAAGGTTATTTGCTCTGAGTTAGAGGGCACTTCACGTATTCAGACAGGCCAAAAAGCTTCAGCAAGCAGCAACAGCAGCAAGTCCCATTTGCATTCACATGGGATTATGACCCCTCTCCTCCCAGCACAAAGCAGAGCGGGCAATCAAAGCCCTGGCTCCCAGGGCTGGGGAACACGCCTGTGAGCCCCAGGGCACACCAGCACAGCCAGCATCAACCCCCTGGAATCCATCAGAGCTATTCAAAGGGTTTCCAAATGGTGACAGGCTGCATGTTGAGATAAGCTCACATAAACAAGACACTCTTCACAGAACTGAGCTGGGCACTTGGGCGCAGGGTGGTATCTGACCAAGCCGGACAGTGGCGAAGGCAGACAAGACCTGATAGCGTTCTCCCAAGTCACCTTCAGACTAAAAACAACCTCTTGCCTCGAGCAGAAGGAGGAGTCCTCATGCTGCAAACAGTGTCTGCAAGCCGGACACACTCCAGGCAGCGGAGCCTGGCCTGAGCCCGCGCTGTCCCGCAGGACACGCTCTCCTCTCGGCCTCACAAGTGGATACACGAGGCTCTGGTACTTATTGCCATTTCCACTAATAGCTATAAAATTTACTCTGCCCCCTAAGTTTTGCATAAGGAGGCAGTCACAACACAACCAGGTCAGAGGCAAGTGCTTTCAGTTGGGGTAGCCCCTTCTGAGCGCCCCGAGTCCAAACGCACGCCTACAGATTTTTCAGCCAGTCGGTCTGCATGGTGAGCTACCGAGAGCTGGGACGCTGCAGTTTAAAAGGGCCACCTCTCCTGGAGTCTGCTCCATAAAGCCAAATTAAACACTGAGGAGAGGTAAAACCCTCACTTTCTAGCCCCCCACTCTGCTTGCTTGAAGAATGAGCATCATTGCACAGCAAGCCCAAGAGCCCCACAGCCACGGTAGGACATGGGCATTACACAACTGACGGGCCTGCTGAGCAGCTCTTCCTTTCGAGGTTTTTCTGACCAAGGATAGAAACAGCCTTCTCCACATCTCATTGGCAGCAATCCCTCAGACAGGAGATTGCTCATCGCAGGCCCCTGCCAGCGCGCGCTGCGGCAGAAGGAGTGGGAGGCAGCCAGCACAGGCAGTTTTCAGGTTAGTTTATGAAACTCGCGTTTCACCCCATAAGTGTGATGCTTCGGAGAAGGCCCTGCCCTGCCCTCCTGCTCTGCATAACTCTGCCGCAAGGAAATACAGACTTCTGTCACTACCCCTGGATTTTTCAGAATCTACCCGCTCTTCCACCCTTCAACCTTTGTGTTGAGCTCTACTACACTGAAGTAAGTCTGATACCACAACCAGGCTCCAAATTTTTTAGTACTTGATATGCTAAACAGCCAGGAACAACAGCCTGCCACTCACAATAAAACAAAGCCTTTACCATCAGCACCTCCAGCACCAGGTCTGAATCAGAGAATGCAGAGTCCTCTGGGCAAAAAAATCCCAGCGTGTCTGCCAAGGCAGCCCAGCCCGGCCAGCTGTGGCTCTGAGCACACCAGTGGGCCAGGCTCCTCCGATGCCAGCTCAAAAAGGGAGAAAACGACACGTGAGAGAAACAGCACTGGGCAAATCCTGGCTCGCTTGGGGCTGTGGTTTAAGAGCCCGACAACAGGCTTCTGTAACTCCCGGCACTGCATCCAGCTTCCAGCCTACATCATAAACTGCCAGAGACCAAGAGCAGCCATTGTTTCCTCATTAGGAGATTATCAACTTAAGCGCCATGTGAACATCTTTAAGGTTTTTAAGCCGAGAGATCTGTTACTCCTCATAAGCCCTGCAAACCAGAGAAGGGGCTGCGAGGAATAAACTTGCTCATTTTCACTAAGGGGAAGCCAGGCCCGAGCGGCTGGAAGCGCCGGAGACTTCAACGCCTTTCCGCCGACGGGGACCGAGCCCAGGCACCCCCTCCCCCCCCCCCCCGGAGCCCCCCGCCCGCGGCGTGGATCTGGGTCGCCCCCCGCCCGCCCTCCAGCCCCGCCCGCTGCGCGACGTGCCTGGCCGCAGGGCGCCCGCTCCGCTCCGCCCCCCCACGCCACCGCCCGAGCCCGCCCCGGAGCCCCGCAGCCCCCCGCCCCGGCCCCCGACCGACAGCCGCCCCCCGGAGCCGGGACTGCCCCCCGCCGGGCCCGAGCCCGCCCGCCCGGAGGGACCACTGCCCGACACCCCCCCACCCCCAAAGGACCCCCGACCGAAACCCGCCCCCTCGTCGGCCCGTACTTGTCCCCGCAACGCCGGCGGGCAGCCCGCCGAGGAGGAGCAGCGCCAAGAAGCCGCGCAACCCCGCCGCCATCTCCGCCTGCGCCCCGCGCCGCGCCGCGCCGCCCGCTATAAGCGCCGCGCCGGGTCACGGCGGCGGGGGGCGGGCCGGCGGCTGAACACGCCCCCCTCGTCCCTCCCGACGGCCAATCGCGCAGCGCTCTGGCAAGACGGACCGCCCACCCAGCCCGGCTCAGCCAATCAGAGCGAAATACTGGCGGAGCACCCTTCTCCTCCCTCCGGTCCCCCGCGGGGAGAGCCGGTTCGGGCCGGTCCCGCCGCGGCCACGCCCACCGGGGTGGTGTGCGGAGGGGGGGGGGGGGGGAAGCGGCCGCATGGGCACCGAAACGGCAGTGGGGGGTCGGTCACGGCGTCGGGGAGAGGCGCCGCCGCCGCATCGCTCCGTGCTGCGGCGGGAGGCCCGGGGGCCGCGATCCCGGCCGCACACGGCAGGGAGCGGGCGGAGGTGCCGGCCCAGCGACGTGGGGGCGGAGGTTAAAAACACATCGGGAAGGGTTTCCGGTCCTGCCGCGCCGAGGAGCACGTGTGACATGGCGAGAGCGGCGGCGGGGACGGGCTGCACCCCACGCACCTTCCCCCGGCCGTGCGACCCCGCGGGGCACGGCGTGGGGGCCGCGGGGAGCTCGTGGGCACGCAGTGGGTCCCCTAGCGGGGCCGGGTGCCACCAGGGCTCGGGGTGAGCCGTGGCCGTGTCCCCGCAGCGGGACCCGCGGGACGGGAACCGGGCGGCGCCTCCTCGGCACCGGGAGCGGGGCAGAGACAATAGCTCCTGCAAACAAGAGCGGGGCCGGTGCCAAGACAAACCGGCAGCCCAGGGACCCGGCGGCTGCACGGGGCTGTCCCGCAGCCTCCGCCAGGTGCTCCGGAGCCCCTGGTCGGGGGTCCCCCCAAAATGAGGGGAAAGCGCCTGGCCGCGGGATCTGAGCCCCGGCCGTACGTTTTGTGAGGCCGGGGGGGGTGCGGGGGGGGATGCTGGGCCTCGGCAGCCCCCCGGGCGTCACGGGAAGTGCTGCCGAGGGGCTTCAGCCCCAAACCAGCCAGGGCAAAGGGGCCTCTGCGAGGCAGCGGCTCCGTCCTCAGCTCTTCCCCGTCCCAGGAGCCAACCCAGCTAGCGCAGCCCCGAGAGCAAAGTGGAGAGCTCGCAGCCGGGGGTGCTGGGCAGGGTCGCAGGAAGAGCCAAAACAATGGGGCCGGTGGCGCCAGTTCCCACGGCGCTCTCTGTGGGGATCTGCCGGCTCTTGGAAGCTCCTGAACCTTCCTGGAGCATTTCTTCCCCCAAATGCCATGTGTGCCCTTAGCCTGTCCTGCACGGCCACCGCAGTCCCTTTTGCACTGGAGGGACTCAGCAGGCACCACTCCTGTGATGCAGAAATTGGGCAGAGCACAGACCCCGTGGCATCCTCCAGCCAAGGAGCCTGCCCTGCTCCGTGCAGCCTCCAGCACGTCACATCTTGTGGCTGGTGCTGCTGGGAGCTCTCAGCCATCCAGGCTGGGGGAGAGGGGCTATGGAGACCCCAGTACATTCCTGGTAGCAGGGCAGTGAGCAGTCACCTCTCTGAGCTGCCCAGTTCTGCAGGGCCAAGGCTGGGGAACTCCTGGACGCCCCAGGGCTCGGGGGCAGCTCACAGTGCCACCAGGAGCGTGACCCCATCTCCTGCATTAGCAGCAGGGAGGTAACTGTCTGCAAGCAGCCCGTGAAGGCAGTGAGTACATGGGCACAGCCCTTTGTGCTCCAGGGGTGGGGACCACCCAGGTTGGGGGAAGCTGCTGGGGGCTGTGGAACAGCCTCCCAGGAAAAGGGGCATGGGGGTAGGCTGGCTCTGAACCAGCAGCCAGGGCTGCTGCAGCTCCATACCAGCTGGGTGACCTTGGAAGCCATTTGCCAGGCCTGAATAAAGTGACAATAATTCTATTCACCTTTTAGCCTCATTTCCTTGAGGCAACAAAGCACATGCTTTCGTCACGTGCGGTCACAGGTGTCACTCAAACCTGGATCCCATTCGCACAACTCCAGGCAGGGGGAAGTTTTGCTAATTACCCCTCTGACAAGCTTTGCCTGGCAGGGTAGCACCAGGGCCACAGAGAGCCCCAGGCAGGTGGTTTGCCATGGGCATGTCCCTGCTGTGTCCCCAAGGAGCCAGCGGCAGAGCTGACCCCCCCAGCCCAGCTGGATGAGGTGCTGGCGATGCCCCTCGGCTGCGGGGCAGCTGGGTGCTCACCACAGCCTCAGGTGCTCACACGTCCCAGCTGGCCCCGGCCTATGGGTTCAGGGCGCACCCAGCTGCACCCAGATCAGAGCAGCCACAAGAGCCCCAGGCACCCGTCGGGCACTGCTCTGCCCTGCCTGGGCAGGTCTGCTGCCTGTGGAGGTAGGTGCTTGTGTTGCACGGCTGGCCTCAGAGGAGCAAGAGGGGAAAACACCTTCCCTGTGCAGTGCAGGAGGGCTTTGAGGGCCTGGCAGAGCTGGCCCTTTTGCCCAGGCAGGGACTGAATGTCAGCCTGGGAAGGGCAGAGATGCTCTCAAGGCCAAAGGCAACCCTGCTCAGACACTACTGCCCACATTGCGAGTTTGAGAGGGCAGAGTTGCTGTGAGACCCAAGGCCCCACCAGCAGCCTTGGAAGGGGGGCTAGCCCACCCACCCCTCCCAGCCAGGGCTGCAGTGCAGGAGCCAGCCCACGGCTGGCACAGAAACCCCCACAGCCTGAGCACAGATCGGAGCAGAACCTCACCCATGCACCACACAGCCATTCCCTTGAAGTACTTTATTAAATAGTTTCCAAAAAAAAAAACAGAAGCAGAAAGACTCAGAGCTACCCCATCACTCCCAGCTAGTTAAAAACTACAAACAGCCCACCCTCGTGCCCTGCAGTGCCCGGCAGCTGCTGCACACGTCCTGCCCCGTGTCCCAGCACCACGGGGGAGGCAGCAGGAGGATCCCACCGGAGATGGCCCCGAGCCAGGCAGGATGGCCACACCGGGGGCTGAGGTGCTCACCCTGCAGCCCTTCCTGCTCCAACACCACAAAGGCTGCAGAAAGCCACACAACGCTCACACGCTTCCCACCCAAAGCGACCACTCACGGGCTCCACAGCCTCCCCAAGCCGCTCCTCCCATGTGGGGCTGAAGGAGTTCAACGTGCCCAAACAACGGGCAGCCATCACCCAGCTTTTCCGTCACTCCTCATCCAGCCAGAGCCACCAGCTCCCTGGTTTCTGTGGATTCATGAGCACCCCAACGCGACTTGCCCCTTCCCCACCCGCCCCCCGACCCAGGAAGTTTATAAAATAGAGTTTGTTCTTGTTTTTTGCTTTTTCTACAAAGACAGTGGTGGGATTTCCTTTGTAACAGCAGAACAGTCTCCCCGCGAGGTAGAGAGTTAATTTCAGGGCTGACAGATCCTAAATTCAAACCAGTTTGTCCTAGTTGAGGTAAAATTCAGTAGTTTATAGTGAGTTTTGCAATGCCAGAGAGCCATCAAGATTCCTCATTGCCAGAGTCATCCTCATCACCATAACAGCTGTCTGCTTCCTCCTCCATCTCATCATCCTCATAATAGTCATCATAGAAGAGGTCTGATCCCTCATCTGGGGCTGGAGTCTTGGTCTTCACACAATACTCTGCCAGTGTGGTGGGGACCTTCACACCATCCCGCTCAGCATCCACCTTTGTGCCCAAGACTTGCTTCCTGGAGGCAAGAAAGAGCTCTGTGAGGATGGAGCTTTGCACAGCACACCCACGTCACCGTATGCCGCTCACCCCACGGGCATACTTGGTGACACAGCCCTTTCTCTCTCGCGTCCCAGCTCACAGGTCAGTCACCCACACAAGCCTGGTGAGGGGACAGGGGAGGGAGAGCACCGCGGAGCAAACGTGGCTGCACTGCAATGCGCCCCTGCTCCGAGGGCCCTTGGAGGGCTGGCCAGTCCGCAGCTCAGGAGCTCCGTGTGCCTGTCCCGTGAGACAGCCCTGACAGCAAGGCTGTGATGGCACTGTGTCCACTACAAACCCAGATCCTGGGCTCTGGAGCCAAACCGGGCCAGGGCTTAGTCTGAGAGCAACACTGGGCACATAACCCAAGCCAAGCTTCTCCCAAAAGCCACACTCAGAGCCAGAATCCTTCCCTCCCACCAGCCTGCAGATGGGACTCATCAGGGCAGGACTGGCCCTCAAGGTCCTCCGTGTCCTACAAGATCACAGCTTCACAAGTCTCGACAGTGCCACAGCACTGGGCTCAGCTCAGCACGCACCTGATGATGTCTGTGTATTCCCGGTCCTTCCCTTTGCTTTCCTTCCACTTGCGGTACATCACGGAGGCGTCCACATTAGCTGGAGAAAATGTGTTGGGTTCATTCAGCAGCGAGATCACACTCAGGAGAATGGTCCTGGCAATCAGTAAACAGAGGTAAGTAAGAGCTGAGGCAGCTCAGCAAGTGCCCATGTCCCAGCAATGCCAGCAGCCTCAGTGTCACAGCACTGCTGCATCCTGCAGCCAGGAGAGCCTGGTGCTGGTACCTCAGCAAAGTCGAGCAGGCAAGGCAGGAGCCAGCACTGCACGGGCTGTAGGGCTCACGCGTGTTCCCATGCAAGCTCTAGCTGTTCTTCAGCAAAGCACATAGCCCAAGTGCCAGACACCGCCTTTCAACAGCCTCTAGGCATCTCCCGCAGACCCTGGGAGCAGGAGGCAGACCCACCTCCCCACCGACAAGCCTCCTGCCCACAGCTCCCTCCCCACGCAGCCCTTACCGCACGTTCTGGGTGGGGTTCCACCGCTCCGATGGCAGCTCCCCGCTCTGCGGGTCGTCCACCGGTGGGTGGAGGATGGAGATGCAGACATCGCCGGTCTGAAAGCACAAGCGAAACAGGATCCTTAGGAGCTGCTGCCCCAAGCACCCTCCAGCAGCAGCTTGGTCCTCTGCTCCAGCAGCCTGCTTACTCTTTCACTTTGGCCTAAACCAGGTGAGGCAATCCCAGCCCGTTCTTCCAGCCCCTGGGAAGGGACAGCAGTAGTGGTGGTCCCCGCTATGCTGCCTGCAGCCTCAGGCTGTGGATAAGCCCCTCGTAATTACCAGCACAACACAGACAAGGCTGCCTAACCATCAGATGTCTGATGCCCGAACATGCTGTGTCCCCTCCTGGTGCCCACCCAACACAGCCCAACCCCACACACCCCCAGGCAGGAATCCACTGCAAGCACGCAGCCCTGGGGCCACACGCATCGATTGCTCTGCATCCACCCTTGGCATAAGCATGGTGTCTCTGCTAGCCAAGCGTGGGAGCCTTCAAGCCTGGAAAGCCTGGCTGACCTGGAACCAGCTCCAGGACACAAGACCAGCTGTCATAAGCTCATTAGCTGCACTTCCAGTGCCAGGTACCAAATGCCAAAGGCACCGGGTTTCCAGTGCCATGCTCCAATGCCAGACAAAGGCTGGCATTTTCATCCACTACCATCCCAAGAGATGGATGCCTGCCCCCTCACCTGTCCAAGACACCCCACGCTGTCCCAGGCAACCTACCTCGTAGATATTGGGGTGCCACATTTTGGTTAAGAACCTAAAGGCAGGAGGAGAATAGGGGTAGTCGATGGGAAACCGGAGACGAGCCTGCAAGCAAACAATAAGGAGAAGTGAGAATCAGCTTGTGAGAAGGAAGGGAAGGAAACCACAGATCTCCTGACACCGCCAGGAAAAAGGAACCTCTGCCAAGTCCAGCTGTGCTCCTGCTGAGACAGAGCCCCCACGCCTGCTGGCTCCACAGGCAGGACACAGGTAGCGTGGATGGGCTGGCAAGTTGCATCAGCTCCTTCACCACCATCCTGCACCATAACCTCTCCCTCACCAGTGCCCACCCGTGCTAAACCAGTGCTCTCCAACACAGAGGGAGGCAGCAGGCACCCGGCAGAGCACAGCGGCAGCTCATGGTGCCGGTCTGGCGCACGCCTCACACGCTCACAGCCCGCTCCCACGCCAGCACCCACGGCACAGGGTGACGACACAGAGGGCAGGCTGCTTCTGGATGGCAACCAGCGGCAGGGCGAGGGCCTTGTGGCTCTAAGACGGCAACAAGGCTGGGGGCCCAGCTCGAGCCACACGCCTGAACAAATCCAGCAGCACTCGCAGCCAGACTGTGAGCCTGGAGTCATCCCTAGTCCTGCTGTCAGGGACACACAATGACCACGCCACCAGAGAAAAGGCTATTTACTCCTCAGAGCTCACAGGGAAGGAAGCATCAGGTGCTCAGTGCTCTGATTAACACATTGAATCTCTAAAAATAGCCTGTCACCACTGAAAAAAGAGACCAAGTCACAACTGGCTGCAGTGTGTAGCACAGGTGCTAAAAATAAAAGCACATGAAGATCATGCTGCAGTCCACAACTCCAGCACGAGCAAAGACAACTGGCCTGCCACTAGCTTCTCCTGTGGGCGATGGCCACAAAATCCGAGGTACTAAGGCAGGCCAAAAAGACAGGCCCGTTGCTGGCCTCCAAGTGAGAAGGCTGAGGTGGCGTAGAGATGTACAGCAACATCCCTGTCCTCCCCAGAGAGCTGCTGCCCCAGCCCACCAGCGCCAGGCGTCCCACGAGGACAGAGGCAGCTTCTCCCCACGTCGCTACTCAACCTGCAGTGACTGTTTCAGCTTTTGGGTGTTTCCAAGCTCTGGAAGCAAACTTCCAGATCAAGATTCAGCTGCTGCTCCTGAAAAAGCCAACAGCCAGAAACAAACAAAAAGATGGTAAAGTTTTAAAACACACAACAACTTCCTGAACATTTCTTGCTCCCTCAGTTGGTGTACACGAGAATTTAGATGTTGGATCCGTGAAGCAACAGTGTGAATTACTCTGGCTCTGCCTGGCAGTGACCTGGGATCACTGTTCACCCATGGAACAAGCCTGGCGCAGGCCCCATTCAGGAGGGTAACTGCAAACGAGGCTTCAGATGCTTCTGGAATTACAGTCTCAACAATAGGCAATGCTGCCAAACTCTGTCGTCAGCTAACAGCCGTTAAAAGATTAGCGTAGAAGGCAGAGACATCTGTCCTCCTCCCCACTGCTCCGCCAACCCCAACTCCATCCCACGTTCCAAGGCCTCTGCTCTCTGCCTGCCTCCTGCCCCACCACAAGTTGATCTTCTGGCGAGTCCCAGGAGCCCCCGACCACGGCACATCTGTCCCTACACCTGTTACCACCTTGTCTCCCAGGCTGGCCCTTTGTCTGACCGCCCCATGCTTTGCAGCACAGGACAAGGCAGGGAAGAAGGAAAAGCAAGGTGGCGGCTGGGGCTGGATGCGTTTTGTGCGTGTGTGTGGAGCTTCAGGCAGAGCAGGGCAGCACGCAGCCCTGCACTGGGCTCTGGCCAAACAGCTGAACTTCACAGAATAATCCCCTTTGTTGTGCCAGAGGGGATCAGAACAAAACCAGTCAGAAGCAAAGTGATCCCGAAGGCGGCTTGGAAAGCAACCCTGCTTTGCCATACACAAACAGGCCGATGCTACCACAAGCTGAAAGAAGACTCAGCTCCTTCACTTTCCTCTTATGCAGAAAGCCTCATCTATTGCCACCCAACAGTGATGAGTCTGGAAGCTCTCGGGCACAAAACATGTGCATGAGCTGCTGAAAGAGTGAGAGTTCAAAGGGCCTAGTGCCAAAAGAGGCTACGAAAAAAGACTCCATTTCAGTGAAGACATAAAACCTCTGAAGCATCAGACTTGCCTGCCACTGCTCCACGGAAAAAACAAACCACCCAGCTTCTCAGGCACAGCTGACCCTTGGGCTGACTCACCCTGGGTGCATCCCCACCCTGCCACAACAGGATGAAGACAGAATTGCTCAGAGTGGAGGAGGGAGGATGAGAAAGAGGAAGAAAACAGCTACACAGGTTGCACAACACCTGGGACGAGCAGATACACATCCTCCCGATAGGGACTGCGCAGCCCAGCCGCGCACGCCTTCTCTCCCCCTCAAACAAACAAAACCACAACACCCGCTCCCCACCCAGATTGAGCTGCTGCTCGCTTGGCCCGAGCTGTCTGTGCCTGCACAGGAGTCCTTTGTCTCTTCCCTCCGGTTTGGTGGCGATGTCCCAGATCCCCGCCAGGAAACGCAACACCAGTGACCTAGAACTCACTCTCCCGCACCTATAGACCAGGGGATGGAGGGGCCAGGAAGGAAGAAAAGCCCTCAGAGGCAGAACCCCTTGGGGGCGGGAAAAATCCCCTTTCCAACGAAGGGAATCCTTGCCTAGCTTGGCAGCAGCCACCTGCACACAGGCTCCCTTCTTCGCCCTGGCTCCTACTTGCAGGCACCCCAGGAGCACCTGAAGCCCCAGTGACCTCAGGGTGTCCAGCAGCAGACCCAGGTTTCCCTGGCCCTCATCACTCCCTCAAGCCCAGGAGAGCACCCCTGTCATGCTCCCCTCCGTACCCACCTCAACCCAACACACATCCAAGACTCCTTTCCTCTCACCCCACAGCTCCCTCCCAGTGTCTCCCTCTTCTCCTGCAGTCTCTGCCCCTTACAACATCCCTCCCCAAGGCATCCTCCCCCCTAGAGAGTCCCCCAACACCGCCTGCTCTGCCTTTGCCCCCCCCGAGCCCCATCTCCCACCACACACCTCCGCCTCCTAGGGCCCCCCATGCCACCAGAGCTTCGCCCCTCAAGACCTCGGTCCATCCCCACACCGCACGCCCCCCGCGCTGCCCCCGGCCCCTTACCTTGAAGTACCCGCCCTCATAGTAGGTGTTCGGGGGGCCGAAGATGGCCACCTCCCAGTTGTAGAGATCCCCCTCGTCCACTAGGTTGACCCGGAACCCCTCCACGGGCTCCTCCTGCAGCCCTTTGAGCTCCAGCAGCAGCGCCTTCTGCGAGCTGGGCACGAGCGGCCGCGCCATGCCGAGGAGCCGGGGTAGGCCGCGAGCGAAGCCGGGGACTGGCGTAAGCGCAGCGGCCGGGGCGGGGCGGGGGGGCGGCGGGGACGGGTCCTGCTGCTCCGCGTCCGCTCCGAGCGCAGCCGCGCGGGGCACGGCGGGAGCTGTAGTCCGCCCGCGCGAGGCGGGGCCGGCGTAGGCTCCGCCTACGGGGGGGCGCTCGCCTATCAGAGAGCGCTAGCGGCCCGAGGGGCGGGGCAGAGAGGGCTCCTCCCCTCGGGCGGTGTCCGCCTATCACAACTCCCGGCGGGCCGGCGCGGGGCTCCCTCCCGGCAGCCGGGCCGTGATGGCGGCGGTGGCGCTCCCGGTCCCGGTCCCGGTCCCGGAGCGTCTGCCGGCGCTTCGGGCAGCTCTCCCGCACGCAGACCCACCCGCCGCAGGCCCCAGCCTGGGTCCGCGCTCGGCGTGAGTCAAGCGGCTTACGCCTCTCCGGATGATTACACCCATCAGCCGGGAGGAAGCACTTAGCGCAATTACCGCGCCTGGCTAATGCTAAATGGCATTTTACGAGGCAGCATCTGGCATCCAAGCAGAGGCTGCTCCTAGCGCGGCCCCCGCAGAGAGGATATCTTCCAGCACCACCAGTTCCCACCTCCCCTCCGGTCACATCCCAGCACCTGCAGCCTCACCCAGACCAGTGCCAGGGAGAGGCTCTCCCACCTGCAGGGATCCAAACATCCGCTCAGCAAAACAAGCATCCCTCCAGCTTCTCTTTTGCCAGTAACTACAAGTACTCTGCACTCCCGTACCTACAGTCAGGCAGGCTGCTGACATCAACCCCTGAAGACATGATCTGCTGCTGCAGTTCATCCTCCCACTAATACTGCCAGGTGGTAAAGAAATCGGCTGCTAACAAAATAATAAAAAGCTTTAATGTCTTACAGTAAACCAATAATTGCACAGTATAAATAATTAACACAGACAAGTTCAAATAAATAACACAAGGTTCAACACGCATCTCTGTTCAAAGGCAAACTATGACCTCGGGGAAGGGGGTTTGTCTTGTCCCAAATCATTGTTGAATCCGTAACACTCCACAGCTTCATTTAAGAAGTCACTGCTCAGGTATGAGCTTTGACCTTCAGAGTTGGGATCACAGCAGCCAGAGGCGGTTGGGCAAACACCAAGCGAGCAGACAGCCAGGACAGCTCATCGCCTCGCAGCTCGGCTGTCGGCAGAGGCAGAACTCCCCCTTGGCGCCCAGCCCTTCCCGGTGATGTTTGCTTCCCAGCCAGCTGTTTCTTACCTGCTGTGCATTTAAAACATTTTGTTTAATACCGCCTTCTCTCACACTTTGGCTCAGCCCCTTATTTACCTGCAAATCCTCACAGTAGTCTGTGAGGTAGATAAGTGTCGCTCCCCACTTCACAGGTAAATGTGAAACAAACCCAAAAGCAGAAACAAAGTTCCCCGCTGAAGCTGCAAAAACAGGACATTGCCAGGACTGGCATGAAACTGCAGGGTATCTGGAGGTCCAGCCCCACATCTACTTCATTCTGGCTCATTTTTAATGACTAACGCTGCCCTATGGTTTACAGACCTCCTTGCAAGTCTCCGGTTAACACCTAAAAAAAGTTACTAATGCCAGCTGAATCAGAGGAGCTGCAGCTGGGAGAGGCACAGCAGACAGGGACACATCCGGCACTGGAGATGGCTGGGCACCTGTCGTGCTCGGAACAAGAAAAGGAGCATGGAAATTGAGACTCTCTCATCGGGCAGACCCAGGCTCTGCAGCCAGCGCCTGACCAGCCTCCCGTGTTCGCTGTCCAGCTCAGCGCCGGGGCCCGGAGCCTCCTTCACCTGAACAGCTCTGTGCAGAGCACTTGTGGAGGTCGAAGCGGATGCAGCCAGCGCTGCTCCCACCCGAGTGTTACTCAACGGGCTTCACTTTTGCAATGAACAAGGCGGTGGCTTTCTTCAGGAACTCCTCCCTGCTCATGGAGGCGCTCAGCTTCCTCTCCTGCAGTGCCCGGTCCATGGCCAGGGCCAGCCCGTCCGGTCCCAGCTTGGAGCCCGCCTCCAGGTAGCGGCCAGGGAGCGAGAAGTGGCCGGCACCCAGCGCATCCTCCAGCGCCCGCAGCACGGCCTGGCAGACCCTGCCATCGGCAGTGCCGGAGCCACCGTCCAGGATGCCGAAGAGTGCGTCCGCCTTGGCTGCAAACTCCAGCAGCACGAAGCAGGTGAGGACGCCATAGCGGAAGATGTCGAAGGGCACGGCCTCGTGGTCGCGGCAGCGGACGCGCCCCAGCAGCGCTGCCGCCGCCTCTGCCGGCGCTCCCCCGTGCTGGCAGATGCGCTGCAGCAGCTCGCTGTACAGCCGCCCGTCCACGCCCGCCTTCCGCCGCCGGCCGCCGGCGCCCAGCACCTCGTAGGCCGCGCCGGCGTTGCTGTCGAAGGCCGTCCTGTCGCGACACGGCACAGACACACAGCTTCAGCCGCGTCCGCCCCGAACTACAGCTCCCGGCGTGCCCCGCGCGCCCGCCCGCCGCCGCGGGGCGGCCGCGGGGCACGCCGGGAGCTGTAGTCCGCCGCCCGCCCGCCCCCCCCCGCCGCCGCCGCCGCCGCCCGCACCTGTGGGAGTGGTGAGCCAGGCGCACGTACCACAGCGCCCGGGCCAGGCGCTGCGGAGGCCCCGGGAGCTCCGCGGAGGCCTCGCCCGCCGCACCGGGGCCACCCAGCACCAGCCGCTCGAAGTAGTCGGCCAAGAAGGAGATGGGTTCCTCGGGCCGCGCCTCCAGCACCTTCAGCAGCGCCTCCCGCACCATGGCGGTGACGCCGGCCCGCAGCAGGAACTCCGCCTCACTCCCCAGCCCACTGTCTGCCGCCGGAGCCGGGGCGGCGGCCGCCCGCCGCTTCTCGTACGCCGCCATCTTGGCTGCGGGCGGCGAGGGCCGGTTCCGCCGGGGCGGGAAGTTCCCGTGCCGCCATCTTGCACACGGGCAGCCAATCGATAGGCTCGAAGGCAGGCGAGCGCGCCGCCATTGGGCGAGGGCCGCCGGCCGCCATCTTGTGTGTGGGCAAAAGAGCCGCCCCAGCCGCCATGGCTGCTCCGGGCAGGTGCCCCGCCCTTAGCAACCGGACGCTGCCCGGTGACCTCCCCCCCCCCGCCCCGGTGACCCGCCCCGCAGCGCCGAACACTCGCTCGGGCTCCCAGCAGAATCACCCCTTTATTGGAGCGGTCCGCCCGCCGGGGCCCCGCTCTCTTCCGCCCGTGCCTGGGGGCTGCGCGCCCCCCCCGGGCTCCTTCTGACCCCTCTTGTCGAGACAGACGACCAGCCGCCGCGCTCCCACCCCTGAGGGCCGGCCCCACGGGGTGCGGCCCCGGGACCGGCCCCGTCGCCCTCCCGCCCCCGCCGTGGTGTGTCCGCGGGCGGCCCCGCACCGCGCCCCGCAGCGGCTCCCCGCAGCTCCCCTTAGCCCCTCAGCATCCCAGGCAGTGCCTCCAGCACGGGTGAGGCTTTGCTCGGGGGTCTCTGGGTGCCGAGGCGGGGGCTGCTCCCCTCTCCCACACTCCGCCGGGGGCTCCCTCGGCTGCTCCTTGTCCCGGGGCCGGGAGAGGCCGACGGTGGGAAGGGCAACAGCGGGGACTGGTCCGGAGGGTCCGTGCTAGGGTCTGCCCGCTCCTAGGGCAGCTCGTACTGAGAGCTGAATCGTTTCCACAGGCGACGAGACACGACGCCAGTCACGACCAGTCCCAACAGCGAGACCGTCGACCCCATGGCGATGGCAGGCCCCGTGCCGAACGAATCTGCAAAGACATGAGAAGGACCTGTGATGGCAGGCAGACCCTGCCCACACCAGCAAATGCCAAGGGGCGAGAAAAACACCCCCCGGCACTGAGCACGGCCCTAACGTGACTCACTGCGCCCCCAGCCCAAGCAATAGGGGGTACAGGAGAGGGGGGCTGCCAACCACCACTCACCGTCCGAGACCGTCAGCTGCAGACTGACCACCTGGGAGTGATGGCCGAGGAGGGTGCACTGGTAGTGGCCCTGGTGCTGGGGCTCGGCGCGGTCCAGCCGCAGCGTGGAGCTGCTGCCCGCTGCCTCCTCCCGGTACTGTGAGAGGGCCACGGGGGTCCGCAGCCAGCTGACGGTGGCATTCCCGGGGCAGCGCGCGCAGCACTCGATGCGCAGGGCCCTGCCCCGCGTCCCCTTGGGAGGCAGCGACCAGATCTGCAGGCTGCAGGCGGGCACTGTCCCCTTCGCAGACTGGGAAGAGCCCCAGCCGAGGCCGTCCGCGGCTGTCCCCCGCGCCTCTGCTGCGGGGCTCATGGTGCCAGAGCCACGGAGTGTGCCAGTGGCCGGCTGTGCTGTGGAGCTGCCTGTGATGAGGTCCCGGGGGGCCAGGCTGTCTGTGGAGGGGTGTTCTGTGGCAGCAGCCAGCTCTGGAACAGTCTCAGCATCAGGCTCCCGCGACGTGGTGGAATTGTGTGTGGGGACACTTGGCCCTGGGGTCAGCGCTGCGGTGGTCACAGGCCCAGCTGGGCTGGGGGTCCCCATCCAGGGGCTCGCTGGGGAGCTGGCCACGGCCACCGGCTGCTCCGACACAGCTGTGAACATGATGGGTCATGGAGCCGTAGCTCAGAGCAGGGACATGTTATCCCCACGGGGTGACAGCCTCCTCCTTCCATGCCACCCAACAGCCCCATCGTCCTCCATCCCACAAACACAGCCATCCCAGGCAGGGAGAGGCAGCGAGCAGGAGCAAACTGGCACCCCCAGCACAGCAATGGGGACAGGGACAGGAATGGGGACGGGAGATTTACAGAGCGGTGCAGAAGTGGGGGCTGGTCCCGTTCCAGCAAAGCTATTTCTAGCAGCGCAGGGCAATGGGGGTTAGCTCCAGCAGACGGGGCAGTGTGTAAGCCCAGGCCCCGAGCTCCCACCCCGGCACTCACCCCCAGCGCTCACGGCCACAGATGCCACCCGGGTGAAGGTCTCCTGCTTGATTCTCAGCGTCACCTCACACTTGAACTCCACCCCTTCTCCCACATCCTCCCCGGCCACCAGCAGCGTGGACACGATGTCGAACAGCTCCTCGTCGGTCTCTGTGGCATCGAAGTCTGCGTCCTGCAGCGCTTGGTCCCCCCGGTACCAGGTGAGCACTAGCCCCGTGAGTGGGTACACTTGCCCAGCCGAGCAGCGCAGGCTGGCTGGCTGCCCCGGCACCAGGGCACGGGGGGACACCTCCAGCTGCAGCGTGTCTGGGAGGGCTGTGAGAGGGATTGCAGCGTCAAGTGATTTTTGTCACCCAGGAGGGAACGGGCTGCCTTGGGCATCCAGGACTTTGCCAGGGAGGCGGTGAGGGACGGATTGGGGGAGGCTTACCATAGACTTTCAGGTCGACACTGTGCTGGTAGTGCTTCCCATGGCAGGTCCCCTGGCAGATCTTGGTGCCCGCCATGGCGACCACGGCGCTGCTGATGTGCAGGATGCTGTGGGTGGGGAAGGAGGTGATGCTCTCCAGGTTGGTGTCCAGCCCCTTCCACTGCACCGTGCCCTCCGCGCAGGCCAGGGAGCAGTTCAGCTCCACCGAGCCCCCGTACCACACCACTGGTGCCTGCGGCATCACCTCCAGCTTGTCAGCGGGTCGCCCTGGGCGGAGGAAGAGGGAAAGCACCGGGTTTAGGAAAGGGGAGAGTCACCAGAACCTGATTGTTTACAAGGCAAACAGGACACTGGTTCCCCCATTTGCTGGGAAGTGGATGGTCACGCTGAAGCTCCATCACCATGGTGGGGCGGGGGGGGCACTGCTCATTAGCGACAGCTTGTTAGTGTCACTAACGTCCCGGGGTGCTGGGAATTGGGAATGCCGCGAAGCTGACCTGCCCATGGCAATTGCCAGCCAGGGCCTGCCCCATCACAGCTGCAGCCGCTTGACCCACCTCAGTTCACCACTGAGATTTTCCAGCCATTTATTGGGGAAATGAACCCAAACGCCCCTTCCCCCCAGTTCTTATCCTCCACCAGCATTGCTGCTGTTGTGGCAGCGGGACCATGGGCGCAGGCTGGGACAGGGAGCACGTGGGACACAGCAGCTGCCGGGGCTTGGCGATGGGGACACCCTGGGACCGCGGTGCCACACGGTGCCACGCGGCAAAGCAAAGAGACCCATGGGCAGGGCCGGCAGCACAGGGGGTTAGGGGATCAGGACGGCTCCCAGCCCCCACAGCACTCACCGCTGCAGCCCCACAGCAAGCCGAGGAGGAGGAGGAGGAGGAGGAGGAGAGGAGCCAGCTTCATCACCCGCAGAGCCAGCAGTGGGGCAGGGCAGCAGCAAGGGCTGGTTTTCCTTCCTTCCCTCCTTCCAGGGAGCAAACGCCGCCAGCCGGGGCTGTCTCCTTCTGGCCGCCAGCCCTGTCCTCAGCTCTTCTTAAGGTCTGTAGGAACCGCCCCCACAAGCACCAGCCCCGGGGGCTCCACAACTTTCCAGCCTGAGGGGTATTTCCAGAGGGAGGATTCTGATTTTTTTTCCCCAAGTTCAGCTCTTGCACAACACCCAGCTCTGAAGCCAAGGGCTGTGCTGGCAGAACCAAACCCAGGAAAGCCCTTGAGCTGAAGGGTCCCTGCATAGCTGCAGGGGCCCCCATCGCTCCCCCCCCCCCCAGCCTTGCACAGGCACCTGCACCCCAAGACGTGGCCGAGATCCAGTTCCTTCTCTGGTTCTCACCAGGCTCCACCGCTGCCCCCTTGGAGCCCCCGGCAAACCGGCCCTTTTCACACCCCATGCACCAACAACTGAAATGACCCGTCGTGGGGCTGGCTGGGGATGTCTGTTTATGGGAGAGGCCATCTCAGACCCCGTGCCCCGAAACATGGGGTTTGGAGAGGTGCATCCCCAGGGCAGAGGGAGGGGGTGTCCAGCCCCTGGCTCAGGTGCTGCTCAGCAGGGCTGCAAGCAGCATTTATTCCCAGAACAGGGTGTTTTCAAGGATGCAAGTAGGCGCTCCTGGGAGGGTTGGTTTTATGGTATAGATGGAGAAAGTGTTACCACATAGAAGATGTTGATTACCCCATGTTGTCTAGCCCCAAGGCCCTGGCACGATGTCAGTGCCTGTCCTGTCTCATGGCAGGTCTGGCATTGCGTCCTCACTCCTGCCCAGCTCCCCAGGAAGAAATGGGCCTGGTTCTGCCCCATCCCATCCCGCTGGGCTGCGGCCGAGGCCAGGGAAGGTGCCAAAGGGCTGAGGGAGGGAACGTGGCCAGCCCTGCACCTCCTGTTGCAGAAGGTGGAAAGTCAGCGCAGGACCCGACAATTTCCCATCTCAGAACTCTCGGGAGAGGCAGATCCGGGCACTGGGTGGGTCGTGCATCCTTTCAGGAGGCCGGGTAATTATTCATCTGATGGTCCAGGAGGCCTCCCAGCAAGGGAAGTGCTCTGTAAACAGCTGCCATCAAATATGCACATTCAGCTGAAGAGGGGTGATTAATGGCTCTGGGGTTTTTGTTCCTTCCATCCTGTGTTAACAGAGCCACTTCCCGGAGTTTCCAGCGGCCGCCGGAGCCCCAGGACCAGCCCTGGCATGGGACAAGCCGCAGCCATGCACCGGCCAGGCTCTTCCCAGCAGCGAGCCTGGGACACCCAAGGCCACGCACGTGGTGCCGGAGTTTCACCTCCCACTCCCACATCCCGGATCCGCAGCGCCTTCTCAACGCATGAGGCCACCTCACCAGTCCCTCACCAGTTTCTCACCAGTATCTCACTGTTCCCTCTGGGGGTGACAGGCGAGTGGAGGCCCTGGGAGGTGATGGTCGGGGCTGCACACCCACGGTGGTTTGCAGACAGGGTACGCACCAAGCGATGAGTTACTTCATCAGGAGAAGGAATGCTTCCTAATGTCACCAAGTAAGAGTTTAAAGAAGGGAAATACCATCCTCGCAGACCACACTTGCTGCTACACCATTTTGGGGCAGGAGGGGCAAAATGCAGACAGTTAAAAAAATTAATTATCCAAGCCCTGGAAGCCACCCTTGGCCAGGGTCTGGTGCAGCTTTCTGCCAGGGCTCCTGCAATGATGGACCAACAGCTATGGGTCCAGGGTGGGATCAGTCCCAGTGTTTCAGTGCCCATCAGCTGTGCCGGCTGCCACGTCCCCCAGCACGGGGGGCTGCGGGGCTGCGCAGCCTCCGCCCGCGACCTGGGGACAAAGCGGCCACGGCCGTCAGGGACCGGACTGATGTTGCCACGAGAGGTGGCTCTCTGTGAGCTCTTGGCATCACACCCCAAGCTCCAGGTGTCCCTCGATATGATGCTTCAGGTGAGAAAAAAAAAACCCATAAATCAGCATCCGAGCCAGAGTCGACCAATTATGTAGTGGACCTTCCTTTTAAAAAGAAGTTTTCCTGGACTCGTCATCAGAAGATTAATAACTACCCGAAAGTCCAGCGCCTCGTGATGCATTTCCTCGGGTTTGGGGCTTGCTGAGCTCTTGACGCCATGAGTGCCCGTGAGCTGCCCCAGCCTCCGCTGCGTGGGCAGACGGGCAACACGGATTGCAGCGGAAATCGGAGTTATGGGAACCTGATAAACCTCCAACTCCACAGGGGCAGCTCTAACAGCATGGTCATCAAGCCAGGGAGAGGTCAGGGGACTCCTCCAAGCTCAGAGCAATGTGGCAGCAGGTCCCCAGGGCAGCTCTCGCAGGTTTGGCCCTGAGCTCCCCCTCACCCCCCGTGCAGTGACCCACCACCATTCCCCCTCCACCCCCTGCTCAGGGTCTCTCCTTTTAATAGTCTCAGAGGCCCCTTTCCCCCACCCTGGAGCCACGCACAGGCAGCTCCCCTGCCCCAAACACAGCAAGGGTGCAGACACAGGGCAGAGAGCATAAACTTAGGCACTGGGACTGTTTTCCACCCAACAGGAAACCTTTTGGGTCAGAGCAAGGGGAATGGCGGTTTTCAAGAATCAGAAGCCCGAACAGTTTTCCTGGAAGCCAATTGTGCTTCCTCCTGAGGGGCAGGAGCTGGGGGCTCTTGCTGGGCAATACTTGGTCCAGATGCATTTCTCAGGAAACAGAACAGTTCGTCGGGAAAAGGCAAAGCGCAGAGGGACGAGCTCTGGCCCCCAGCACAGGATAACCCCTCAGCAGCACCGGAGCCCCTCGGGCCGGGGTGTAGCCCTGGGTTGTCATCACTGGCACTTGCTGACGCCTGATATCAGAAATGACAGGGCTGGAGTAGGTGCTAATGAGGACAACTGGAAGGTTGAGGCTTTCTTCGGTGCAAAACACCGGAACATTCTCCCTGGGAGGCTCGTCCTGCAGACCGGCTCTGCCCTTCGCCCCATCGCAGCAATGCCAGGCTGCACGTACAACCCAGGTGACCCCCTCGCACGGAGGAGAGGCTGGACAACAACATGCTGTACTGAAATACCTTCCCTTTTTCTCCATAGAGATGCAAAATGGGACAAGGGTTCTTTCTCCAATGAAGATGAAAAAAATGAGAATGAACTCAAGTCCACAGGAAATAAATACAAAAGGCAACATAATATTGTGTAATAGATGGCTTGTGTTTCCAGCTCGTTACAGGATATCAGCCATCAAACACCAAATCCCATCCAAGATTGGACTTGGATGTGTTTATACTACTTGTGATTATATTGTTCATTTAGTACCATCCTCAAACACCAAAATAAGTGTTTAAATGAGTAAGATAAGATCTAAATTAAGCCTGGCTGGAAATGAAGACAATACAATCTGGGCTGCTAAAAAAAACAGCCCCGGGATGAGGCTCCAGTGGGGCAGCGCTGGTGGGGGGAGGCGGGAGCCCAGGATGGGGCGCAGGGACCGGGTCCCCCCTGCCCGGGCTGGGGGCAGGCAGCCCCAGCCCCTCGCCCAGGCCTGCAGCGAGTCACTGGCCCACGACACACAGCCGACTGCTCGCTACTCCGGAGCGTTTTGCTGCTGCCTCCTCAGCCCGATATTGTCAAAGATATCACAAAGTGCCCAAAAACCACTTCCTCCTGCACCAGCCCCCAGCCCCTGCGACCCGCTGCAGTGCCCGGCCTGGGAGAAGCTCGAGCTCTTCAGGTATGCATTAAAATGATATTTTAACATTCCAGTGGAAACCTGGATAGCTGTTTTACCATCAAGGGTGAAGGTGAATTGGTTCCAAGCAGTTTTTGTTCTAGAATAGTTTTAACTCTACAAGCTGTGCCCATTGGGGACAGGAGGTCGATTTACGAGGCCCAATGCCTCGTCTCTTGTAACAACCTCTTCAGTACAAGGGTCGAAACGTGGTGGGCAGAAGCACGGGACAGGCTTGGAAAGCTCTTGTAACACAGGCACAAGAAAAGAATTGAGGACAGAGAACTTCAACACAACAGGAAAGCAGCAGTTTAATAAATAATCCATCGGAGGGAGAGATTAGCCAGTTCTAAACACAACCTGAACTGAAATAAATACATTTCACTGTTAGCCTAAAAAAAAAAGATACAGAAATGTACGCAATAGTAAACTCTTGAGAGTGCAGAGGTACTGCCATTCTTCAGTGAATGTGGGCTTGCCACATGCCCGCACTTTTTAAAAGATAATCAAAGTTGTTAGCAGCCATTCAAGTGCAGAGAAAATAATAAAAATCAGTGAGGTAAAAAGTTACTATTTTACAAAAGTAATGGCAAAAGAGAAAGGAATGGTTTAACGCAGGTTTTTTAATGCAACAAGATCAGTTTAAACTCACTTGAACTGCTGCCATTAATACTGGAACTGCAGAAGAAGGGCAATTAAGCCAATTTTGCCTTATGTTTGGGGCATTGCTGTTACCAACCTGAATTAGAAGTCACTGCAGACAAATTTTGGGAATACTGATGTTAAACAGCCAGGCTTAGGCACTACACAGCAGATCAAGGGGATTTTAAGAAAAGGCTCTTTTAAAAAAGTTGCATTTTCAGATAAAGTAAAAAAAATTGGCAAAACTAGCTGAATGCTCCATCCAGATTTTCCAGTCTCCACATGGGACGCTGCAGAATTACCAGCCCTTCAGAATGAGACATTCTTCATTCAGGTCCGGTAATTTCAGCTCCGTCACCACTTGGCCCAAGTCCTCCTCTGTCACTTGAAGGCAGAACGGTGGGTGGGTCACATCCCTACGCTGATGGGGGGACAGTCACCTGGTGCTGAGGCCCCCACCGCACCAGGTGAGAGGAACCCCAAAACCGTGGAAGGGAACATCCCTGCCTGCTCCAGGAGCCAGCGGCACCTCTGGGGCGGGCGGCAGCCCTGGGGTGCCGGGGCAGGTCCGTGTGCCGCGGGCACCCGTGCTCGGGGCAGCCCCGCACCGGCACAGCGAGGGACCAACGTGCCGGTCACCTTCGCGCTGGTAACGGTGCCGCAGCGTGCCCGGTGCCGAGCCCTCCTGGCAGCCAAGAAGCCCCTTTCGCACAGCCAGGCTGCGGCTGGGACCTGCGGCATCGCCCGGCCCCGAGCTCAGGGGCTGCCGCCGTCACCAGCACGCTCCAGGTCCAGTACTCACGAGCCCGGGGACGTCGGCATCCCTGGAAACGCGGGTGTCACGTCGGGACGGACGGGACCGAGGGGGGAAGCTCACCTAGACAGCTCTGTCTGAAGGGAAGGAGAGGCTGAGACGCCGCAGGCAGCAGCAGCGGCAAGAGGGAACAGGACTAGAAACACATCGGTTTCAATAAGCTATTCAATAAAGGAAAGGACTTTTAAAAATATATCTCTATAATACTTTATATCATATAAATTATGCTCATCTTTTTTGTAATGCTCTGCTATATTCTACCCGTGAAGCTCCAAGTGCCCCAGTGTGAATGAGGTGATTCAGTGTTTCGTTTCACTTCATTCCTGTCTGAGGGACAAACCTACTTCAGTTCATTTTAATACAGTGTAAATAAATGAAATGCCAGATGTACTTTGTAAAGCTCCAGTCTAATAAAGGCATTTTTGTGAGCAATACAGAGTTGGGATTGCTGCCTGGAAGTTTAAGTGACTAAATTTCCTTCAGGAAAGAAGCTTGCTGTGCACGCACAGTACAAACCATCCAATAATGTTTGGGAATTTGGAGCCCGTATCACCACAAGCAGCTTGGGAAAACTGGAATCATTGCAGGTCCCTGAGACTTTCTGCTAGCTCTGTTCTTCAGTCCTGCAATTAGATCCATATCGGCAAACCTTCCATGTCCGAGGTGGCTGCCCTCTGCATGGACAACAATTACTCTTACAGTTCTGATCACAGGATCTGGGTACTAGGCTAGATTAATGCAAAACAAACTGAATTATTTAATTTAAACATCCACCTCCAATAACTAACTGGTCCAGAAAATTGGTAAACAGACATTATATTATTAGTTCAGCCCAGTCTAGGCAGGCAGTGGTTTCAAGCTGTTAATATCTGACAGGCGTTCAAGAGACCTACACAAAATTGCAGCTCTCGATCTGTGCAAAGCCATTATTAACCAGCCCTGACGCTGACAAGCGCATGGAGAGGTCAGACGCTGCAGAGAGCCTGGAGCTCACATCCCCTCATGCTGCTGGAGCGGGGCGAGCAGCGGACAGACAGTGCTCTGCCCGGCTGGGGGTCAGGGACTGAGCTCCCCAGGGCCGTCCAGGTGATGTTTTCCACTAAACCCAGGGGCAAACGGCATTTGCAATCACCACTGCACCAGCACAGAATCAGCCACCGTCACCTGTCTGCAAAGACCCAAGACATTATGTGACAGCACTCCCTCCCTTTTGGCCTTTCTCCCCCAGGTTACCTGTCCCAAACCTACAGAGAAGGGATCCCAGCCAGAGGACAACGGCTGCCACACATACCCTGCCCTGAGACAGGACTGTTTCTGGCCGCTGTATCCTCAATTCCCTTAACAACTAATTTCTTAAGTGTTCCCAGTTTGGTCGTTACTTCCCCAGTGATTGCTCAAAGCCATTACTTCTGATCTCACTCAGATGAGAACAATTGTTTCCTGCCCTCTGCCATACCTCTACATATCTATAAACAACCAAGCATTCCCTATAAGTTTGTCTTAGCTGCTTCCACAACACTCAAGTTCAAGTATCTGCTGCTCTTTTAAACAGAGCTGAACCCTGCAGCAGAGCTTGAAATTCCAATTTTCAACAAAATGAAAGCCTTCACAATAGGCTCAGAAATGCTACATGGAATCCAAACCTGTAAGTTCAAATCATTTGCAATCATCACCATCAGGATCTTTTGGACTGAGGGGAAAAAAAAAAAAAAACAAGCTACAGTCATTATCTTGGTTTTAATATCAGATGGCAAGAGCCTGGGGAAAAAATCAACATGCTTTATAAAAGTGCTTAAGATAAACAGCTATTTCTTTCACCTTTCTCTCAGGAAACTACATTTTATCAAAGTGCTTAGCAGAGTTTAGCTGTTTCTCCAACCTCCCAGAGAACTGAATTTTCTAAACAACCCCTACAATTCCAGAAGATTTCTGAAAAATCCTTCTACCGACTACCTATGGAGGTAGCAACAGACAAATGTTACATTAGTGTAACAAAAAAAGAAAAAAACAAAAACAGAAATACAAATGTTGTTGACCATCTAAGCCTTTGTAACTCACATAGTTGCCCTTCTCTCCTCTGCCCATTCTCCCTTGTGTCAGTTGCAACTTTACTTCTTAATTTTTCATGTCTTCATCAGAACATTAGGTCAGTAGATTTTGGGGGGCTGGCAGTGTCCAAGTTTCACTTGGGCCAGAATGGGCAGATTGGTCAGATCCCCAGGCAGCGAGGATCTGCTCACAGTGGGCTACACTGCCTGCTCTTCACACACACGCTTTGTACTCGGCGTATCAGCACAGCACGGGCTGCACAAGCCTCCCCCGGGCCGCCGCCAGCCAACCCAGCCGCGACGGGATCCGCGAGTACCACTGTGTAAGGGGATGGGGGCAGGTAACAGATGCCTCGTTTTACTCTGGCTGGCAACTCAGTTAGTTCATGTTAGAACAAAGACAATGCTAACTCCTTAATTTTTTACTGGCGAGTTGAGTATTTGGCAGGTAACACCATGAAGTTCAGTATTCATGTACAGGGGCAGGTTTGCTTTAAAGAACTATCCCTTCATGTGGAGCAGTTCAGTATCTCCCCTTTCCATCAGCACCAGATGACACAATTCTCTTTTTGCACCAGCTGGACATATTTGGCTTGAAGGGAAACCATGTCCCTTCTCCTTAGCGGTACAGTCCGTTACCTCATTTCTTCTCTCCCCCCACCCTCTCTCCCTGAACTCCCACTGGCTAAGTCCATCCTTGATCTGGAGTTGAGACGCAAGCCAGGTCCTTCTCTCCCAACCTCATACGCTGCTGTCCTCAAGCAGGGGCTCCTTGCCGTCCGATCCGCCGGCCTGCGGGCCATGGGTGTGGGTCTGGGCTCCGTTACTGTGCTTCTTGTGGCTGCTTGACCTCAATGCAAGGTTGTGCTCTGGAATGAACAAGGCCACCAGGAGCGACAGCAGGACAGAACAAGCCCCAAACAGGAACGGAGGCCCTGGGATAATGCTGCTCTGTAGGGGGAGACAGAGGGAGGGTTAATGCTCAAGTGCAAGGGTGTAAGCAGCCCAGCAAACGGAATGATAAAGCTGAACAGGTTACCTCGTCTGTAGGGTTGGCCATGTTGGGTTTGGAGGCCTTACCCAAAGTTTCCACCTCAGCCATTTCATTCAACTCCACGTGGAAGAGATAGAAGACAAAGCCATAGAGCGCTGGCCCCAGGCCATTACACAGACCTCGAATTCCAGTTATCATCCCCTGCACCACACCTGGGGACAGAGTGGGAGAAAGGAAAATATGCCTTCAGCTTTCTGGATGCTTACATATTTAAAGAGAGGACCAAACATTCAGATCTGGGTTGCCACACACTCTACAGATGAAGTGGTTAGCTGGTGATTAGCTTCACTCAGTATCAGGTTTTACAAAAATCAGTCATTCTGTACTTGCTTTTTTGGTGAATAAAACAAGCACGGACACATCAAGCAACCATTTCCAACTGAACTGGAATTTAAGGCAGCCAAGTCTGAGGACTCGGGGTCAAACAGTGAAGCAGACAAATGATTAAGCAGCAGCCTCCCCTCTATCTCAGACAGGCGGCACTGAACACCTGTGTGCATCATTTAAGAATTCCCTCCCAAAGCATCACGTATGATCAAAGGCTAGAGTGTCAATACTAGTAAGAATAAAGCGACACTCCGCAGTTGGCACCGATGTTGCCGCCCACCCCTCCACCACCAACACTGAGAACGTGAACGTGCGTCAGCTCAAGCGCCCGCTGGGACGAACTCGCCTGTCAGACAGAGCCCTGAGCAGCTCACCTTGTTGGTCGGGGTCCGCGTTCCGGGACACCATGGCACTGATGGCGGGGAAGGTGATGCTAGACATGGCGGCCACAGCTCCTGCTGCCCACATCATCCTCGGAGAGAAAGAGGCCGCAGTCAGGAGGCAGGCTGCCGAGGGCCAGCCGCAGACCCGCACAGCGGCAGGGCAGCATCTGCCTCTGAGGGGGGACAGGGAGCTGCCACCGAGGGAGACAGACGCGGGAAAACTCTTACCAAGGCTGCGATCCGAAGCCGTACCAGGCAAGCTGCAGGATCTGAAAGCCCAGTCCCAACAGGATGGTGTTTTTATTTCCTATCGAACGCATGAGAATTCCCAACACTACTGTCTGGAAAGAAAAACATGCTTTCAAAGTAAGTGCGAAGAAGGATGACAACACTGGAAGACAAGAGAACAGGAATCCAAGGGAACTCGTGCTGCTGTGAGACTGGCCACCATGCACATGCACTCCCTCCACACTCGTAATGTTGTTAGAAACCAGCACGTCCCTGTGCATGGCAATCAGAACACAAGCTGCAGAGTTTTAGAGAACAACATGGGGCCACCCCACAGTTTACCTCCGTTTGTTACTCAACAAACAGCTACATTCCAAAGATCAGAAAGAGGGACTACAGGTAGCTGTGCATGGGTCCGACGGTGTCTGTGTGGCCACAGGGATTCTGACAACTCACCAGCCCTGATTATCAGAAATTTTGGGCATTCTTGTAATGAGACAGCTAGACTCAAGACAGAAGTTGCTTCTCACCTGAGCCAGTATAGAGAGAATTCCAACTACACCAATAAAGGCTGCGACAGTCTCAGAGGAAAAACCAATGACCTGTGAAAAGACCAAAGAGGGACTTTTCAGGAAAGAGATTCGTACCATACGAGAAAAGCCACTCCATCAGTGCTGCTGATGTTTACTGACATTGCCTATCAGGTGCTTAAGCATTAATCAGCCATACCTTCCACCTCCTCCCTGCTGCCACAGGAATAAAAATGGAAGATTTTCCTCTGGCTGAAGAAAAAGCTTTAAATCACTGTGCTCACCTTAAATGTGACACAGACAGGATGGACAAGCAGACCACCAGCAAGAAGCCAAGCAAGGGTCCTGGTGGTGCCTACAGAGTGGCTGACAGGCTCCTGCATTTTTTAGGAAAGCTGGAACAAGTCACTATTTCTTATAGCTTCAACTTTACAAAGCTATTGGCCAAGATTAGATTTCTCAGGACATGCAACTAAGATAGTATTTGTAGTCTGGGATTTCCTGCATTCAGAGTTTTCCCTCATCACAAGAGACTGACCTGTCGCAGGTACAGGAAAAAGCTGGAGTACTGGCCGGCTTCAGGAAGATAGGAGAGAAAGACAGTGATACAGATGAGCAGCACTGTAGAATCCTGACCCACTTTCCGCAAGGACTGTAGGGAAGGGCGGTGAGGAATGAAAAAAGTTAAAAAGGCGTTAATATAATTAAATATTCTCCAGGTGTAGAGACAGCAAAACCAAGTGCTTAAGTCACCATCTTATATCCAAGAGGTGAATGGTTGAATGAAACCAGAACAGCATTTCAGAGGAAAATGCAAACACTGCCACAACACTCCAGACCAGGTATGTAATTGCATCAACTTACACCAAAGAACAAGGAATTTCTACCTTTCAGTTTCTCAGATTTATAGTCAAGTGCTTTTGATCAGAATTGTTTTTGCCTCAGACAACCAAAATAATCTTCCTAGCAAGCAAAGGCAACGTGAAACTGTGCGAAGCTCATCATTAGCAAAGGTCCTGAGAAGCCAGGAACACAAAAGACTTCTCCTGACACAGTACAATTGCTAAGTGATGGAATTTGTATTCAAACAACTGGCACATTTCCACCAAAAAACGCTGTTGCTTCAGGACACCTGGAGCTGCTTTTAGATGGTTTGTAACTATATGAAATTGGTTAGAAGCTGCTAGACAGCTTTAGATATGTGCAGCCTGCCATCATTTGGATGCTGTACCTTCAACGGGGTTAATCCAACCCTTACATCCTTCACCTTTTGTGAAATGCATCTTCCTTTTGTGATAAATTAGCAGAACTAAAGCAAATACAAGCATTACCAGCATGCGGAAAAACAGCAGCAAGATTACTTACAGCGAATGGGTCTGCTTGCTCCCAAGAGATCGGAGCTCCCCAAGAGACCGGGCGCATCTCTTCCGGCAGAGACTCTGGCACGGCCAGCAGGATGAAACCAATATCCAGCAAAGCAACACCAGAAGCTAGCACAACCACCAACGTATCACCATAGGCTTGGGAAAGGTACGCGCCAATCGCTGGGCTTGTGACCAGACTAGCAGCAAACGTGGCCGACACCTGGAAGCATAAAACATTAATACAGTCTCTTCTTCCTACAGCCTATTTTCTCCTCCAGAGTAACCCAAAGGTACTAGTTTTGCCATCTTTGATGGAGATATTCCAGGTGAACAGGGACTCCTGTAGACAGAAGAAGGACATATTCTCTTGGTGCAATCTAGGCTAATTTCTAGAAAAGGGATATTAAAGCTATCCTAACAATTCATATACAATACTTTCAGTAGCCCTACAGAAAGGGCCTGATCACAGGCTACTTGTATACATGCCAGCAACACAGTCTGACGCCTTCCCTGGTGCAAAGCAGCTCACAGAGCAGGCTGGTTTAAAGGCTAAGTGACAACACAGCCAGTATTCAGATCGCCTTCTCCCTCGGTGCTAAATCACACACAGAACAGGGAGACTGTATTATTAGTGAAGCGCATATCATCTTTACACTGATACCACCTGCAGGCTTGTCAATAAGTCTCCCACCCTAATTTTATTCCTCTCCTACCTTGCAAAGCCCCAAGTACTCCTTTCAAGAGACACGCCAGTTATTCAGCTCCTTACCAAGCCATACGCCGTGCTGCGTTCATGCTCCTGTGTGATATCCGCCACATAGGCAAAAATCACAGAAAAGGTGACAGCAAAGACTCCAGACATGGAAATGACAGCAAAATACCACCTGAAACAGGCGTTGCCAAAGGCAGAGTTAGAAAGCAACCACAGAGTAGTCCACAACTGCTGAATTAGAACCTCTCCCTTCTTCCTTCACTCCATCCTACTTCATTGCACCAGAAAATGCTCAGGAGCACCGAGCTTCAGTCTGGTGGCCCATGGAGTTTTATAATCATTTTCTCCAAGCAGAAACGAACCAGCAACATGCACTAATAGTGACAATGCACCTATGAGGAGAAGAGACACCAAGAGAGGAAAGACAGACTCTCTCTTCCCAACACCAAACCCTCTGGTAGAACCAGACAAGTGAATTAGTCTCTAGGCTGAGCATCCTTCTCCACCAGATGGACTCTTCCATCTTATCCTCAAATGCAACACCCACAAATCCCCCATCGTTCAGTCTTACACTCACTCGTCTCCTCAGAATCCCTTGGTTATAACAAGAGTAAACTCACCATGGACTGATCTTCATAAGGGGAATTGGTGCACACGTGAAGAAGACAGTGAGGAGGAGGAAGGATTTCCTGCCCCAGACATCAGAGAGAGCACCAATCAGTGGGGCACTTAGAAAAGAAAGCAGACCCTAAGACAGACAGACAGGATGAGAGAGAAATCCCTCAAATTCTGATTGTCAATAGCAACAGCTTTTGACAACATCATCTAAAGATAAAAAGATGATGAGACAATTCATTTCTAATTTCTACAAGCAGGCAATATTGCCAAAACAAAACAGTTTGTTAAACTGCTCACATCCTTTTAGGGAGGGAAAAAAAAAAAAATTCCTCGATCAGTAGGCACTGCTAGACACTCCAATTACTTCCCGTTCTCTGCCACTGCTCAGCCTGCAGCTGTGGCCTTCCCAGGCACGTCTGTGCAGCAGGAGTTGCCCTGCCAGTACCTAAAAAGATGTTGGCACAGCTCCATGCCATTAACATCTGCTGCAGTTCTAGGGAAAGCTTTCTCTTTTTGATGGAGACAAGGCAGACCCGACGAGATGCCAAGGCCATTAAGCACAAATAAAATTGTTCAATGCCTTTGAACATCTTTCAAACCCGAGACAAGAAGGGAAGAGCCCTTAAGTGTATACGGGAAGTATATGGCTTCAACTCACACTGAAGTAAACCTCTCTGGGGCCATTTTCTGAGATCCTCTTGCCAGAGCCAGGGCCTAACAATCTGTTTTGCCACATTCTGAGTCAGAACACATGGCTACTGCTTGTTTGGTACAGTTGCCTCCAATTTTGCTCTGGGAATGCTGGTCTAGTCCAAACTCACTGCACCCAGTTATCATGCGACAGCATACTCTCCACTTTCTGTCTGGTGAGAGCCCACTAAGGCCTATTTAGTTTCAATTTCTATTACCTACAAGTTCAGATATCATTGATTTTTTTATTTTGTTATGCTCCTGGATACAGGGCTGATCTCATGCTGATTAGAATATTTTCAGCTGAAACACACAGCTGTTGTAGCCCCAGACCCACACGGACAAGCAGCACATTGTTAATACTGCTCAGTGAAATCAACCACATAGGCCACCCCATGTCTATGTTCTGCCAGTTCTTCATTTTGCATTAGGTTTGCCAGTAGCACCCCAAACTGAAATATGAACATTTATCTGTCAAATACTGGTTGACATCAGCAAATGACACAGATTACAATGGCTTGCCACTTCTTGCACTGATTGCAGACTCACATGAAAGACTGGAAGGAATATTCCTTACCTTGACTCCATGAATCAGGCCATTCATCAAGAATGTATGCTGAGGAAAAGTCTGGTGTAACACCTAGGAAAAAACAAAAACAAAACAAACGAACAAACAAAAAAATAAACCCAGAGCTACCAACTTTGCAAAATTTCCATAAGCACCTGACAGCTGGATGCCTGGAAGAACACAAAACAGGGAAAATGGGAAATACACCACTGACAATGCCACTGCTGTATCTATGTGAGGAGCTCTACGTCCCCTCTCCAACGTGGACAGACACTTTCTTTAATACTTCCCAGGTCTATAAATTATTCCAGCATGCTTGGGCAAGGGTAAGATGATCTGAAACACACCATCCCTGCACCATCCGATTTCCCTCCATTTTTACTTCATGTGACCACACAACTTTTCTGCTGTTCTCTCCCCCTTTTTGTACTGTCTACATACTCGATTTGCATTTTATACTACTAAGCTAATACTGTATTTCTAAATGCCTTTGTATAAACAAAGACTCCTTTTGCATAGTTAGCTAGATATCAGAGATAAGGTCAAAAACATGCACATCACATTAGACTTCAATGTGAGCTGACATACAACCACCAGAAATTTATCTTAAAAGGTGGTAATTCTTCCTGAAATTCCCAAATCAGAAGTTTACAGCTCCTTAAATAAAGGCAAATATCCAAGATGAGATCTTAAGGTTCTTTAATAAAGCTATCTCTCTGCACTTTACTGTGAAGTTGCCTTTGCTAATCATAACTCAGTCAAGTCCTGAACAAGTTACTGATGGGCTCCCCTAGAACAAGCATGACTTGGTGTAGCAAGGAATTGCTAGGAAATTGTCTCTGTGCTTTGACACCCCAGACAATAATGGTGGTAGTTCAACAAAAGTCTCTATCCCTAAATAAGTCAGAGTAGGGTAAAAGGTGTGGTCTTTGGATAAAAAGTCAAAGCTTTGCCCAACTTTCTTTCATTAAGTTCCCAAGTGCACTTGTTTTTTAAAATACCTAAGAGATAAAAGAGTAAACTACCAGCAAATTCTAGTAATTTCTGGTTAGGTCCTTCACTCCTGCCTTCTTGAAATCCTCCAAAAGCTTTCGGAAATCTAACTCATGCTTTGCTCCAAGTTAAGCTACAATAACTAATAAAATAATTGCCTGACTCCACAAAAAAATTACTATAGCTCCAGCTTTTTCAGGTACAAACCGTTACATCTTGGTTTCTACTTTCAATACTCCAAAGGCCTATGTCAAGATCTCTACCCTCACCAACCCAAGGTGAGGGTAGAGCCCATATTATTCCCAGCGAGACTTACTCACCGTTAGCATCGGCGTGGTCAGCAGCCCCCAGGCAAAGAACTCCAGGAAAATAACCACCACGGCGTGGTACACACTGGGCTCTCCAATCCCCTGTCGCTGCAAAACAGAGCTCTGTACGTAAAAAAAACCACTTATCCTGACCTGCGATAGATTTGCATCGCGTGGTTGGACGCTGGAACATCAACTCTGTCCTAAGCCACTCCCAAGGCAATTCAGTGCTGTCTAGTGCAGACGAGCTCACACTGCACCGTCTCTCCGTCCGGGGTCTACCAACACATGCCTCTCCTACAAAGCTGTTTGTTTTTTGTCCAAGATGGAATTTTTTTGTCCAAGAACTAATATCTTTGATACCATTATGCTTCCTCTAAACATGACCAAACTTATCATCCTTTCAATCCTCGCCTTAAGGACTTGGAAATGAAACACCTCAGTTCACTGCATATTTTGACAGCAGTACATGCAACACCCCAGAGAAGTCTCGAGGAGTTTGGGAAGGCAGTTTTACTCCTCAGCACCAACTCCATCTACCCAGCATGGCGGGAAAGGCACTGTCCTTAGATCAGCTGTTAAAAAACCCCACACCTCAAGGCCTTGGCTCATCTTTCTTCCCGTAAAGATTTCTCATGGCACCTTCAGGGCAGCATTTGTTCTGTCACTTTTCCAAGTGCCAAGCCTCAGCTGCTAGCCCAGGAGGGTTTTCCTGCCATGCAGGACACACCTGCAAAGCCACAAGCTCACAAGGAAAACAAATCACAAGGAATGGGAGGGAAGCACACAAGCTTCAGCCTACCTAGATCAGGGAACCACACATGTCAAACATTTAGTAGCACACTGTGCTGTTCCACAGGAACCCGTCTTATGTTAGCAAAGCACATGATCTGAACTCACCAAGAAGTGTAGTCTAGCCCTGATGCATTATTAATAAAACCACCCAAAATGTCTGCAATCCCAGCAATTTATACAGTTTCCAGTAGCTTGATGACTATCCAGAAGTTAAAAGAACTTCCATCAGCTGCACAAATCTCCCATCCAAAGGGATATTGGATTTGGTATGGGAAACCTCAAATCCACAGGCATTTCTTCTAGGCTTAGAGAATGGACTTGTGTATTAATCTCCTCCCAGCTGACTAACATTTCTACACTGTGCTGCTGAGATATGAATCATTTAATGAACCAGACCAAAGATGTATCTGTATCAGTATCCTGCCTCCAGCATCCATGACTGACAGATTCTCAGGTACAGGAATTTGAGAAACTTGGCATGCAGAGAGCAATCTTTTACTCAGTAACATCCTCCGAGGTTCTGACAGAATAATACTGCATTTCAGGTAACTAATACAGCTGTACGTTATTTGAAATATGAGAGAAGGCAGCAAGAGACATTATTCTGCTGAAGCGTTGTTTATGCTCACAGACTCTATTAAAACTGTCTCCTGCAGACAGGCTAAGTCTGCTTAAAAAACAAATCAACAGCATCAACACGAGAGGCACTCTACCCCAGGGGGACACAGTCATTAAAAGAACTCTGTTTTATTGCACACAAATGAGATAATGTTTTGCAGCACAGGGAGAAGCCCCAGGGCAGCACAAAGCCAGTAATTAAGACTACAGCTGTCATTACCCACCTTGCTCCAGAGCAGCCCTCTCCTCTTCCTTTCATCATCCCTCTTTTACCCACTCAAGCAGTTAAACATTTCCACCACATGACTGCAACAAAATTAACAGCTAATCTCTCTTGATGGAGTAGGTCCAGATCTAACCTGTGCCCAGCTTCACATCACTCCTTCCACTTATCAACCACTTCATTGTGCTAGAGTCCTCAAACAATTTAGAATAAGTCATCTCCTTCGGAGTACCCGGTCACCCTGCTGAACCACTCCTCTAGAGGATGCACGGCTGCTACCGCAAAATATAGAGATGCTACAGGAAAAAGGTAAAAAGATGCAAAGAGATAGCAGGAGCTCGCAGGACAGGTGAGCGCCTTGTGAGCAGGGCTACCTCCAGAGAGAAGGCCCAGAGGGAAAGGGGCTCGCAACCATCTTTAGCTCAGGTTCACCCACTTCAAAGCTGCCTTTGCAGAGGCGTGACGCTGCTGCCTGCGCTGCCCGGAGCCTCTGCAGCGCTGTCCCGGTCCCGCGGCACAGAACCCCGCTCAAGAACGGCACATACCCGGCACGGATTTGGCCCGTCGTGCCCGAGGCGGACGCGAAACGGCAGCGCCGGCACCAGCGAACGGACGTGGCCGGTGACACGGGGCGGAGGGCAGCCCCGCACCCCGAGGGGGGCACGGCCGCACTCTCCCACGCCCCGGGAGGCCCCGGCGCCGCGCTCAGCGGCCGAGCCGCGCGGGGCCCCGCTCCCGGGGCGAGAACCCGGCACCCCCGCCCACCCGGGGCCCGGCCCCGCTCCCCGCCCGGCTCCCGGCGCCGCTCAGCCCCCGACAGCCCCCAACGCCCCGCGCTCACGCCGGCCCCGTCCCGGATGACGATCTTCTTGGCCAGCAGGACGCTGCGGTTGAGCCGCTTCTTCTTCTTCTTCTCGCCGGTCATGGCGCCGCCGGGCCGCTGCCGTTCGCCGGCCTCCGCATCTGCCCCATCCTCCCTGCGCCGGGCCGCGCCGCGCCGAGCCCGGGCCCGGTCCCGGTCCCGCACCGGGCGGGGAGCGCCGGGCCCGGGGCTGGGGGCGAGGGCGGCGGCCCGGCTGGCGGCGGCGGAGGGCGGCCCGCCCGCAGGCCCCGCCCCTCCCCGCCCTCGTCGCCCGGACAACGGCGCTGACGGACACACCCGGAGCCCAGCTCCTCCCGCCCCATTGGCTGCCCCGCCTCTGCGCTGTCGGCCGAGATGCCCTTTGATTGGCTGCGGGGCAGGGAGGGGCGGGGCGGAGGCGCGAGTGAGCGGCTCGGGGCGGCCGCTTCCGCCGGGCCGGGAGGGCGGAGCCAATGACGTCACGGCACCTGCCGAGGGTGGCGCAAGGAACGATGGGACGCGGTGGGCGGAGCTGCTCCCCGCCGGGGCGGGGCGCGGGGGATGACGGGACGTGCCGGTTACCCCCGTCGCCCCCGCCGGGGCGGAGCGGCCGCTGCCCCATCCCCGCGTTAACGCCAGCCGGTGGCTGGCGGAGCTGCAGGCGAGCCCGAGGGACGGGGCACCCGCGAGGGTCCCGGTCGCTGCCCCGGTGACCGAACAGCGGGGACTGTCCGGTGCCGCTGCAGGACCGAACCGGCCGCAGCGAGTCCCCGCGGCGGGTCCCGGTCCTTCTCGCTCAGCACCAGCGGGGTCCGGGCGTCTGGCAGCGGTGACTCGCGCGGCACCGGGGCTGCTGAGGGCTTGTGCGGGCATTGGCACAGCCCCTGCTCGGTGGCTGTGGGGGCTCTGCCCTCGGCGCCGGCGTCTGGCACGGCTTTAGCTGGGGTGCTTGGAGCCCAGCACCTTCCTGGGACACGCCAGGCTGGGGAGGTGGGGGGCTGGAGGGGCTCGGGGCTGCAGCGGGAGAGCAGCACCCACCTCGGCCCCGTGGGTGTGCCCGCATGTGTTCTCCTCTCCTAATTAATCCTTCACGGGTTGGAGAGCACTTGATGTTGATCCCCCTAATACAGTGCCAGAGGTGTAAGGGGATTAATTAGGCACAGTGTAGAAAAGTTATGCAAATCGGGTGCCTCTGGGGAGTGGCAGGGTGGGGGGCCAGCCCTTCCTTCTCATCCCCTCCTCACTCGAGTTGGCTGTCCCTCAGTCTGTAGGTTTGTAGGGCCACCAAGTAGTGTGTGCCCTCAGCGGTGACAGGGAGAGCCTGGAGGGATCTTGTGGTGGGGCAGGATGCTGCCCCGCAGGGTGATGAGATGCTGCAAGGCTCCCCCTGCCCACAGAGGAGGCTGCGATCCAGCCTTTATTCACGGAGGCTTTCCTTTAAGTAATGATTAAAAGCAGCTGGGGGAAAGCCCTCGACGTGAAGCTCTCTCCAGAGCCTGAGGCCAGCAGCAAATGAGATGAAAATAATCCCCTGGCCTCCAGGGACTTGTGCAGGAGAGGAGAGCAGCTCCATCTCTCCAGGGCAAACACGCTGCTGTGGTGGGTGTGGGGCCGGGGGGGCTGCTGCTCTGCACCCAGCTTTGCTCCGTCCCCATGCCATGGGGTGCCCGCGGTCCCCGTAGTGCTCTGCACATGGCATGGGGTAAGATGCCCCTGACCTCCACGGGGACCTGGTGCCTTCCCTCAAGCTGACCCCAGGAATGTGCACCCAGAGCACCCACACCAGGCAGGGACACGAATCCTCCCCCCACCCAGGCCCCGCTGGAGCCGCCTTGAGAGCCTGGAGAAGCCTGACTTGTTCCAGTGCTCTGCAGTGGTTTGAAAACAAAACCAAGGAGGGCGGAGAGAGGAGAGAGCAGAGAAGCAGTTCCTAATATGGCAACAGCAAATGTAATTCTATTACCTTGATTTATTGATCGCACTTAGAGCAATTACTGGCTTTCACCCCATCACCTGCCAGGGAGCAGGAGACAGCCAGGAGAAGGCAAGACAAAGGCGGCTGCGTGTTGCCCAGGGCACGGCCGGCCTCGGGGGAGGCTCGGGTTCTGTTTGTGCCTGGGGGCGTAGGGGGAGAGTTCCTGCCCGGCTGCTTTGCAGTGGGGTGGCTTCCACCCAGCCAAGGAGGCTCCTCGGGCAGCTGGAGCCAAGCGCATCCGCTCTGCAAAGAGCCCACGATGGCAGCACCACGGGGACCTGGCCTGAGCCTTACCACCAGTTTGGCAGTGGAAGGGACGCAGGGCTGGGCCGGGGTCTCTGGGCAGAGCAGCTGCAGGCCCCTCACCCCTCTGTGCCCAGCCAGCCTGGAGTGGGGGGGTCAGCACCCATGGCAAAGCCCCAGAAACACCAGGGCAGAGGGTGAACTCGAAAGGCAGAGGCAGCTCTGGGCTTGGTCCCCGGCTCTCCCAGGGCCATGATGGGCAGCTGGTGAGGGTCATGCTGGAGCATCACCCCATCCCCTCGCTGGGACGCGGCTCACACCCTCTGCCTCAGCTCGGCTCCAGGGGCACCAGCAGAAAACCCCGACAGGGATCCCCGGCTCTGTCCACGCCATCCCAGCACCCATCTCACCCGGGGGGGGACACACGGCCAGGCCCCTCTGTGAGCCCCACGGATGCTGTGGGTTGGTGCCAGACAGGAGGTCTCAGTCCTTTGAACTGCTGGAAAAAAAGTAGCAGCCCCAGGGCTGGAGGAAAGGCGACTTACTTGATTGAGGTCAGAAAGTCCGTTTAAGGATTTTTTTTTTTTTTTTTTTTCCCCTGCTTGCTGCAGATACTGGCAGAGAAGCAAGAAAATGATTGTGCTTTTTACTGCCTGAGCCCTCCAGACAGTTATAAACAAGCAGGAGCCAGACCTGGCTTTGGAGGCAGACGAAATCAGAGTGAACAAGAGCACTGGGCTGGGCGGCACAGAAATAGGGCAGCCCCGTTGTGCAGCGAAGCCTGGCAAAGCCTCCCACCCCCCCTCCCAGCCAGCCCCGGGCTCCCTGCAAGCGCTTCCCGGAGATGAAGATGTGGAAAGAGCAGAAAATGTCCCCGCTGCGGGGGAGGGCAGTGGCCTGGCGCTGCTGGTCCCTTCCAGAACCTGCCTGCTCGTCGCTCCGGCTAATTGCAAAGCCCGAGCAGGGACCAGCCCGTGCACCAGCCTTACGGCTCCCAGGGGGAAGGCGGCAGCAGCCCCTCCGCCCCGCTCCGCTGCCCCCCCAGCCCGTTAACCCCGCAACGCCTCCGGCCAGCCTGGGAAACCGCGGGGCCGCGGCGAGGGGGCTCGGCCCGGGGTGCAGGAGCGCGGGTGCCTCCGACCCCACGGGCTGTGTTTGCGGGGGGCACACGGATGCGGGGGGGGGGGGGAGGGGTGTGTCGGTCCCATCCCCCGCTGTCCCCGGATGCCGGTATGGCGCCTGCCCCTTCGGGGCTCCCGCCGGTGACTCGGGGGGAGCAGCACAGCGTGGGGGTCACAGGGCGGCTGGGGGGGGGGGTGCGGGGCGGTCTGAAGATGCCGGGGCGGGAGGCGGGGGATGCTCCGGCGGCCAGGAGATGCTGGGGGGGGGGGGGGGGCGGGGGATGCGCTGGCGGCCGGGGGGGCCGGCGGAGCGCTCACACCATGACATCAGCGCGGCGCGGCCCCGGGGGAGCGGGCGGGGGGCGGGAGCCGGAGCGGCGGCAGAGCGGAGCGGCGGAGCGGCGCGGCGCGGAGCGCGGCCCCGGGCATGCTCCCGGAGCCCAAGTATGACCGCTTCCGCGACGAGCCGCTGACCGCCCCCATGCCGTCGCCGGCCCCCGGGCCCTGCCCCGCGGCGGGCGAGGAGCCCGAGCCCGGCACCACCTTCTGCGCGCTGCTGCCGCGGATGCCGCAGTGGAAGTTCCCCGCTCCCGCCGGCTTCCTCGGCCGCGGCCCCGCCGGCGCCGGCCGGGAGCTCTCCGCTCCGGCCCGGGCGGGCGGCACCGCGGCGGCGGGGGCCCCCTCGGCGCTGGCCGCCGTCCTGGGAGCCTGCGAGCCGCTCTGCGCCGCGCCCTGCTCGGTACCGGGCGGTGGGCGGCCCCGGGGGGCGGCGGGGCGGGCGGCGCGGGCGGAGGCGGCCCGGCCGGCCGGGGAGGAGTGGAGCCGCAAAGGCAGCTTCATCCGGAAGCCGGCGCAGGGCTGGCTGCACCCCGACGAACGGGTGCTGGGGCCCGGCGTCTCCTACATCGTCCGGGTAAGTCCTGTCGGAGCCGAAGCCCGTTGCGGGAGGGCTCGAACCCCCCCGGCCCCACGCGTGTCCGGGGCTCGGCGGGTCTGTCCGCTCCTCCGCACGGCTGCGGGCAGAGCCCCCCCGGCTGTCCCGGGGCAGGCTCTGCCGCCGAGGGAGCTGCCACGGGGCGGGCGTCGCGGGAGCCCACGGGGCCGAGCGGTGCTGGGGCCGAGGGGACGTAGTGGGGGTCCTGGGCAAACACCCCCGATACACGCAGCCTGTGGCCCCTTCGCCCCGTCACGGGCAGCGCGGCCCCGTTTCGCTGCCCGCGCTGTCCGGCACATCCCGGGAGGGACGGCACGGCCCCCTGAACCGGGCTGGGCCGGGAGCAGGGCAGGGGAGCCAGACTCGGGCCCCAGCAGCAGTCAGCCCCTACGAGGGTGTCACAAGCCATCGCACACTATTGAGTTTGTCAGGTCTCAGCGCAGGGTCTAGGTGTGCGATGGGGTGTTTTGGGGTGGGGGGCGAAAGGGTGGCGTGTGATCCCTGGACCTGGCACGGAGAGGGCCCTTCTCACTGACACCCGGCTCCTCCCCTCCTCTCCATCTCCTGCCCTGGGCTGGTGGTGGCGGCCGGAGGGGGCTGCTCTGACCGTGTCCCCCCTGCAGTACATGGGGTGCATCGAGGTGCTGCGCTCCATGAGGTCACTCGACTTCAACACCCGGACACAGGTCACCAGGTACAGCCCCTCAGTCTCACTCTCCCACACCCCAATGCCACTCGGAGCCCCCAGCTGCCCCGGGTGCTCCCCCTCCCCAGGGCCCTGCGGAGAGGGGGGGACACAGGGCCAGGGTCTGGGGGAGCCCTGCCCCACGGGATCCACCCTGCACGCAGGGACACGGACGAAGGGCACTGCCGCGGATCGGTGGGTGGAAAGAGGAGAAGGGAGGTGGCCCCGGCTGGGATTACGTACCGTGGGCCGTGACGTGGGGCAGCGCTGCGGGGAGGCTGCGGCGCACGGGGCTGCGGGGGCTGATGCCCCCAGACCCTGCAGAGCCGCGAGCAGGGGAGGCAGCTGGGAAAGGGCCGGGGGTCTTCAGCAGTAACCCGGCTGGGGGCCGTGGCTTGCAGGGAAGCCATCAACAGACTGTACGAGGCGGTGCCGGGCGTGAAGGGCATCTGGAAGAAGAAGGTGAGTTGCCACCCAGCCCATTTCTCCTTGGGCTTCTTCCTGGGGTGAGCTGGGGCTGTGGGACAGGGTGTTGGGGGTGCCTGCTCAGTTCATGAGGCAGAGCCTGGGGTCTCTCGGGGGCACGCCTCTTTGCCTCCTTCACCCCAGGAAGCCCAGTCCACGTGGGCTGCATTGCCCCCACAGTCCTCTCCCCCCATCAGGCTCCCAACAAAGCCCTCTTTTCCATCCTGGGCAAGAGCAACCTCCGCTTCGCTGGCATGAGCATTGCAGTGAACATCTCCGTTGACGGGCTGAACCTCATGATCCCCACCACGCGCCAGGTGAGAGCCATCGCTGGGAACACGGCCCCACCACCTCCCAGCCCTCTGCCTCCCACCATGAACCGGGGGGCTGGTGGCCCCCATGTTAACCCCTTCCGTGGGCCATGTCCCCCCCACAGATCATCGCCAACCACCACATGCAATCCATCTCCTTTGCCTCCGGCGGGGACACGGTAAGGCACACGCGCCTCAGCCCTCCCCTGGCTGTAGTCCCTCGGGGGCAGTGGGGACAGGGGCTGCCCATCCTACAGCTGAGCCGAACCATGGGGCAGCACGGTCCCTGGGCAGGACATGGGGCTGGGGCTGAGCCTGTCCCCTCGCCCTGACACCCCCAGCCCTGCTCCTCGCAAGGCAGCGGGACACGGGCCCTGAGCTCCCCCTGTGCCCCCAGGACACCACGGACTACGTCGCCTACGTCGCCAAGGATCCCATCAACCAGAGAGGTGACACCAGCCCCCACGCCTGGGAGCTATGTGGAAGAGGAGGGATACCCTGGGGGATGAAGGCTGGAGGAGGGGATCCCTCGTGGGAGGCATGAGGGGTGGCTCAGGGTGGTCCCACAGGGGTGATGGGAGTGTGGGGTGAAACGCTGGGGCCATGTGTCTGTCCACAGCCTGTCACATCCTGGAGTGCTGCGAGGGGCTGGCGCAGAGCGTCATCAGCACAGTGGGACAGGCCTTCGAGCTGCGCTTCAAGCAGTACCTGCACAGCCCCCCCAAGGTGGTGGTACCCCCGGACAGGTAGGGTGGTGGGGGGGCCTCGCTGCAGCCCCACACCCCCAGTCCTGGGCACTCCCCTGGCTGGGGTTCGCTCTGGGAGCCCCTGTCCCTGCTGGGTGTGGGGAGGGGGTCCGAGCTGGGCCGAGTGTCCCCAGCTCACCCATCCCTGCTGCAGGGCACTGGGTGCGGAGGAGTCAGCCTGGGGAGAGGACGAAGAGGCATCTGAGCATGATTACTACAACAGCATCCCGGGGAAGGAGCCACCCCCGGGGGGGCTGATTGACTCCCGGCTCCAGCACGGCACAGTCTTGGGCCACATCCGCACTCAGCCCTCCAGCTCCGGCCCCCCCAGCCAGGTGAGCCCCTGGGGCCGCTGCCAGCCCTGCCGCAGGGGTCCCAGACAGACCCTCCCCAACACCCTCGCTGCCTCCTCTCCCCAGGGTGGGTTTGCAGCCAGGCGAGACCAGAGCAGCCAGCCGGGACCACCTTGGGACCTGGAGAGCCAGGGTGGGTACTGCTGCGGGGGGGACCCTGGGAACCGTGAGCAGGGGTCCCCACAGCTCTGCCGTGCCTGTGCCAGCGGTGATGCCCGGTCCTCGCAGGCCAGCCCTGCGACGGGTACCTGCAGGCGGACAGCCACCCCCCGGGGCCACGGGACTACGAGGAGCACATGTACGTGAACACGCAGAGCCTGGATGCCTGGGAGCCGGAGGCAGCAGCTCGTGGGGCACCGGAGGAGAGCCCCAAAAAGGACCTCTTTGATATGAGTAAGCCACATCTCTGGCGGGTGTCTGGCACAGGGAGCCGTGCCAGAGGGCTGCCCGGGTGCCGTGTTGGGAGCCGTGAGCCAGGGCTCATCCTTCCCCACCCTTGCCGGGGCAGCAGGGCTGTGCTCAGGGCAGGGCTGTGGGTGGGCACCCCCCCTGCCTGGCCCTGTGGAAGGGGCAGCTGTGCCAAGGCTGGGGGGGGCACCATCCCCTCTCTGCCTGGGCACAGGCAAAGCGTTGTGCCTGGGGCGGCCGTGGCACAGTGGGATCTAGCCCGGAGGTGGGTCTGGCCGTAACCCCAGGTCTTGCTGCCGGTGCTTGACCTGTCCATATCCCCGCCATGCCCCAGCCCTGCTTCGTGCCTGGGGCGGGTGACACCCTGCACCCCCTGGCTCTTGCAGGGCCATTCGAGGATGCCTTGAAGCTCCATGAGTGCATTGCGGGGGGTGGCATCAGCCCCCCCATTGAGGACCAGTGGCCGAGCCCCCCCACACGGAAGGCCCCCATCGCCCCCACGGAGGAGCAGCTCAAGCGGGAGCCGTGGTACCATGGGAAGATGAGCCGGCGAGATGCCGAGCGGCTCCTGCAGATGGACGGGGACTTCCTGGTGCGGGACAGCCTCACCAACCCGGGGCAGTACGTGCTGACTGGCATGCACAGCGGGCAGCCCAAGCACCTGCTGCTGGTGGATCCCGAGGGAGTGGTAAGGGCAGGGCGCGGGGTGGGCGATAGGGGACGGGGGCAAGGGCGGGAAGGGCAGGGCTGCTGGGGGGATGGGCCACTGGGGTGAACGGGCATCAGGGGTTGCATGGGGGACCTGTGTGGGAGGCAGCTCCACAGGGTTCAGGACCGCTGTGCCCCCCTGGCCCCCAGGTGAGGACCAAGGACGTGCTGTTTGAGAGCATCAGCCACCTCATCAGCCACCACCGGCAGAACGAGCAGCCTATCGTGGCCGCAGAGAGTGAGCTGCACCTCCGCCAGGTTGTCCAGAGGAAGCAGTGATGCCGGGGGGTACGTGAGCCCCCGACCTGCTCCCCTGGCACTGGACTCGCCTCAGCCCTGGGGCAAAACTGAGCTGTGCTCCCCTCTTCTGATTGTCCCTGGCATCTGGGGGAGGAAAAGCCCCCCCCCTCCAGGGTCAGGTTCCCTATCCTCCTCCCCAGCGGGCCCTCGAGGTCTCTGGCCCCAAAAGGACTCACCCCCCATCCACACTGTCTCCCCTCCATCGTTCGCACGGGGCCCCTCACCCAGCTGGACACAAAGATGCTTATTCCACACGCGCAGGTGAAACGCTGCTGGGATGGGAGCCGATGGGCAGCCTCGCCAAGAGGGGCAGAGCCCGATCCTTGGGTGGGGCCTGTGTAGGCATCGCTGTGGGGTTGCCCTGTCCCCCTCCTGCCCCGGGTCCTGTGTGCCCCCAGCTCCTGGGACTGCCAGCCCCCGCTGCCAAGTGCTGCAGCCCTCAGGGCCAGCTCCAACCTGGCACAAGGAATCGGTCTCTGGATGATGACAGAGCAAACGGGGTCAGGGCTGGTGTCAGGAGCCTCGTCCCAGGGTGGGATGGGGTGAGCAAGCTTTGCGTGTGCGTATGGGTGTGCATGTGTGCATAGGTATGCGAGGGGCAGCCAGGGGACCAGCCCCTTGCCCACAGAGCTGTGCCTCTTGCCCAGCGCTGCTGCTCAGGACCCAGCTCCCTGCCTCAGTCCCCCCTCTCTGCCAGGACATTCGGGGGGTACCCCTCTCCATGGGGTCCCCTGTCAGCAGGGGCTGTAGACCCTGGTTTGGCTCTGCCCACGGGGCTGGGCACAAACATCTCTTGGAGGCCGGTGCTGCTGGATTTCCCTGTTGGTCCCACATTTCCAGCTGGATTCTCCCCAGGAGTGGCTGCCATTCAAGGCTCCCAGCGGCCCCGAGCCCCCACAGCCCCCCCTGGGCTGGGGCCAGGACGAAGCTGCTGCAGGGAAGACGCAGGCAGGCGCAGAGCTACCAGAACTGGCTCTTAAGGCTGGGGCTTCCGGGAGGAGAGGCATCCCATGGCCCCCGGGAACCCCCCCAGCCGGCTTGGGGCTTTGGCAGGTTTTTATGGCACACACGGCCCCCTCTCCAGCGTGTCTGGCGCTTGGCATGGGTTCGTAGTTTGGAATACGTTTCTAATTAAACCTGGAAATGAGGAAGGCACCTGGCTGTTTGTGCCACCCATGGGACGGGGTGGCTGCTGCTGGCTCGAGGGACCAGGGGCGTGGAGGGTGCTGGGCCAGCATCTCCGTCAGCACCAGCTCCTGGAAGGTCCCACATTGGCAGTGGCAGCCTGTCCTGGCTGGTCACACTTGTCTCTGTCCCCTGGGTCACCCTGTCCCCCTCCTGCACATGGATCATCCCCTGTCCCCCAGCTCTGGAGGGGGCTGCAGAACGCAGGGCTTGGCCCTGGGGTGCTGGTCCTGCACAGCATCGGCAGGAGGAGGCTGTCCCAGTGCTGCTGGAGCTCAACACTGGGAGGCTTTCCAAGCTGTCAGCGTGGCTGGTCCACGAACTGCCAGGCACATGCAGTGGGTGGGCAGCAGCCCCGGCACTGGCCGGCACCAGGGTCCTGGCCCAGGCAGGTGCTGGTGGCCCGTCCCAGCTCTGCCCTGCGAGCCCAGTGCTGCCAGCAGCTTCTGTGGGGAGCGGGGTCACCCTGGCAGCCTCTGCCCCTCACTGGGGACAGCCCCTCCTGGGAGGGAGCAGCTGGGTGCTGGCTGAGTCAATGAATAAAATAAGCCCCTAAAAAAAGCCCAGTAATGCATGTGTAATTTTCCATTGATAGTTGAGTACCTACAGGGACACGGCGCTTCCATCTCAGCAGCTATTTTTTGTCATGTAGTAATGCGTCTGCAAAGATAATTGCGCCGTTCCCTCAATAGCAGAGGCAGGAAAAGGCAGAGAGAGCCCAGACTTTCTTCTCTTGCTTCTGGAGAACAAACACGCCTTCCACCGGCTGCTGCTGGCTCAGCCCTGGCCCCTTGGCCCCAGGGGATGCTGCTGTAAGGTGCCTGAAGGGCTGGTGGGGTATTTATTTTAAGGGTTTATGTCAGGCAAGGCGAGCCCAACATGCCGAGGACCCAGGCTAAAGGAGGAAGAACGCAGCCGACTCAATATGAGTGATAAAGCATGCTTCAGTTTATTGATTTTCGTTACAGCCTTTTATAATCCTTCTGCTAATTATGCCTGCTAGTCAATCACTGATTGGATAAAATACAAGCAAGCCCATCCCTTATTGCAGTTTGTTGCTCAACCGACAAGGAAGAACGTGCTGGGGCTTGTTGGCCCTAAGTCCGGGGGGGGGGGGGGGGGGGGGGGGAAACCCAGATAAGCTAAAAGATGCTCATTTCTCCATCCTCCCACTGATAAGAGAGGAACAAGGAATGTTTCCCAACTGTCACGGGATAGAGAATGTTCATCTTAAGACCTTAGTCAGTACTTTTCCATTTACTCTTGTTCTCTTTTGCTAATTAAGGCCTACTCATGCTAACTTAAAGGAGACTTTCGTCGCAAAGAGGATCTCTAGATCCATGTCCCTTCTCCATTAGCCATTCTCCAACAATTCCCCCTTTTTGGGCCAACAAGATGCTCCTATTGATGATGGTTTTGAAAATTTTTAGACAAAGGCGCTGAATACATGAAAAGCAACATAATATGATGCCAAGTAATATTATTATAAAAAGAAATCCTACCAAAAGTGCCTTAATAAATCCTAAGAGCCAAGATGGGAATCCCAAGGACTTCCACCATTCTGCAAAAGGGTCATTATCTACTTTTAATTTGTTAAGGTTGTCTCGCAAGTGCTCAAGCTGTTTGTGGATACTATTGCTGTGATCAGAAAGGTTAAAGCAACACATTCCATCAAATTCATCACACCCATGTCCCTGCGCTAAAAGCAGGAAATCAATCGTGGCACGATTTTGTAGAACAGCATGGCGAATACTATCAACATCGGTTGTTAATTCTGACAGAATGGCTGAGGTCAAATTAGACTGCTTAGCTGTCCACCATGCCAATTTCTTTAGATTGGCTGCATTCCATGCAGCCATGACTCCAGGTGTAAAAAATGATGCAAAAACAGCCTCTGTTATAGAAGGAAGCTGGACATTATCATCACATTTTTCATTTTAAATACTTCTTTTTTGTCTTGTTCGGTTGAACTTTCCGATCATCTGCGCTTTACTTGGTGCAAAGATGGTTAGCTGACCTATATAACATGGCCCTCCCACGGGTCTCCAGGGGATTCCTGGCCAGGCGCGATCCCCGCAAATCAAAAAGAACCCTGGCGGCAAGCTTTTTTCCCCTGTGACATTTACTGGCCATACCCTTCCACCTTTCGCGGTCAGATTCCACCAGTTCATTTTTGCTGTAACATTCATGAACTGCTGCCATAGAGGTTCTTTGTTTGATATGTTAAAGTAATATCCATCACCCCCAAAAGAGACTGCACCTGTCCCATTCTCTGCTTGATATGCGGGATGCATGCTAGAACAGTTGGTTATATGAGTAACGTTTGCAATGCTAGCTGGCCCCATAGAAGCCATTAGATCTAACTCTTGAATCGGAGCAATAGCGGAAGCATTCAGAGCAATGATTAAGCATTGAAGCCGGCAAGATTCAAATGCAAATGGAAATTTAGCTATACATTCCCCACTACTTCTCTTCTCTTCAAACGCATTAGAACAGTTACATTCTCCCCACCGAGTAACATTATAATACCCATCAAACTTATCTACAGTTTCATTTACAGACAACGGTATCCCGACAAGGCAAGTTTTGAAAGAAGCGGATGCAAGGCTTAAACAGAAATCGGTGTGGCCGGTTTGATTTGCCCAGGTAAGCCATATGTTGGTGTTTTCCATCAATAGGTGAGGATTAGCGCAGCAGGTCGTCACGAGTCCGAAAAGAAGCAGAATCACTCCCCGAGGGCTGCGCGTGTGCATTTCGCTGGTATCCATTTTGGTCCTGCATGTATTCTTGCAGGAGGTTCCTCACTGGACCCAAAAAGACACAGGTAATTTAATACAAACAGTGTTTTTGCTACCCTCTCTACTGCATCCGTAATGTCTTCAAACTTCTTGAGATAGTCCTTTACAGTCTGATTCATTCTTTCTACTATCGCTTGTCCTGTTGGGGAATGGGGGATACCGGTAACATGTTGAATTCCCCACAATTGGCAGAACTTCCGCATCTTTTCACTGCGGTAGGCTGGCCCATTGTCAGTTTTGATTTGTTGCGGCACCCCCATTACTGCAAAACAGCTTGTCAAATGACGGATTACATGACCTGCCTTTTCTCCCGTTTGTGGAGTGGCCCAAACAAAATGACTATGGGTATCTATCGTAACATGCAAATATTTCAACCTACCCAGGGCAGGCACATGTGTAACATCCATCTGCCATATTTCATTTGAACTTAAACCTCTGGGATTTACCCCAGCACCCAGTCCTGGCCCATGATGGCTACATTGAGGGCATGCTCTCACTATACCTTTCGCTTCCTCTGCAGTCAGGTTAAATTGCGTTCTTAGCACTCGAGCATTTTGATGAAAATTACTATGAGACTCCCTTGCCTTCACAAAGTCACTGACTGGGGCTGACATCATTACCAATTCATCTGCTCTTTGATTTCCTTCTCCCAAACCATAATTCCACATATGGCTTCTGATGTGAATGATTGCATAAGGGTGTTGCCTCATCTGCAGTAAAGACCTTAGCTGTCTAAACAGCTGTCCTAGCCTAAGATTCTTGGTATCTTTAATCTGGGCATCTTCTATGCATTGAACTACTCCTGCCACATACAGGGAATCAGTCACTACATTGATCCGTTCCTCGTTCCAAGTACCGAAAGCCCATACAACCGCAGATAATTCCAACGTTTGCAACGAGTCACCTGGAACTGCCTCTAGCAAATGGTGGTGCCATTCGTCATTGGCAGTCCATGTGATCGCAGCTCGTCTTGACTTTTTGCCTGCGTCAGTAAAAACTGTTTGGGCTTCTTTCAAGGGTACTTCACTGTAGAGAGGCCTCCAGATCCATTCCTTGTGACTTATCCACTGTATTATTGGTGCTTTGTGCGGCAGTACAGAGATATTAACATCCGTAGAAAGCAAACATTCGCATAGTTCTTGACTATTCATAAGGTACCAGTCTATTGTCTTTTTCTGCATAGGGACATATATCTGGCCTAGCTCTTGCCCTGTGACCTGCCAAACCCTTTTCCGACCTTTTCGTATTAATTCTGCTAACGTGTCTATTCTAGGATGTATTGATTTCTTTGGCTGTATTTTGGGAAAGATCCATTCTAGTATTTTGAGGTCCCTATCCTCCCCCTTTTTCTTTTTACATTGAGTCAATGCTCCTAATAGATGTTCCCCTGTAAGAAATATAGAAAGATCAATGGGGAGGTCGGGATCCCGTCGATCACAGTAGTGGGAGATGATCTGGTCCGCTATGATCTGAATCATTTCTCGCTGTTCTGTTGTAGGATAGACGGGCAATGCTGGATCTGTCCCTCGTAGTAATGGTTGTAGCACATCAAGCTGTTCATTGGTTGTTCCCGTCACTGGTCGGAGCCATTGAATGTCCCCCATCAATTTCTGAGCATCATTCAGAGTTTTGATTTCTGTTGTTATCTGTGGCTTTTGCGGATGAATCGCGGAATCTGTTATCTTCCATCCCAGGTACGACCAGGGGCTGCGCTGTTGTATCTTTTCTGTGGCTATAACAAGTCCCGCGCTCTGTAGTTGATCGTGCAGTTGTTGAACCTGTTGATTTGTAAAGTCCTGCTCTTGTGCCAAGAGAATGTCGTCCATATAGTGATAAATGAACACCTGTTGCCATGCAGTCCGCAAGGGGCGCAGAGCGTTGTCTACAAACAGTTGGCACAACGTTGGACTATTTTTCATTCCTTGCGGTAGCACCACCCATTCAAAGCGTTGTGCTGGTGCCTCTTTGTTTATAGCAGGCAAAGTGAAAGCAAATCTCTGTGTATCTCGGTGATGTAGTTTTATAGTGAAGAAGCAGTCCTTTAAATCAATTATTAGAAGCTTCCAATGTTCAGGTAGCATTGATGGATTGGGTAGACCTGGCTGCAACGCTCCCATTGGCTGCATTTGTGCATTTACGGCCCTTAAGTCATGCAACAGTCTCTATTTACCA